GGGACGATTGCTCGAGGGAACTTCCAAATATCCTGCCGGAACGGAAATTGCACTCAAAGTGCAACATCCCGGAATTTGGCACAAGGTCTGTGTCGACTTTTACCTGCTCGCCAAAATTGCAAAGTTCTTGGAGGGATTGCCAAAACTCAATTTAAAGTACCTGAGTTTGGCCGACACGGTCCGACAGTTTCGAGATATCATGTTGCCACAACTCGACTTGCGCATTGAAGCGGCCAACCTGCAACGATTCAATCAAGATTTTCGAAACGATGACAGTGTCACATTCCCTCATCCACTCGAAGAACTCACCACGTCACGAGTATTGACCGAAACATTCGTTCATGGGACACCCATTATGGAATACACCAAAGCTTCGGTCGATATGCGCCGGCAGGTTGCAAAAATTGGATTGGAAACGACACTCAACATGATCTTTCTCAAAGATTTCATTCATGGTACGTACGCCGAGACTTTCATCCATTACGGCTATTCATTCATGCATGGCGTCTTGTTCTGTGTAGTGGGCTCTCACCGTTGCATGATTCGATTCGAATGCTCTTGTGTCGTTTTTAGGCGATTTGCATCCGTAAGTTCATTCCTGGTCATGGAACAGTTTTAAAATTGGACGTGACTTTAGTTCTCACTTGCAAATAATTTGCTGTCTTCTTCTCATGCCGCGCCATGCCGCAGTGGAAACATTCTTGTATCGGAAAAACCAGACGGAACTCCCCAACTACATTTCTTGGATTGTGGCTTGGTGGTAGAAGTGGGACCCCACCAGCATGAAAACATGATCAAGATCCTCGGGGCATTCACACGGAAAGATGGACAACTCGCTGGACAACTCATGGTGGACTCCTCTAGTGAATCCCAAGCTTCCGATCTGGATGTCGAATTGTTCATCAATGGGATCGTACATATCATCAAAATGGATGACGACAATGTATGTTCTGTTTGTCTTGGCTGTTTGTGTGCTCCGAACGATGGGCATTGCACTAACATTTCGTTGTTCTTTGTTTGATTGGCTTTCACAATTCCACAACTTTTGGTACAGAACTTTATTGAAAAGGTTGGAGACTACATTGCAGATATTTGCTTCCTAGCTTGCAGGCACAAGGTGAAGTTGGAAGCCACATTTGTCAATGCTTCTCTTGCAGTGGAGATTATGGAAGGAATTGCGGCTGCCTTGTACCCGGACATGCACGTCCAGCCAATTGCACTCAAGCTCATCGTAAGGGCGGAAATGATGCACCGCATGGGAATGAAATAGTTGGATATGTTCGCCCTACTTTACTTGGGCAGAGCTCCCTTGCTACCGGTAGCTAAGTACTTACGTAGTTTGTAGACATGCAGCAGCTCATACTTTTTTGTTTGTTTATTTTATGACACAAACATCGAATTCAAACATAAGTTCATGGGATCTCGAGTGCAAAGGCGTTCCTCCGCTGTGGTACTAGACTAGTATCTTTTGATCGTAGCCTACAGTGTCCAGTACTTGAGCAAGTAGTGCTAGCTAGCAAGTGCCGGGGCCGTACCGGTAGCTTGCTCTGAATATCTACTACTTTCATCAAAATGGAACCATGATGAGGCCACATGCGCATCGCCGTGCTTTCCAATCTTTTTTTAAAAAAAAAGCGCATTCGTTCACACCTGGATTTGCGCTTTGGAACTTTGGAAATCTTCCAGGAAAACTGCACGGCCATTCTTCCAAATCTTCAGCACTCGACTAGCTAGCTAGCACTAGCAGGAGCCATCAGCAGCCATGGCGTCCACCACGGCGTCCACCACCACTACTACAGAAACCAGCTCTGGAAGTGCTGACTTCAACAACCTAGATCTACTGCAAGTTGGCAATGATAGAAAGAATCCCCACAAATATATCTTTCGCCGAACGGATTTTCGACGGCTGCCTCGATGGCCAAATGATGGGATTGACCAGGAAAACTCCCGAACAGACCGAAAGCATTTTGAGGTTGCACATCCCAATGCTGAGCAGCAAGCGCTAACTGAACTCTTTGATGGCTGCTGGATCTATGGAATGCCATTGGCTGATATGGACGATGACGACCTTCCAAGATCCATGCCATATTTGATGCAAGCTAAAGCCGCAAAAGCGACTGGAGATCCAGAGGCAGCCAAACAACATCTAATCAAGCAATACCAAGAGGGTAATCGGAAAGTGCGCAAGCTCTTGGGAACAATTGAGTGTAAAGATGCAATCCACAAGAGCTCTCGAGATCCTCTTCGGTTCCCAGGTGTCTCAGCCATATTATATCCCTTGTTCAATAAGAATTTGGCGTCCGAAGCAAACATTGAGCGATTGTTTGGAGACATCAAACGAGTCCTCTCAGCTGTCTTAGAAGTTGGAGTTTCATTTGCACAGCCTCCTCCACCAAATAGTCCCGCAGGTGCACTAAGATCAGCCATGCTCCAACCTGGACAGGTGGCTGCTGCAGACAAGGAGTGTGCCAATTGTGAGACAAAGGGAGATTATTTGACTCGTTGTGCTGCGTGCAAGACTATTCACTACTGTTGTAAAGAGTGCCAGAGAGCTGATTGGATCCTACATCGACCCAGCTGCTTTGAGGCTCAGGGCAAGGAAGTAACCGAAAGGATGCTAGAAAAGGCCAAAGCGGAATATCGGAGAAGACAAGCAGATGAGCGGAAGGCTAAGATGACTGCAGATGCCCAATACAAACAAAAACTACAAGATTCCTTTGTAGCATTGGCCAACGAGCCTGTGGAGGCTGTTAATACCTATTCAAAAGAATGCGATGGGCATCGACGCAGGGTGGATTTACCATTTTCAGCACCGTTCATTGAATCCTGCGTCGCTGCCATGTTGGAGCTCCAGTACGAATCTGAATTGAGCCTTGGAATGTTTCCTGATGGCATTGATCATGAAAAATACTCAGGAAGGGGTGCATTGATCAGATATCCCTCCAATGGTGCCAAGCTAATCATCCTTCATGAACGGCTGTTTGAAGATGGTGATGGTAATTTGAATGGCCATGCCTTGGAGGGAATCTTTGTAGTTCACAAGGTCAACCGCAAAAAGAATCGAGCAGTTTGGAGAATGGTGACAAAACCGAACTACAGAAAGAATCAAAGTCGACTGGAACGGTTCCAGAGTTATCTGGAGGAGGCCAAGGGACAAGCAATGCCTGTACCCGAAGAAGTTGATTTGGGTATCCACAACCCTGGTGATTTCAATCTTACGTTTGTCTCTACGCCATTTGGAGACCATTGTTCCATAGAATAAGATATGATTGCTGGTACTTCATTGCTAGACTAGACCTAGTACAAATAGTTGCACATCTTAACCTAGTAGCCTTATCTCACAATTTGGTCAGGTGTGGCAGCAGCGGAAGCTAAGTTTGTAGCCAGCCAGGTGTTACAACCAAAAAACGGGCCTAAAATACTGCTAGGACGAGGGACAGCTTTGCACCTTCGAGTAAAAGATTGGGTTTTTTGGGGGGGACATCAACGGGGCCGGTACCGGTACTGTACAGTTTTCTCCTTTGGATGATGGCACTGGCTGAGTGTGTGGGTGTCATGGCATCAGCTTGCAGGTCCATCTCGTTTGCTAGCTAATAGCTAGACCAGCAACAGCAACGCTGAGGTACTACTAGTAGTCTAGTGCCGTTGTGCCATGGGTGCGGCATTTTTTTCCAAGCCTGCCTGAACCTTGGATGACAACTACACGTGATTGGTGAAGATGTTGGCTGGCGGTCAGCTGGGCCGGAGCTTCATTGCTTCTTGGTTGCTGATCAGGGTTCAAGACGTTCGGAGCTCTGAAGTGTGGAGCGCGCGGCTCTGCTTTTACGATGTCCTGCGTCACTGCATGGCTGGGCTAGTAGGATGGATGGATAAATTGCCCAGCAATTCGCAGATTTATTCTCCGCTATTTTGGACACGGAACAGGAAGGTTTGTAATCATAGGGTACGGTATAGAAAGTGCCGAGTAAATAATGATGTATTGAAATTGGCTGTACAGGCAGCTTCGATTTTATTGATTCAAACGCGCGCCACTCTTTTCAGTACACTTCCACACGAGCTCCCGTAGAACTGTAGCAGAAATGCCGGCACGCGTTTGAATCAATAAAATCGAAGCTGCTCGTACCGTTACTCTACCGGTAGGGAAGGCCCCTTTCAAATCAAAGTAAAACACTATAATATGCATCTGACTTCTTCTTTTTATTCCGTGACGCTTCTTGTTTGCAACAGACGTCAGTCGCTGCTTCAAAGAATGGCGGGTCATCTGGCATTTGAGGAAAGAGGCTGGCTCGATCCGCAGAGAGGCGGTTACCTTCCATGACCGTACTGGTAGAGTCCAGTCAGTAGCTCTAGCTAGTAGCTAGTATGCTACCGGTAGCTACAAGGTCAGGCCAGAATCTAAAATCATCAGCCACTTTACGACAGTCGTTCTGGGGTCTCGCCGCACAAATCTCCCGTAATAATCGGAGTTTCGGAGCAGTCAGCAGCAGCAATTGTAGCTTATCGCAACCCGCACAATTCGTCCGACCGAAGAAGCTTGTTCCAGGGAGCCCATCCCAAACTCCGTTTAACTCGATCCAAGTAACATCGTCTACCTTTGAGCTTCATCTCGACGTTATCGTCTTTTGTCAGTTATCATTTGGATCAGCAAGTCGACTTAACATGCAGAACCGATTACTCGAAGAGCTATTGCGCCGGCGTCAGCAAGAACAGCTCTTGCAGCAGTTAGGATCCGCAGCTACGCAGTTGAATTCGACCACCATGAGTCTGTCGTCGTCCTTGGGAGGCACAGGGACAAACAATTCCAATGCCTTGTCTTTGGCTGGGAATCCCTTACCGGCTGCTCCTGCTCCATCTACGGCCGCTTCTCCGATATTAGTGTTAGAGCTTCAGAGACGGCTTCTTAACGGCGGCGGTGGTGGCCTTGGCAATACCGCGGCAAGTGGTCTGGGTCTCGCTCCAGCGGCGGCTTCTTTGGATTTGAGTAGTCTCCTTGGAAACAACACTTCCGCTAGTTTGACAGCAGTGCTTGGTGCCCTAGCCTCAGGATCCGCCAATAATGCTGGGTCCAATGAGGACTTGCTGCGGAGCATGGCTGCCACAGGAATTCTGCAGCAGCATCCGAATCTCGCCGCAAGTCTTCTTTCAAGTCAAGCTCTGAACCCTGGAGGTACTGATGCCGCGTCCCTCTTGTCAACTCTGGCAAGTCATGGTGCGGCACCCGGGGCTGCTAGTGTATCACCCGCACCCGCAGAGACAAACTCAAATTTGGCGCCAGACCGAAAGCGAGACGGAGAATCCGCCCAACTCTGGAATAATGCCCAGGGCGTAGCAGAACAACTCTTGAATGCCCAGGGCTTTGGAGGCGGTTCTGATCTGCAACTGCAATTGCAATTCCTACAAGCTGCCAAGAGACAACGGTTGCTGACCAGTAACAATGGCAGTAACAACTCTCCCGCTGACATCCAGGCTGCTGCCAGCCTTCTGCATCAGCAGCAGCAGCATCAGGTCACTACGAACAGCACAAACCCAGCCGCGTCTGCAGTGCATGTTTTAGCATCAGCTGCAGCCCAAATGGAGAGGAAGCAAGCCGCCGTCCCTGTTATGAGCCATCCTCCTGCTCGTGGGAACAGTTTTCCGTTACCTCCCCTTCAAGAAGATTCCAAGACGAAGGGCGAAAACGCTACTCCTGGCATGCCCAAATTAACCTCGTTTCGAAAGGCTTGGGACAATGTCAAGAGTAAGGGGATGCGAAAGGAAATCTTTCTGCGAAAACTCTATCACTGTAAAATTGTTCCGTCCTCTCCTTCTTCGTCTGCCACCCCCGGGGCACGACGAGGGCAAGCCAAAGATGCAGCAAGATACGAATGACTCGACTCGACTCTGCTGAATAGGAAAGGCTTGGTGGGACATGGTGGGTGTGCTGGTTGAAATGAACCTGAAGATGGCTGGTATCTTCTTTATTTGATTCTGTATATTATATTACATTACATCCATGTACATTGATGCCTGTTCTGGATACATATTATTGAGAAGTCATCATTATAAGCATACTTTTACTTGAAGGATAGTGCTATAGTCTCCGGCCAATGGTGAGCTCGAGTTGCCTGATGAGCCAAGCCTACGGTACGGTACATGGTACCTGCCTACGATAGAGTTATTCTCCCGAGTGCCTCGCGGACTGTCTCTTGGGTGCACAACGAGGCTGCGGCAATAGCTCTGTAATCCAAGTGACTGTTGAAGGAACGACCAAATCATTTCGGATCCGGGCGACTTGCGGACGGATGGACCATTCCAAGTGACTGTTGAAGGAACGACCGAATCATTTCGGATCCGGGCGACTTGCGGACGGATGGACTTTTTGTTTCCCAGAGATGATTCGATTCGATTGAATCATTCTGCTACCCTTCTCCTCGAACACGAAATGGTTCAGTCTTTGAGCGCTTTTCTTGTTTTCCAAACCTCAATTTCACCGATGTCAAATAGCGGAAATTAGGATAAATGAGAGCATCGATAAGTAGTTCTGACACAATTCATTAAGTCTTCCTGAGTGAGATCTATGCATACACGGTATCCTAGAAACAATACTCTAAATCCTCGGATCGTTATTTAGAGTCCAACTTACAAGCCAGGGAATGGCTGTTTTAGCACTAATTTCTATCGAAACAACGTCAAATTGACGTGTAAACAGTGAATTCGATTTTTCAGTGCAGAAATCTTCGCCCTTCACCGCATCAACAACATTTTTCGACGATGATGATCTCCAAACCCATCAAAGGTACCTTGGTATTTTTCTGCGGCAAGATGGGGGCTGGAAAGTCTACACTCTCGCGTCAGATAGCAAAGGAACGTCGAGCTGTGCTGCTTTCCGAAGATGAATGGCTGGCATCCGTCTACGGACCGGATCGCATCACTTCCCTTACCGACTACATCGAACATTCCAATCGACTCAAACCGCCGATGAAAAAGTTGGTGCAATCGATCCTGGACGCTGGCACAGACGTAGTAATGGATTATCCAGCCAACACCATTGCTCAACGAAAGTGGTTCCAAGGAATTTTCTCAGAAGTATCGGCCGCACACGATTTGATGTACCTGGACGTGGAAGACAGCTTGTGCTTGAAACGGATTGCAAAGCGAAGAAGGGAGGAACCTGAACGAGCCAAAACTGATACCCCGGAGATGTTTGCCCAAGTGACCAAGTATTTTGAGCCTCCAACGGAAGATGAGGGATTCACCATCACTTGGGTCAACAATTGAAACGAGTCTTCAGGGAAAAAGAGTAAAACTAGATTTGTGTCAAGCCCGTTCTTAGCGACATTATGTTCAATCCCATTTGCAAAGCTCTTGAGACAATTGCTTCTCTTTTCCTTTTGTGAACGTAGCTTTAGGTGCAACTTTAAGTTTTGAAGTCCAGGATGATTGATTCGATTCGATTCATTCGATCCTCTAGCTAGATTGGCCAAGGTCGAGGTGCGTGAGCGATCATAGCGGTACTGTAGCGGATGTGGTTGAAGCCAAAGCCGCAGTACAACCCGTTATCGAATCTACAATGGAAGAGTTTGATGTGGTGTCATGCGATTAATAACAAGCAAGCACGGGAAGCCAGAACGTTGCCTTCACAACTTCATTTGAAGCCCAACCAAGCCAGTATGATTCAATTCTGGCGAATCGAATCTGGCAGCGAGATACACGTACCGGTAGGGCAGATACGTTTGTGTCTTCCCTGGGTCACGCCTCGATTTCCTCCTACGTTTTTTATCTTCAAGAAGTTCTTGCGGTCACTTCATTGGTGGTAAGAACAGAGCTTTGTTGGGTATTGTCGTCTGTTGTTGCTTTGTCATTGCCTTGGAAGGGTTCCTTGCTCCTGCCCATTCACATTTGTGAATACCACTGGCGTTGTGGTGTTGAAAGGAACAGCTTTGGTTGTTGTGGTTGGTATATGGACTAATGTACAATGCCCAGGTGCCATAGCCTCCCATGTTGTAAGTGACACAGCGACCCATGGCCAGCAGGTATAGATCTACAAAGGTATCGTAGAACTCTGACGGCTTGGCCGATTTCGGAGCCTTGTCCAAGTGATAGGGTTGTTTGGGCGCTTTTTCTTCTGCTGTTTGTCGAGTGACTACTTGTGCACCCAGTTCCATTCCGTAGGCCATGCCCACAGCGAGTGCAACAGAAGAATCAGAACTCAGATAGAATGGACCAGCGGTTGAATGTAACTGCTGTTTCTCAAGTTGAGAGGCACAATGGATGGCATTGCGTGTCCAGTGCTCGATCATGGCAGGATCTCGCTCGCTGACCCCATACAGAGCTCGAATATGAATGCCCACGTAGTGACCTGGTACCATACCAGAATTTTCAAATTGTTGTTCGATACGTTTTGCCACGGCATGTGCCGGTGTAAACAGGACACGCCAACAAAGATGGTAGACTTGTTCAAACGTTGGTTCGTCGGGTTGTTGTCGTTGTTCATTGTAATACACACTCCCATGATCGTGTGCTTGGACACGGGCCTTGACCATTGGAAATTCTTCTGAGTTGGTTGTCAATTCTATGAGCTCTTCTATATTCGTGGCTCGGGGTCCTTGTCGGAATTCTTGTTGTTGATGCAGCCAATCAGGGACTCGCCAATCCATGCCTCCTTGGGGTGGTTGCAAAAATGCTTCCAATTCCGCTGGTCGACCCCATTTGATCAACAGCAATCGTCGACTCTTGTGTGCCATCAAGAGCATGACTGGGAGAGGCTTGAGTCGGTCAGCAGTGCCGCCACATTTTCGGCTATTGGGTAGGCATTGCATCAATAGAAATTTCATAGACTTCCATTCATTGCTACCGGCAGTCAATTTCCGGCGTTGTTGGGCATGCCATCGAAAGTAGTCCCTCATCCAGCGCGGCATTTCGGTGTTCTTGTTGTCGTCGTCTAGTTGAATGGCCGTGTGAAATTCAACTTGCTGTGTAGCCCGATCCCCTGTAAGGACAAGTGGCACTGCATTCATCAGGATGAAGAATAAAAACACGGAACCAAAAACAGCAATCATCTGTTTCCTTCGGATATTTCGGTCCAACTTGGAAGAATCATCGGAATCCGCATCGTTGGAGGAGGATGCAGCTGGTAGTGGAGTGGGATGAGGCAATCGACGGGTGACTGTTCCCTTGCTGGAGGATGCCATGGGTATAACAACGTTCTTTTCTTCGGCATACTACTGAGTTTGATCAGCCTGTGGTTAATCGGCTGCTGGGTTTGGATGCAATGTACTAATCTGTCCGGACAGTCGTCGACACGGCTACCAGCGGGAAGACTTTACCTGTCTTAGATTTACCTGTTTCGCCGCTGGTAGACGGTGGATCTTAGAAGGAGAGATGACCAAAAATCTTGGTACGGTAGCGTGACGTCAGATTGGTCGGACCGTTGCAAAAAGATTTTTTCTCCGCCCTCACATGGCGTTCCGCCTAAGTGACGGCCCGTGCACAAGAAAATTGCGGTCTTGTGGACGACTTTCAACAACGGCTGCAAAAATCTAGACGAGCCCCGGATTTATAGGGTGGGAAGCAACTCTCTCAGCCTCTGCAACAACTCGACGAGATTTGCCAGAGTATCAACAAGCAGGCGGCATTGGTTGATCACACTGTTTTCGTCTATCGTTCTAGTTTGTTGTACCCGTATTTGGCCAAACCATGGCAGAAGGAACGACGGACCCGACCAATGCCACTGATGGCAACGGCTATGTAGACGATGCTGACGAATCACCTCCTGCTTCTGAGCTTCCAGTAGACTCTTCCGATGATGTTATGACTAAGACATCGCTTCCCGAGGCGACGGACACCGACGCCACCATTGTGCCCCCCAAGGCGACGGAAGCTGCCGACACGATCGCACCCCTAGAGGTGACGGACACTGGCGGCACGATCGCACCCCTAGAGGTGGCGGACACTGCGGCTGCACCTCCAGAGGATGTCGAGGTCGCAACCCAGCACAACGAAACGATCCATCTCCTGGTGCTCAACCCATCTAGTGCAGTTTTGGATGTGGTTGATGCCATCGAGCCAAGTCACGATCTGGAGAAGCACGACATTCTTCCCAACACAGACGCGGCTTGTCCAAGTATTCAAAGTGGTACGTAAAGCAAAGGCTTGATTAATGGAAGTGTTCGAATCAAGCTCATAGGTTTTGTGTTGCACTTGTTCAGATGATGAATGCGGTCAAACAGGCAAGACCACGCACTTCACGTGCTGCAGGCCCCTTGTAGCACGCTGGAAAGCCGTTACGGATGACTTGAGAAAGTCAATCTGCCGCGGCGTTTTGGCAGTCACCCATCAGGCGGCTTTGCATCCGTACAAGTGCCTTATTGGCATCACCGTCTTTTCATTGGCTCTTTTGGGTATTGGGTTTGCAACTAACTTTGACATGAACGTATCAGCCTCTGAGTCCTATACCGATCAGAACAGTATCCTCCGATTACGAAAGGAGTGGGTGCATCATATCGCTGACTTTTCATCCCAGCCAATCAGTATCCGAGCCGTAATCCATGCCAATGGCAACTCGGTTCTGACCCAAACCGGAGTAGAACGCGCCTTTCAAGTCGTTGAAACTGTCAAACATACACCAGGTTACGACGCGTTTTGCAGTCCCAAGCATCGCTACCATTACACCGACGAGGATATCCATGTCGGTGGCGGATACGGAACCAAATGCCATGTGCGAGGAATCACAATGCTTTGGAACAATTCCCTGAGCGCCATGCAAGAGCAAGTCAAATCGGATGGGGATGTTTGGATTGCAGTGGCTGCAGAGAAGTATCCTGATGGAAGTGAAGTCGATTCTCGGGAGATACTGGGTAGACCCAGACATCACTACAAGGACATATCAGGTGCTGAGTCTCTTCTCATGGAAGTGATGATTCCGAGCATGTTTGAACACTCTATAGAGCTACGAGAGGAAGTGCTGAATCGAATGTTGGACCTGAGGCAGGAATGGCAGGAGGAATACGAATCCCATGGTTTGCGATTGGAGGTTTTTACCAATTCGGCCTTGGAAGCCGAAACAACGCGTGCCGTCATGAAAGATCTTCCATTGATTGCATTAGTCTTCGTCGTCATGGCAGTTTTCACGTGCCTGATATTCTCATCCAACAACGGCGGGGACGCCGTGGACGGTAGTCAGAAATCAACAAGTCGCGTCTTGCTTGGATTGGGTGCGGTAGTTTGCGTGGTCCTTAGCCTGGCAACCTCCTACGGCCTGCTCTATATCATTGGTATGCTTTTGTGTTTTCCGCCACGTATTAACGACGAAGGCTGCTTGTCTCACCCGTGCGCCTGGTCCTGGTCGTCTTCAGGAGTTCCATTCACGTCAATTACCCAGATCCTTCCCTTTGTAATGTTTGGTAAGCCTTCCAGGTGTTGCCATCCGTGTAGGGTTGAAACCATGTACCTGACTTGGGATTCTATCCCCGCTTTCAATAGGCATTGGTCTTGATGATGCATTTATCATCTTTGGAGAATTCAACCGGACTGACCGCCGCAAAGACCCTGTTGAACGGATCCATGACACGTTTGAGGAAGTTGGATTGAGCATAGTCCTCACCAAGGTTACGACAACGATGGCCTTTGCTTTGGGGTGCTGCTCCGATATCCCCACACTCTACTGGCTATCATTGTATGCTTTCCCAACAGTGATGGTTGACGCTGTGTATCAAGTGACTTTCTTTGTCGCAGTTGTTGTGCTAGACGAAAGACGGGTAGAAGCCAATCGCAAAGACTGTTGCATCTGCTGGACACGAGATCCCACGGATGGAACCAATGCTCCTGACGATGGCTCGTTGATGGCTTCCTCTTTGGCATCGTCTTCTTTCGCGTCGTCGTGTACGGTACCGATCAGTAGCAACAAAACAGAAGCAGATGAAAGTGACATGACAGATGAAAAATTGGCACTCAAGACCAAGCCATATCAGCAACCAAGAAGCTGCGTCGATCGCTTGATGGGGTGGTACAGCAATCAGCTGGTTCGGCCCTCCGTGAAGACCTTCGTATTGTGGGCTTTTCTTGCCATGACAATTGGACTCGCTTACTCGACTACCAAGTTCACTCAGGAGTTTGAAGTCTTGGACATGCTTCCAGAAGATTCCTTCATAAGAGACTATTTGATTGCTATGTCCAACCACGGAGAAAGTTTCTGGATCATTCCATCTGCCTACTTTTCTGGTGTGGACCAGTCTGATCCACACATCCAAGATCAAATGGAAGCCTACATCAATGATTTGGTTTCTATGAGCTCAATGACCGATCAACCACCATTCTTTTGGTTGAGGCACTTTCGTGACTTCTTGACCTACGATGATCGGCTCCTGGAAATGTCGTTCAATGAACAGATGGATATCTTCTTGTCAATTGACCACTTCAGGTTGCTCTATGGAGATCATATCATGCGTGACTTGGAGACTGGGGATGTCATCGCTAGTCGCTGTGTCCTCTACATGGATAACGTGGAGTTGAATTCGGTACAAAGCCAAATCGAGGCCTGGAAAGACCAGCGTGATGTGACATTTATGCAACCGATCAATGCTGGAAGTGATGAAGCAATGCAGAACTTCTTCTTGTACGAAGAAGACATGTTTTACATCTGGGAGTTCTATGATGGGACTGTTGGGGAGCTCATTGCGAACTCGATTCTTGGGGTGTTGGTGGTTTGTGTCATTGGCTTGATCCTTATCCCCCACTGGACAGCAACCCTATACATGCTTCCAATCATCTCCGTTCTCATTATTGATATGATTGGCTTCCTTCAGCTCTTTCAAGTTCACCTGAACGCTGTCAGTTACTTCTCGTTGATCATGTCCATCGGACTGTTGGTTGACTTCAATATGCACATCCTTCTGAGGTACTATGAGTCACCTTGCGCAACAAGAGAAGGAAAAGTGAAGGATGCACTGCAAACAATGGGCTCATCAGTCTTGATCGGAGGTTTCTCAACGTTCCTGGGAGTGCTCCCTTTGTTCTTCAGTTCCAGCGAACTGATGCAAACACTCTTTTATGGCTTCATTGGAATGGTTCTGCTTGGTTGCGGCCATGGTCTGATTCTCTTACCCGTAATCTTGTCAATTTTTGGTCCCGTGGACACTGTCGGCACGCGAAACCAGGCAATAAATGACAGCAAGATGCTAACGGTGCAGCTGAGCATGTCAACATCATACCATTCGGAAGAAAGCACCCCCACTGGGTGTACCAGTAGCACTTGCTCGAAGCCGCATTCATCATCGAATGCAAGCTTGTGGATCAGTCCGCATACCTATCCCGACGCCAGTATCGGGCAAGATGATGTGGTCGAATCAGAATCATGCGCTCCACGTGCAGAATCAGACGCTCCAGACCAACCAACCCAGGGCGACGATGAAGCGTCTACTGAAAACGAAGGTGCGCATGGCGACGTGACACGAGGGGAAGAAGAAGAAGAAGAGTTGGCCTGTCAAGGAGATGCTATGGGTTCACCAGTAGCTTTGCAGACATCGGAGGAGGACTTGAAGTCGACCCTGGATGATTGTGTACTACTACCGGCAGAAGAAGCTGGAGAGCAAGTAGAAGGAGAAGACATTTCGCCGGGCTTGGAACTTCACGATGAAGCAAAGAGCCTTCCTGAAAAGACGGATGAAAGTGGAGCTTCTGCGCAAGAAGCATCCGTATCCTCACTTCATGCTGAAGAGGTTTCTTCGCCTACGCCGACTCCAGAAGCCGTCGAGGACGAAGAATCAAGACAAGAGACAGAAGATGAAACGGATAAAGAGGAGATTACTGAAGCCACGTCGGTATTGCCAGATACTGGTCTACAACCTGATTCGTTGACATTGCCTACTATCAACCCCAACCCCGAAGGTCCGACCGAATCATCAGTCAACCCACCAAGCGAGCAGCTAGCAGACGACCGACCTTGCGACGACAAAGCAATCGCCCAGGACGATACTCGTACCACCCAGGACGAAGATACCACCCAGGACAAAGATAACGGCCAGGACGAAGGTACAGCCCAGGACGAAGATACCGCTCAGGACGAAGACAACGCCCAGGATGATGCCGTCTTAGAAATCTCTGGGGACGCTGGAGGTGCGGGTGGCAAAGATACAAACGCCGAGGAGGTGCATGGAGGCAACCATCTGGTCGAGAGCTCGGGAGTTCTGGAGCAGAAAGAGGATGCAATCTCAACAGTGCTCGAGAACAGCAGCACCCACGGGGACACTGCCAGCTCGCATAATGACGAGGTAGAAATCGGAGAAGGCGACCACGTCGACGACCCCCTCAGCAGATGATAACCTTCGCCGAGGAAGTTGGCTCATGCCGTCATTCCTGTCAGCTACCATGCGCCTAATGGCGGGAACGCATGCATACCGCTACAAACCGCTGGGGCTGCCGCTGGCTAGGTTGTTGCAGGAAAGAGCCAACAGACATGGATTGCTCATGCTGGATTCGGCAAACAGTGCTTGTGTAACTAAAACTAATAACTGGCCTGATTGATCAGGATCTTTAAGTGCAACGCACTTTCCCCCGAGATAGCTACCGCTAGAGGGCTACAGTTCCAAGGTGGGCTTCGGTTCCCAGACCTGGATAATGCTCGTGCTGGATACCAGTACATGTACCACCAGCCACCAGCCACCAGCTCACCAGCCTTGACCACCCTGGAGCCTGTGATTGATTCTTCGAACTTCTAATCTTCCAAAACGGCGAGCTTTTGATGCGCGGGAGTTGAAGAAAAGGCTGGATCTTCTAAACAGATCATCAACCAGGTTTGGGGATAAATCTGCAGATTCTCGGAGTAGGAATGGTGGAATGGTGGCCAAAGAAGTGCCGATGCTGTCACACTTTAGTTAGGGGCAGATATTGTGACGGTTACAAAGTATCCGATACTCCAAGAGTATTCATCGTCATTACTTACAAGGAACATGGAAACAGATTTTTCCCAATTCCGAAGGAGAACTGAGTTAAATCCGAATGTTCGCCTTCGTGTTCGTTAATTCACAAAGATATTCCTCAGTAGTACCAGTATGGCATATTTGGCAAATTTTCAAATTTGCGGCAGAGGTACCGTAGTTAGTAGCTAGCTATCTAGCTAGTACAGAAGGTCCAAGACAGCAAGACAGCCCAAGAAGAATTGGAGACAAAATGGCCGCGGCATAACGGTGGAGCTCAAGCAACAAACAACTGTTCTCTTTGACCTAGCTCTAGCTAGCTAGCTAGCCAGTCGACTCCAGGTAGGTGCATGTTTGTATGAAATTGCTGGAGCAGGCTATCATGCTGCACGGGAAGTGTTGATCTCGAGCGTGTTGGAAGTTGATGCCATACGGTACGTGTATGCCATGGCTTCCATCAGCTTCCCTTACCATTTTTCTTGCCGTCCCAGCAAATTCACTGTAGCCTCGATTATAAGAATAGAGATTCGAAGAAGAAAAACAGTATCGAGAATAACAGTTACTGGACCCTGCGATTTGCATTGTCTATAAACGACAATTTCCAGGGTTGACAATGCCAACGAGAAAGAAATGCTTTTGAAACAGTATCATACTGCCTTATATATTTGCAACTTATCTGCATCCAGCACCGGTACGGTATAGCTGACGATAGATGAACCTTAGCTCACACGCATAGGAAGGATACATTTCTCCCATTGGTATGAAAAACAAGTCGGAGAGCATTGTTGTCATGTTGTCAGACTAATAGCTTGACCAAAGAAAACTCCTAGCACTATGCATGCATACATGTGCATGGCATTGTAGTATTATGCTAGAATGGCCTGAAAAAACAAAAATATCTTACGAACAAGTCATCACAGTTTCAAAAAGTGACGAGAAACCATGAGAACTTACATGGAGCCCCTAAATACCTAAATTCTATTTAGAATATGCATATGACTGTTTGGAGTCGAGTCGAGTCAGGGATATGGTAGTAAGTAGGTTTCTACACACTTCCTTACTGAAACCGGTTACAGTGCACCAGATGCCCAAACTCTCCAAGAGCACGGTACGATGCGGTTCTGAAGCACTGAGGGTCGCTGACAGCCCAATACAAACATGTTGTCCCCCTCAATTCTCAGCTCAAAAATTTGGCTCGACGAATACGAGGTGGCCCGTTCTTGTCTTGTTGTTTTGTAATAGTAGTGGAGGAGAGTGATCGTTGGAGTTTGCCATCTGTCCACTGAGAAAGATCTTTAGTACTGTCTATTGTAATACAAAGACACCATGACGACTCGTCAACGATTGTCCAGTCGAAGCAACAGTTTCAACCACTTGGATGCTGGCGGTTCGCAACACTCGGTGCAAGAACAAGCGCTGACTTCTTCTTCTGCCCACAACCGAGCTTCTTCTACTACCGCGGCTCACACTAATAATAACACTAGCCATAATAACCTCGGCACCATTGACGACGCTTCCAGTACCAACAGTGGCGGAGACATGGTGGCATGGAAGAGTCACAACAACAAAACCAAAAAGACTCTTTCTTGTTGGGACTCGGTCGTTCATGCCTGGAGATCCTACATGGACACGACGCGAACGTCCGTGAGCTACTGCGTGATTGTCCTAAGCCGACACGCCGCCTCCAACCCCATCAGCTATCTCCTGGGAGTCCTCTTTCTCTCCTTTGCATTGGCGGGCGTCGGCATGCTGACCAACTTTAACATGACCACCAATGGCCGGGACCAAATCACGGTCCGTCACAGTGTCACACGAGAACAGTACCGTTGGGTCTACGGCGACGCGGGCTTCCCCAGTCCACCCGAGTCGCTGCGCATTGTGGTCCATCAACAAGGAGACAATGTGGTGACCAAAGAAGGACTCTTTCGGGCATTTGACGTCGTCACGGCCGTTCAGAAGTACGATGGATACCAGGAACTCTGTGACTTGGCGGAACGCACCAACACGGCCGGTCACGGTGGTCTCTGTCACATTCGAGGTGTTCCCTTGTTTTTCAATCTCTCTCTAGCCATGGCACAAGAACAAGTCCTGTCGGATGTCGATGTCAAATTGGCCGTCTCGCGAGACAAACTGCCCGATGAATCCACCGTCGATCCGCGCGAATTCATGGGACACATTGAATACTTTGAAAATCTATTCTCGACCATTCGAACCGCCCAGTCGTTTCTCATGGAAATTCGCATTCCGGGACACGTCGAACACTCCAACGACATGGCCGTCGATTTGTTGGATGCGTTGCTCTTGATGAGAGGCGAATGGGCTTCCGAACAAGACAACAATTATGGTTTGGAAGTCTACTTGACCGATCATTCGTTGGAAGCCGAGACAAAGCGGGCCGTCTTTGAAGATTTGCCGTTGATTCCATTGGTCTTTGTCATTATGACAGTCTTTACCATGGTCGTCTTTTCGGCGTCTCATAAAGAGGGGCAGCCGTATCGGCAACGATTCATGCTCGGATTTGGAGCCGTCGCCACCATTTTGCTCAGTATGATCACATCCTTTGGGGTCTTGTTCACTGCCGGTGTGCCATTCACCAATACGACGCAAATTCTGCCCTTTATCATGTTTGGTACGTTATAATTAGTTGACGTTCGATCGTTTGTCGAGTCGAGTCGAAAAGGAAGGAAGGATGCAACTCACTTTCTTGTTTTTGTGTTTATATTACAGGAATTGGCCTCGACGATGCCTTCATCATCTTTGGTCAGTTTGCTCGCACGGACGACAGAAAGTCGTACCAAGATCGGATTCATGAAACATTCCAAGAGGTGGGACTCACCACCTTCTTGACCACCATCACCACAACACTGGCGTTTGGATTGGGAGCCATGACCACCATTCCAGAATTGCAATGGCTGGCAATCTACGCCTTTCCCACGGTACTCGTTGATTGGGTCTACCAAATTACGTTCTTTGTCGCCATTATCGTCATTGACGAGGGAAGGATTGCTTCCCGAATTGAAAAAGAGGAACTGGAAGGCATCGAACCGGCCTGCTGTGGCTTTTGGTCACGCAAAGTACCACAACAACAACAAGAGATGCCAGACGAGCTAGAACTCGTGGAAAACAATCACAATAGCAACGACAACCACGACGGGACAGCACCTGTGGATGGCAATGGCGATTTACTGGAACACAACCTTCTATATTCTACGACAGAGGACGTGAGCACTCAAGACAGCCGCGACCACGGAGGCAATCCGGTCAAGGAAAAGGCAAAGTCCCTCGATCCTTTGAATGCAACATCGCAACACACTTACCTCTCTCATTATGGCACGGAAGTCAATCCCAGTGCGTTCGACCGATTGATGGGACGCTTTGCCGATTTGCTACTCAAAAAGAACAGCAAGATCAGTGTTCTGGTCTTCTGGGTCATATTCACGAGTCTACTGATCTGGTCGTCGACGCTCTTCACACAAGAATTCAACATTTACAAAATTCTTACCAGAGACTCGTACGTCTCGGCGTTCTTCAAGAGCGTCGATGTCTATGCCGATCGTGGATTCGTGGTACCGTCCGTCTATTTTCGCAACGTGGATCAGTCGGATCCAGAAGTCCAACAGCAGATGCAAGACTATATTGACGACCTTGTGAAGATGGACTCAATCACATCCCAACCGCCCTTCTTTTGGTTGAAACACTTCCAAGAGTTTCTTACCTATGACAAGCGTTTGACTGAGCTCACGTTCAACGAGCAGCTCACTATATTCTTGTCGGTGGATGTCTTTCGGTTGTTGTATGGGGACCATATTGTTCGAGACCCGGAAACTGGCGATATCATTACTTCGCGTTGTGTCATGTACATTGACAACATTGAAGTCGAGTCGGTGGACAATCAAGTGAAAGCTTGGACGGATGTCAATGTTGTGACAGCAGCACAACCCATCAACAGCGACGTGGACATTTCTGCAGGGGACGGATACCATTTCTTTATGCAGGAAGATACGATGTTATACTACTGGGAATTCCTGGGAGCGATGATGGGAGAACTCATCATGTCGAGCCTCTTTGGGGGGATCGGAGTGGCGGTGATTGCCGCCGTCTTTCTTCCGCACTGGTCTGCACCAGTGATTCTGGTCCCGATGATTGCTATTCTCTACATTGACCTTCTAGGTGAGCAGATCATGCGCCGTGATTGGGCATACCGCGGGCCTCTAAAAATGAACTCACCCACTCCATTGCTATCTGTCTGAGCAGGTTTTATGCAGATGTGTGGTGTCCACTTGAACATGATCAGCTGCTTCGCGGTGATTGTGTCAATTGGGCTCCTTGTTGACTTCAACATGCACATCCTGATGGCATACTACGAATCGACGCATTCCTCAAGGGATGGCAAGGTCAAAGATGCAATGCAGAATATCGGTTCATCGGTTGTGATTGGGGGCATCTCCACATTTTTGGGTGTGGTCCCGTTGTTTTTCAGTAAGAGCCCTTTACTCCAAAACCTGTTCTACGGATTCTGGGGCATGGTCATTCTTGGTACATTCCATGGCGTGATACTGTTGCCTGTCATATTATCATACTGTGGGCCGCTTGGAGTCAAGGTGAAACACACACTTGTCATCATTGACAAAGGCGGTGACAAAGACAGCGAATTTGCCGAGGAGGACGACGACGAGATGGCGGTGGAACAGCCCAGGTTCAGTGGCCAGCAGACGGCTTCGTTGTGCCACTCCTCCACCCCTTCAGAAATAGCCACGGGTGATCTGCTGCGCCTGGCCTCCTCAGACTTGGATGATTCACCACACAATCAGGGTTTGGCACAGAACCAGGGTTCACCTTTTCGACAGGCGCCTAGAGGCGACAATGCCACCGCGGAGATTGAGACAGAAGAGTCGTCCTCACCGGTAGATGATTCCAGTCGCTTTTTCGATGAGGGTGTGCGAAGGACTTGGACGTCACCCGCAGCGCTGTCTCCGTTGTCTTCTGGTGAGAAAGGATCCTTTGAATTTGACGTTGACGACTTTGACGAGGGTTCTCCTGTAGCCCGTCCATCCAGTTGCTCTTGCTGATGTCGCAGGCAACTTCCTCTTGGGAAATTCTAGGAAACTCCCTTCCTCGTCTTCCTTCCGTCTCTTCCTCGAGACGAAGGCCCTCCCCTCTGATGGGCATCTGACTGCTTGTGAATAGATGATCCGTGTTCCATTTGGAACAGGAATCTGTAGCTAAAAGTTTCATTAAAGTAACGAATTAGGTTTGCATTACCTTCGATGCTTTCGCACCGGCGCCTACCGATTGTCGAGGTAGCTAGCAGGATGGAGCTGGGCGGGTACAATTTTAAAAAGCAAGTCTATTTTGACAGATTCGCTTCAGACGAGAGAAGTGCTTGAGGACGACCCATGAGCCGAGGCCCAGGTGTGTTTCGCACATTCAAAAAGTCTGCTCACTGGCCTGGGCGTGACGCCTACAGTCAACACTTGTTCACCGTGATCATTTTGCCGCCAAACCGCTTCGTTACGCTCGCCTTTTCCTGTTGGCAATCCTCCCATATCTTGTTTCCCATTGCAGATCGCTGTGCCAGTTCTTCGAGCAACCGTTCTGCAGCACCCCCCGTCGGAAGAACCCCTGCCCGCAGAGGATTGTTGTTATTGTTCTCTGTAGTAGCGACGCTATAGTAAGCGTAAAGCTTGGCCGCCTTTTGCACTCCTCGTTGCAGTCTGGCAATGTCCGAAAGAGATACAGTGCGACGCAAGTATTCGGACAGGCTTTCTTCTTGACCCGGCTCTGCTGTCGTTTGTCTTTGACAGACGACATTGCTTCCATTGGCCACCTTGTGGTACACGGGTTTCATAAACTGTTTCGCATCCAGATGAATGGCAAAATCATGTGGATTCAACAAAGCTCCTCCAACGCTGTTTGTATTGTTGTTATTTGACGATAGTGAAGAAGAAGTAAAGGGCCAGACAAAGTCTTTGGAAAGAACCACGGGAATGCACCCGGCCAAAATGGCATCAAGCATGCGTTTGGCAGAGGGAGAATCGCCTCCGGGGCAGGGACAAAAGGTAGCCAAGCGCATCCCCATGGGGAATGCTTCGTGTCGTGATCTTTGTGCCAGGGTTTGCAGCAGCTCGGCATTGGGTTCTTCTAGCTGTTGTTCACAGTCGTAGTCCGTCTTGAGAGCTTGACGAAGGGCCAGACATTCTCCGTGATTTCCAGCATCATAGTACATCCACAAGGGTCGCCTGCTGGTGGTAGATTGTTGATGTTGTTGTGGTGTAATTTCAAGCTGCAACCGTTTGGTTTGTCGATCCCATGCTCCATTGAACCACCGTCCGTCAATGTTGGGATATGGCAGGACAATGTTCTTTTGAAAGCACTGAGGGTACGTCTCTTGAAACGTGCGAGAGAGCTCCACCGAAATGACAATGGGCGCGGCCAATTGCTTTTGTGTCTTGATGTAATGATGAAAGCCTCGTTTGCCCGGCGGGTGATACAACCCATGCAGTGGCTCGGGCATGACCACGACGTGGTCTCGTCCCTGATGTCGTTTCCAATAATCGCTGGTCAATCCAAAGACTTGTTCCCATTCGTCATACGATTGTCCCGTCATGGCTTTTGCCAATGCTTGTTCGTAGATGGATGTGTGCGGCACCGCCTCCAGTGTCCATTGGGCGTCCCCTCCGCGTCGAAAGACACTGGGCAAAAAGGGCACAAAAAAAAGCTTGGCCGTCGCCGGGTTGTGGGTACGCAGACACGCACAGGGCGAAGTGAACAGTTCGTACACCAGCAAGTCGAGTGCAAATTGGGACAAGGAGGGATCCGTTTCATCCAACAGAAACGTGCCTTCACGCCGCATTTTATCTCGTTGGAGAATCCAAGGCCATTCGATTGTTGTTGTTGCGTTTGTGGTGGATTGAAACTTGGCAAACAAAGTGGCTTCCGTGTGCGGATTGGGATACACAAAAATAGATTGATGCAATGGGGAATCGGGAAACGCACAACCATCCTTGCAGACTGGACTGTTGTTGTTCGCAGTCGAGCGTTGTAGTGTGTTGGAAGCGTGGCTGTTTGCTGGGATCGTCTCATGACTATCATTGTTGTTGCTGTTCCAGACCGATAGAAATGACACAAGCAGGACGCAGAGGAGAAGGCAATGTCGTGGTTTTAACTTCAACAACTTGGCAACACGGAATTGTATTAGCCGAGGCATGATGTATGACATGTCAAACCTTGACGTGTTTCACCTGGCAGCAAACCATTGTCTGTGGCTCTCAGCTACATAATAAGGTCATACCAGTAGACTAGTCTAGCTGACTCTTTGTTTCCTCTTTCAAGTCTTTGGTCGCTTCCTTTCCTTCTTTCCGACATCCAACAAGCAACAATGGCCTCGCATTCTCAAAGGCTGCTCCTTCGACCGCATCAAAGATCCGAGACCCGAGATCTTTTACGGTAGTCCCGCTCGTGACACCAGTCACCACAACGACCATCGGCACCACACATTTTCCCGAAAAGCCGATCTTCAGGAGGGCTCATCAAGCCAACAACAACAATGTTGTCGATTCTGGGCTCCTTCCTTTTCTTGTTCCTTCAAGGAGGAAACACAGCACATGGCTTTCTAGTAGCAGGTACATGTAGAGGGCCGCAGGAGCACCGGTATGATGATGGTCACAACAGTCACAGACGAAGCTGCCGTCATCATGTCTTGTTGGGAAGTTACACACCAGCATTGGGTACTTCTAGTAGTACCTGTTTGCATTCAAGACCAAAAAGAACTGTCGAAACAGAAGATGATGCTGGGAGGGTAACCATCCAAGAACGCCTTGGAATGACAGACACTGAAATTGATACTACCCTGAAACATCTGCAAACACTTTTCAATTTCACAACAACAACAACAACAACCGACAATGCTTTGGGCACCATTGACTTTCTGCAACAACACCTCCATTCGGACCAAGCAACACTGAAAGCAATCATCAAAAGACAACCATTGTTATTGGGTTTTCAAGCATCCACATTGAGGGAAAAATTAGATTGGATGCAGGAGACATTTGGGTGGAATCGGAAGGAGCTTTTGAAGGTTGTGTCCAAAAAACCAGTTCTCTTGAGCCTTTCCATCCATGACACTCTGCAGCCAACACTGGATTGGTTTCAAGAAACACTCAACATGACAAATCCAAAGCTCCTCTCCAAAGTGTTAAAGACATATCCATATCTTTTGTTGTCGAACAACACAGACAGTTTGGCTGGTTTGGCTGAAAAGGCAGAGTGGCTACAAAAGCGGTTAGAACTGGAGACAACAGAGGAAATCTCCAAAGTCATTGGGAAAAAGCCAGAAATCATTGGCTATTCAATGGATGCAATGGACTTGAGAATCAAGTGGCTACAAAAAAGCCTGGACTTTACTGACAGTGAAACTGCCAAGCTTATTTGGAAGGACCCATCCCTACTTGGAAAGAGCCCAGAGAAGAATCTGGAGCCAACACTTAACTGGCTTGTGCATCGGTTTGGCCATGAAACAGCCAAAAAGGTGGTTTCACGCCTTCCCTCTGTGTTGGGTCGTAGTATCCAAGACTCACTTGAGCCAAAGCTAGAGTATCTCCAAACGAAGTTCCAACTCGATGAAGAAGGTGTCTTGAATATGATTGGGAAGCTGCCGACTCTCTTCAGTGTGAGCTGCAGTAACATTGACAATACACTACAGTTCTACACCGAACGCTATGGAGAAGACAAGGTACTTCAACATGTGATTGGAAATCCAGCATATTTGGGTGCTAGCTTGAAGAAACGACTATTGCCACGGTGGGAGCAAGCTGTTGAGTTGGGGTTTGCAGCAGAGGTACCCATATTTGTGCTTGCAGCGCATACACCAAAAAAGTGGGCTATATTTGTGGAATCAAAGACTGCAGATAAAGTTGTGGCTGCAAACTGATGGGCTCTTGGATAACAAATCACCGGGAAGTAATAAAAGACTGTCACCATTTGCTACTGCTGGTGAATGTAGATCCGATGCTGAAGGCAACGTTTTCACATTGTGTCTGCATGGGCAGAAAGAAAAAGAAACTTACAAGTTAATTCTGTAGTTCTAGACTAATTCCATGGTGCCAACTTGTTTCCAAGCACGCCAAGCATCTGTTGGTCTCCTCACCGATGCAGTGGACACAAGTACACAAGGTGTCAAACAGGTGGGAAGTAATTGAATTATTTGGTAGGCCTGACCACAAGCAGAACTGTCATTCCTTGCAGCAAAAAGTGTTCTTGTCGTGCCGGTAAATAAACCGGTACCAGGTACCTAGCTGGAGGCCAGCAACAGGGGAAGTTACTGAGGTAGATTGTAAGCTGCTGCAGATGTTTGCCATTGCCCTGGTTGCTCCAGAAAGACCAAAGCACGACTACCACAGATGGCATATTCAAAAGTCCTGGTCATATACGTAAGCACGGGCCCCAGCTTAAACCTCCACTTGTGCGACCAATTTGGAGAAGAGGCGAATATCTTCGTAATACGGATTTCTCGTCCAATCCGAGCGATCGGGAAAGCCATGATACTTTTGGCAGGCGTCGATTCGATCATGGATGCTATTGAGTGCTCCGTGCTCCCACCCTCCTTCCACTAAAATGGCATCGACATAGTCGTGGAATTCTTTGGAAAAGGGAGGGGAGACGGTTCCAATCGCCTCGGCTGTGGGCCCCGTTGCCAGGACGTTCTCTGAAAGATTGGATAGTGGTGTCACGTTGGAGTCACCCGAGAATGGGCATTTGCGATCGTCGACCCAGGGCAGATTGGAGGAGTGCTTTGTCGATCTTACAAAATCCACGGCCAACCTTCGGCGTTCCGCCAATGGTATACTCGGTACTTGATACGCTTTGGATGCCATGTCGTCCAGCAAGTCCAGTTCGGCGATGAGGTCCCAAGTGAATCTCCCCGAGTCCAACAACTGCCCATCCCACGCCAGTAATCCTCCAATCATGTAATCCCAGTAAGCCGTCGATACGACAGACTTGCCCCATGGGCTCCATTTGTTGTTACATTGTGGTGATTCCCCACTGCTTGACAGGTTCCCCCAAGCGAAGAAGTAGGCATCGGGATCCAGTCCTCGAGGGAGTGGAAAACTGGGGGTGATTTCCAGCAAGTCATAGTTGCTTTCACGGTCTCGAAACCTGGGCCATTCCTCCTCGTATATCTCGAAAAACACCCCTACAACAGGCACAGTGCAGTTGTCTCTGTCTGGGAAACATGGCCTCGCACTGGCAGCTGCCCAATGATAGCACGCACCAAGCTCTCGTACAATGCCGTGGACTCGATCGGGGTATGCTGGTGCGATGGTAGGTGGAGGCTCTGGCATGACTGGATCAACTGTGTGTTGTCGAGAACCGTAGCTGGTCAAACTTCCCACCCCAAAGTTAAAGACACGACGAGTTGAATTGGCAGAAATAGTTCTCCACTCCTCCTTGAAACTATCGTAGTATCCATCATCGTCAGAATCTTCATCATCTGATTCTGAAGATGACGAAGGAAAGTAGGCGAGTTGATCAGGCAAATGACCCCAATGGTTGGCATGCATTGCATCCATGGGGGCTACTAGAAGGTCCACCCAAAGCAGTGCAAATGATACAATCACACGAGGATTCATGCTCTTTTTGTTTTGTTGTTCGCAGTTTGCAACTCAAATCTGCGCAAAGAGTGCTAGAATGCTACCGATGAAGCCACAACAGAGAGAGATCTCCGGAGAATATCTAGCCACTGCAGTGTCTCAAAGGGGGATACTTTGGGTTGTTCATCGTGCTCTTCCAAAAACGGCACGCACCGGTTGGTCCCTTCAAGCACCTGGTGAGAATGATAGGATCCAATGCTGTAAAATAAAAATATTATTAATAGTGTATTGGTACAGAACCAATGTCCCGTGGCTAGTCTAGGACGTGATTAGAAACTGTAGCTTTTCCTCAAGATCCAATCTTGTTGAAAGCTGTGTCTCTGCATTGTTTTCTGTAGCTTGGCATCCAAAGCTGATCTCCTGCTTCTTGTGGTGTCCTTGACAGAGGATGGAAGAGATGACTAGAAAGAAGATACCAGTACAGGGATGTTGAGAACCTCTTGATTCCAATGAACTGAGGACCAGATACCATATCCGATGCAGAGCCAGACACTGATCCGTCCCTTCATTGACAAGGCATTTTGTTTGTTTGCTTGTCACAAGAAGAGATTCCTCGTGATGAGCTTTGTCGCACATCAAACGAGTGAGGCACTATGATCGTGTGTTTCCTGTCGTTTTCAAGGGGAAAACCTCAGCTATTGCAGGGTTGGATGGTTGGATGACCAGAAGTTTTGGGTACCCTAGGGACGTTGAGCACGGATCCTTCTCTAACTGGTGCCTTAGACATTTTGTCTGTCGCTTCATGGGACAAGGTTTTTTTGCTATTCGATTCCTTCGTTTGGTTTCGTCCTGATCAGCCCTTACGTCAAACGAATGACGTAGCATCCGACAAATCTCCCACCGACGGTTCATGGTTAAAACCGGGGAATAGCTAGCTAGTCTGACGAGGATAATAGCTAGCTTCCATAGCCTACAACTACACCTATCTACATAATCCCTTGAGAAGCGACTGTGACACGTTTCCAGAACATCTATGCCTCGGTTGGCACAGTTGAAAACTGAAACGAATGCAAGCAACGACAGATCGGATGCTGATTGTGTATGGAAATTATCAGATTGAAGGTAAGCATTTGCCAACTAGGTGGAGTCGAGTCTCCATTACATGGGCTCTGATGCAGCGAAAATATCAAAACCGGTGGACATCATCTTTACCTACCCAATCTATAGAATCCCTAGAAAGACGATGGTAACATTCTTCCAGAACAATTGTGCCTTGGTGACACAGATGAAACTGAAACGAAAGCAAACAAGGACAGATGGAATGCTGATTCTTAATGGAAATCAGATGAAGCAATGTGAGTATAGCGCCCTTGCATTTTGGCAGTTGGGTGGAGTCTCCATTAGAGGGCTCTGATGCAGCAATATTGGCATCAATTCCTGATAGCGAGTCATACCCGCCTAACTGGTAAAGCAGCAGCCAAATCCCTTGGAACAAACTAGAACGACACATCCAAAGTTGATGCAGCATGGACGCACTGGCAGATGCTCACAAGTCAACCATCAAGGCTACAAAAACGTCGTGGTTCCAAATCCTCATCGCTTTGGTCGGTCAAAGCTGAACCTTCACATTCTCTTGAGCACTTTTAGGAGTATGAACCTCGAGCGGTCAACCTCTGTAATGTTTCTGCTTGCTTGTGATCTCGGGGGTCGGGGGCTGCGCCTGAAAAGAGGCGGGCAAGTTGATCCCCCAATTTGTTGCAGAGGGACCCTCCCATTCCTCAAACACGTTGCTTCAAGCATGCCCACTCTTCGCTGTAAAGGGCCAGAACCGATCACTCTTCGGCACCACTTGAATCCTTGAAGCGCATTCTCCTGAAGATGATATGCGTCAGTGAAACGCTTTGACAAAAGAAGCATCCCTCTTTACTTCCCGAACCCCAGAGGCGTTGTCGGCAGCAACAATCCCCACTCTTCGCTGGAACGGGCCTGCAAGGACTTGAAGGAACTCATGGTTTTGTCTGATGCGAAAATGCGTCAGTGTTTCGCTTTGGTAAAGAAAGAGCATGCGGAATCTCAATGCCATTCTGGAAGTTTGAGGGGGACGGAGAAAGGCAAATTTTCCCGCAGAATCAAAGCCTGTCCGCTGTACGGGAGCACCTGTGTAGTCGAGTGAGTCAAAACGATGACATCATCTCAGAACTGTCTATTTGTCTGAAGTCTGAGGGTCAGCCCGTCAGCCCCTTCGCCAGTGTTCTATAACGGTTGTGAGAATTGACTGCCCCTTCTGCTGAACTTTGGCTCGCCTTTCAAGATCAAACGTTTAGGGTTGCCCACTGACGTGTTAGGAAACAGTTGCATCGTGACCGGTGTTAGGAAAGTTTTGACACTGGCCACTGGCCACCGTGACAATGTGGGATTCGTAGTTTTCTGTTGGACGGCTACAGTGCAATGAAGTCTACATGCTACACATGCATGACGCTCGAAGCTCGAAGCTAAGTTGCGGTTAGTGGGCTGTTGAAGCTGTACTGTGGCATATTCTGTTGCAAAAGGAGTAAACAAGTCTCTATCAATTCACTCACAAAGCAAGTCATGGTTTAAGCTTGGCAACTCTATCAACAAGAGGACGAAACCTGTGTCTCTGCAGTGACTGTGGCTGGATCCATCGCAGTGATCAGATAGACTGCTAGCTAGTACTCGCAGTACTCCTACTGGAATGATTCAATCAATTGCCTCCGTGTAGAGAGCAGATGGTGCCTACTTTAATGCTACAACTTGCCACGTTCGTTGCCGGAAGTTTACTAGAGTATTGGCCATTGAGTACCTACTCCCAGCAACTCTGGCGCCACCTCATACTTCTCCGGTAGAATTGTCTTGTAGTGACGTACTCTTCATGCTTCTTCTCGGGTGACCGTAACAGCGCATAAAGAACACCCCAGCTTCAGAACGGTAAAACCTCTCAGTGAAAGCGGCATACGAGTTATCGAAGTAGATGTGGCTTCCGCTGATTTAAAAGGCACATTCAGTCTCAGTAATCGTCTCTTTTGTTAAGTAACTTGTTTCTTCTAGAAGTTGAGAGTATTCTTTGTGTGTTTCCCCCAAATCAAATAGTAAAGGGGGTAGTTACATGTAATAGTGTAATAGTTTTTGACGCAAAACTTCAATTTTTGGTCTCCCCTTTTTTGTTTGCAGCAATTGCACACAAGTTTACCTTATTTCCCTGAAATATCCAATTAAATTTTGTCTTACCTACAGCCTGCAACAGCAGGTGCTCATCCACAACTGCCGTCTGAACATTTATGAGACAGTTTTCGGCGGATCTGCAGTGTACATGTATTCATAAATTTTAACGCTCGGAGTCCCAGAATCTGGGAGTCACCCCTGCGAAACCTCTACCAGTAGATGATGCTACCGGTGTATCCTCTTTACAGCGGCTGCTCCTCTTAACAAAGGCTACTACTCACCACCATGACAGGCTCCTCTTGTTTGCCTAGGCTTGAAAGCGGAAGCGACGATCGATCGGTCGACGGATCGATTCAGTCCATGGCTTCTTTCTTCACGGAGCGACCACTTCTCTTCCATGGAACGACACCGCCTCTACCGCTAATGCAACAACAAGCGACCAATACTCCTAGAACAACAAGCGATGGCAACAAGCGACTACTACTCGACGCATCGACATTGTTTCTTCCGATCTGTATAAAACGACTCGACTCATCAACCATCAACCGACAATTCAAAGGCATCCATTTTCCTGGAAGACAGGATATTCAGGTAGATGCGGGAATAAAATAGAAATCTGACCCAATATTTACCACACCTACCTGTAGAGACTCCCAGATTCTGGGAGTGGGGTCTCCCAGAATCTGGGAGTGGGGTCTCCCAGATTTTGGGACTCCGAGCGTTAAAATTGCAGCAAGTCTTCCGCCTGACAGGCTTCCTAAGTAAACGAGTAGGAGGACTTGTGAAGTACCAGGCTCCCGTAGAATTGAACGCATTCATGAGATTGCCTTGAGGTCCACCTCTGCAATCCGAAGAAATAAAGCGCTGAGCAACCTCCCCCCTTTGAACGAGCATCACACATCACACCGCACACTCACAACCACAAACGATAGTCTACCTTCCCCTGCTGGTACTTTGCATCATCAACACGTCCTTGATCAAGAAGCATCGCATTCATAAAACAGAGTTGCAGTTAGCACAGTAATAAAAAGAACGAGTAGCTCAAGAGGACATCCCTTTGAAGCTTCAATAGAGACAAAGGAAGGACAGGACCATCATGAAGACCAAGACCAAAGGAGCTGCGCCGGGTAGGTACCGTACCAAGTTGGTTGTTGTTGTTGTGTCCGCTGCGAGCCCGAAGCTGTGTTTCTCACACTGACTTTCCTTAATTCTCTTGTCTTTTTCATCAATTGTGATGGCTATCTCTTGTCTGATTCGATTCAATGAACTCACAGCCAAGAAAGCCCGCGTGGTGAAACAAAAGACGGGCAACAACGCGAATGTGTTGGCCCATCAGAAGAAGCGACCTCCCATGCACAGCGGTCGCTGGACGCCGGAGGAAGAAGAGTACGTGGTGGGCTTGATTGCTGAGTTTGACGATGGTCAGCTGCCGATTGCGGAAGGGACCACTCTCCGCAGCTTTCTTGCCAAGATGCTCAACTGCAATCCAAAGCGGGTGTCCAAAAAGTACGACGGGAACCCAATCTACAATGGGAAGGCCGCCTACTCCCGCTCCAAGACCACCCTGCCACCTCCGGAAGCGTGTACTCGACAGGAGAATCTTTTGGAATTGGAACGCAAGTTTCGAGAGGCTCTCTTGACGATGCAGCGCGTCGAATCGAGGTTACAAGCTCTGACGGGGCAGTTCACGGAGCAACCGCAGAAAAAGGCGCCTCCCAAGGCAAGTGCGGTCCCATCCGTTGCCCATCTCAAGGTAGACAGATCAGCCACAGCGACGCAATCCTGGAAGTCGGATGATTCCTCCGTTGTCTCGTCTCTCTCGGGCGACGAGGAAGCCATGGATTTGGGAGACGATGCGAAGAAGGCGGCGAGCCGTGATTCCAAGCCTGCCGCAAGACCTGCCGCGGGGGCAGAAGAAGAGGCGGCGAGTCGCATGCTGTTGCAGCTGAATCCTTCCAATCCAGTTCCTCCTGTTGCGGCCGCTTCCATGCCCCCTCCGGCAGTCGAGACACCCCAAACTCTCTTGAAGTCGCTGTATGAGACCCACAATAACGCAGCAAGTGGTAGCCCAGCGCAAGCACCTCCTAGAGCTCCCGTCGCCGCTGTTGCTGCTGCGTCCGCTCCTCCCCAGGGCATGGGTTTCCAAGCAGTCCTGCAAAAACTGAACGGCATGCGAGGACAGCAGCAACTACCACCGGCGCCACAACCAGCGTTGCAAGCTCAGTCTTCCGCCCCTTCCAACCTCCAAGGGTTCTTTGCTCTTGCCAACTCTGCTCCTAGCTCTGGTGGTACGCCTCTTCGCCAGCCAGCGGATACTCGAACGGGTCTGAATGAACTCATGCAGTTGGTTCGTCAGCCCGAGGCGACTCCGCCAAATCCCAATGGTGTTGGTGCGCCAGCACCCGCGAACACTGCAACCTTCCAGCAGCAACTTCAGCAACCAGCGGCACAGCAATGGGGAATGCAGAATGCCGCCCTGCAGCAGGCACTGTGCCCGCAGCAACCACAGGCATCCCAGCAGAATTTGGAAGGTATGCTTTTCCAGACGCTGAGTTCGAATGCAGCTCCTGCACCTCCTCCGGCACTCACCGCCAACAACAATGCGTTGTTGCAAGGCCTCATGCAGCTAGTTGCCGCAAACGGGTCACAACCGGCCGTGCAGCAACCAGGCATGCTTCCGCCCATGGTGATTCAGCTGAATCCAGCACCTCAGCAGCAGCAGCAGACAAACACTATTGACCTCCAAGCCGTTTTGAGCAATGCGCTCGCGCAAGCATTCTCCCAGCAACTGATGATGCAAACGCAACAGCAGCAGCAACAGCCCAATTTTGACGCGGTTCTTTCTGGGTTGTTCAACCACGCCGCACAAGCCCAGCAGCAGCAGCCCGCGGCCATGCCGCAGGCACCGACGAACTTGCTGGGCATGTTGCAGCAGTCGGTTTCGACTTCCCAGCAGCAACCAAAGCCGGCACAGGCACCGGCTGCTGTGGCGCCGACGATGGATCCAGAGTCGTTACAGAGACTCCTTGGGCAATTGCAGCAGCAAGTGTTGAATCAAGGACCGTAAATCTTGTTCATACTTCTTTCACTATGGGTGGTTTTTGCATATTCTTTCAAGCTGGGTATACGTTAATAATATAAATGTATTTTCATACAGTTGTCATGCCTTCTCTTCTGAGAGCTCCTCGTACACGTAAGACTGTTTTAGAACGGCCTGCCCGTTGAGTTCGAGCGGCTTTGGTTGAAGTCCTCTGAAGGCAACGAAAGATGCGGTCCGGCTGCGTGGTCTCGTCCGTGCCGATAGCCATGCGTGCGGAATTGCTCTGTGCTTTTTGAATAGCAGGCTACGAAACTGACGTCCTCGCTCGTCTCATAGAATCATTGAGCTGTACCGGTAGTACCCAAAAGAAGCAGCTAGCTAAGGGGCCATTACCAGTGTGTTCAGCATGCTTTTTCTTTCTGAAAAATCACTACTAACTTTATCTTTGAACGGTACACTACTAGCTACGTAGTAGCAGGCCAGCAGGCAGCTGGCTGAAGCTGCGCGACAAGACTGCGGGGACTTCCTCAGTATGCACGTTCTTGCCTTGCGAGAGTACGTCCCAGATAAGATCTTGCCCCGGTGCCAGCCATGATTCAATCAATGGCGGCCTGTGGAATTACTAGTAGTTGTAGTGGAGGTGCTGTTCGTCTCTTCGGTTGCGCTAGCTAGACCCGGAGACTCCGCTGAGGAGGGACTCGAGGTTCCGACATCAGGTGATCCATTGGGGGGAATCTGGTCACAGAAGAACGCGCCATCGCTTTCACAGTACTCTTGAAAAGTCTGCGACATTTGGTCGAAATCTGGATAAGCATCTGCCTGAACACAATTTTCATCAAGGCAACCGTTCTCGGCGCAATGGTTGCATGTTGCTTGATCTTCACAGCAATACGGCTCAGGCGCAGACTCATATGGTCTACATATCGGGTCTTCCTCTTCGACGAAGCAATCGCAGTACAACCCTCCTTCTGTTCTCTCGATGCCAAGGCACAACTTGTTGGTCCTTGCATAGCTCGAATCATTGATGCCCTCCATGTACTTGGCAAGCAAGTCGTTATCATCATCATCATCACCATCACCATCCAAAGCAGCAGCTAAGTCGATTTCATTGATTGGCTCATTCGGCGGTGGATGATAGTACTGGCATAGGTTACCGTCAAAGCCAATTTTGCAGGCCTGAAAAACGAAGCCAGGCATTCCAATAAGACAATGCAGATCAAAGCACAGACACTCTCAGTACACGAACTCACACAAGTATTCGTAGTGACATCGCAAGTCCCACTGAAATGAGCAGGAAATTGTGTGAGGATGGAGTCAAAGAAGCACTATGGAATCATGGAATGAATCAACCGCAAAGAAGGTGTCTTCCGTCAACCTACCCGTTAAAACATAATTCATCCATTTCGAGACAACCCAATGCGTATTCACACTTTGCCCCATCGAAGAAAGGGGAACACGCGCACCTGTTGAACGTCTCCACCCCCTGAAAACTGTGAGTATCATATCCAGAAATGCACACCTGGTCGTTTCGGCACGGGTCCGTGATGTCATCGCACTCAAGGCATTGCATCGATACATCCAACGGCTGGGATTCATCAGCCTCGTATCCAAGGATTGGATCCTTACTCTTCTTGGCTCGATACCACGTAACAGATGTAGGCTCAACTGCGTACGAAGGCTTGCCAAAGTCAACAGGTGATGAAAAGAAGAGTGGGAGATGTTGTTTCGAATGTTCGTGGGTTCTGATTCTGTTCAAGACTTGCGGTATCGTTCTAGTTTCGCGGTACAACCAGTCAGCGAAGTCAGCCCATTTGAGCTTTGACACTTTCCCTTCGCCCAGACCGAAGACAACGTAACGCCGCCCCGTGAAAAGCACAAACTTTGACACCACACGAGCCTCTAGAATCTTTGTTGTATCCACGTCATATCCATCATCGTTGAAGATTTCTGGGGCGTATTCTCTCGCTGCATTTACCAATACTTCCCACGTTTCATCGCCTTTAGCAGAAAATTCATGCAAAATGCCCTCGCTATGGCTGAACCAAATGTCGACCCCCGCGGGAAGTTTGTCAAAGTAATCTACCGCCTGGATGGGCATTCCGTTGAACTTCGTTGCGTTGTCCAGAGGCCTAAATACTTCCCGCAGCAGTGAAGCCATTGAGCTTGAGGCAATTCCGGCAATCGTGGTCCGGTCTGCACCATAAAGCCTGCAACTTGGGAATGCTTCCTCGTTGCGGATGCCAACAGTGGGATTCTCCGTCTTTTCGCATTTCTTCTCCTTAGCTTCCTGATTGCAAAACGTGCCTTCACTGCAATATTCCCTATCGTTCCCACAGTCGAAGCAAAAGACGCCTAGTCTATCAACTGGCACTTCGCCAAGTCCAGGATCGGCCACGTACCAAGTCAATTCTGCAACTTCCATGACATCGAAGGAATCTGACTTGGACGATTTGAAAACAAAAGTGCAGGCATCATTGTTGCTGTTGTCATCTTTGGTCGTGTTGTAGATGGTCCAGGTCTTTTCTGCCTTGCACCAACCCACTCGTAGTTCTCCAGTGGCGTCCACGTACACTGGCCTTGCTGACGCTAGCATCTTGTCCTTCTGAAGGGTAAAGATTCCACTATAGTAGGCGTAATGGGGGAAGATGCCATCGCCAAACTGTATGTATAGATGGTGACACACATATTGACGGTGGAGTTGTTCATCTGACAGGGGAAGACAAAGGAAAGCAAAAGGACAGTTGAGCACCACGAATATGAAGCAAAGAGACAACAAGGAGCTTTTCAAATAATTCGTACATGCAAAGTAACCCCAGCAGCCAACCATTGCACAAGACAAAAGGCCAATGAATCCCAGCCTATAGTTCACAACACGTTGCTTCAGCTCGGTTGGTGTATAGTGAGTGAGACCTTGAACGTGTTCACAGTCCAACTTGGCCTGTCTCCCAATGAGGCCCAAACTTGCCACTTGGAATCCGATGTTGTCAATGTCCTGGAGAAAGTGTAACCCAGTCAAGTTGAGAAAGACATTAAGCACGTCTTTGGACGTCATCATAAGCACAAAGGACAAGAAACTGAAGAGGAGGCCGCTGAGAATCCTCGCAATACCCGTCGCAAGCCTGTGTTGGCAAAGAAACGGCATTGAAAAGTGAGTATCTCCATTGTAGGTGCTTTTGCACACTAATTGCGGACAGGATGGGTACGAACCATCGAGCTCTGGTTGCATTGTTGCTGACTTCCTGAAGGCCGCTGTCGTATCCCTCCGCCAGCTGAGTGACACCCTGAAGAAAATCTCCGTTGTTGCACATCATCATGACTGTCATGAACATTCCCATCATCTGTGCCACGATGACCACTGCTTCCACTCCTGCTGGGACATTCATTCGATTTTCGACTCCATTGGTTTCATCTTGGGATGAAAGAGAACAAAAGTTGCTAGTGAGAAAACTTGATTGAAAGTGCTCACATGGCTTGAAATGAAATGACTGTCACTCACTTGGTTTGCCAGTGACGTCATACAGATTGGCCGCGAGGAGAATCAAGAAACAGGATTGCATTAAAAAGACTACCGGTGGAGCAAGAAATAAGGGTAAGACAGAAGAGGGTTGCAGTGGACGGGTCAAGAGAAGAGTACGTACCCATCAAGGCAAACACAAATCCTCGTCCACACAAGTTGGCCGTGTACAGAATGGAGTAGATATCATCCGGCAAAAGTCGCTTGACCGGGAGGTCTTCGTCTTCTGCCTCCGCGCCATAGTCTCCGGCTCCTTCTTCATCTTGAAACGCGTCTCGAAGCGTATCATCTTCAAACTGCTTTCGGTAGTTGAGCAATTTGATGGACTCGTCGGAGTCATCTGCCATGTGCTGCTCTACGTGGCTGTAGCTGTGGTGAGCGTTGGCACGGTACAAAGGACCCCCACGGCGCTTGTGGCTCTCCCTCAACTGTGGCGCCGAGTCCACACCCAAAGAAATAGTAATGGTGTTAAGAGTTCCGGTCGAGCGGCTCTTTTTCATGGTGATGTTGATTGCAAGCAACTAGACTGTCAGAGCGAATGGTAACAGAACCACCAATCTCAAAAGAATGAAGGTCGGTCTTTCCATTCTCCATGAGCTCTCCATGCCAGTACCACTGGTGGTAGCTTTTGTGGTATTTGCTTATTACTGGGTGAGGGTTCTGGTGTCGTTTTGGCTGACGTGTTCCTTTCTCCAGTGAGAGATTTAATGGAAAGACCACGGATGTTTCTCCGATGTAAATTCCTTTATCGACTTTTAAAGAACAATACCGTATTCAGATAGGGTGTACCAGGTACGGTAAAACAAATGGCCTTGCTTTTTCAACAATAAAATACTTCTAGCCCAACATTTACCTGAACTACCCTGTCTAGTTTTTTGCTGTGGTACCAGTATGTACGTACTGCCGTACCGCGTCATTCTACGGTGGTATTGCACTCAGCCCAAATAATGCCAAACCAGTCACCACACCACGTGTAAACGCCACCACAGCCCCACCACCTCATCGACTATTAGCTACTAGTCTACGAGCAGCTTCGATTTTATTGATGCAAACGCGTGCCGATCTCCATGGTACACATCTACTGGAGCTCTCGTAGAAGTGTACGAGAAAACCTGGCACGCGTTTGAATCTTTAAAACCGAAGCTGCCTGTACTTTCTACATTTTGGGTGTGATGAGTGTCGCTGGTTTCGGTAGGCCACAACAGCATAAAGAAGACGACCATGACGATGAACCTCTTGACTGCATCTGTTCGTTGCGGCCATGGTCCTTTTCGAAGAGCAGGGCGCCCTTTTGCTGCCACTCGACACTGGTACTTTACCAATACGGATGAGATGAAGAAGGACGATCCTTACTCACAGCTGGGCTTGCAATGGGGCGACGCCACTAGCACCAAGGACATTAAAGACGCCTTTCGTCAAAAGGCACGTGAATTACATCCCGATGTCAACACGACCGATTCACCAGAGGCAGCCTTGAAAAAGTTTCAAGCGCTGCAAAAGGCCTACCAGACATTACTGGGCAATGCCGACGACGCCAACGATGGCGTTGAGGAATGGAGGTTTGCCGTGTGGCGTGGAGGCGATCGCTTGGCGCAAGATCGTACGGATGTGGCCGGTCTGGCACGGAAACGACCCGTCCAACCAGCCTCCAAGGCAGATGTTTGGGCGGCACGACAATTGGGACATCCCGATGGACGCGGCAGCACGACCGGTCGAGCGGAATATTTGACGGCGGGAAGTAAACCCATTTCGTCCTCGGTTGGAACGGGACAAAACAAATGGGTCGCACCCAAACCATTCAAACCGTGGAATCCAGAAGAATCGCACAAGGTTCGAGCCAGCCATTTTGCAAAACAACAACAACAGCCATCCGACCATGACAAACAATAATATGCAATCAAGAATTGGGCCAAAAAGGAAGCGCAATTCTCTTAGGTTCTCTGATCCTCGATCCTGAGCTTCTTTCAGCCTGGCTACACGCACAAAAAGTTTAGAATTCATTGGAGAATTCTACTGTACCTTTCAATTGGACCTACCGGTATGATAAGAATCCCGGGTGCCGAAACTCCACTGAAACCATCAATTTTGGAAACTTGGAAGGCTAGACGACAACGATAGACACTGTATATAAGACCATTCCGAGTTCAATGTGTTACTTCAATTAAATTTCGGATTTCTACTTTAAAAGTCCAGGTGCTACTGCGGATGCCTAACTAACCAACCATTGGAGCGCTTCCTACATTGTGCTGTTCATCCTCCATGATCCGGACTCGGTCCAATCGATAGTCCATTGTCATCATACTATTCGGTGGGACAATGCTCACTTGGACTTTGCCATTCGTCTCTTGTTCAATGATTGCCTTGGCTTCTTGGGCGGGTTTGCCCACCAACTCGGGCCATTTCATCTTGTTTGGGGTAGTACCATCGGAGGATGACATGCTGGTATAGCTAATGATATGAGTTTGTCGTTTTCTTTTGTGTGGTTTCTTGCTAGCTAGTAGGTAGGATTTAGTTTTTGCTCAATGAAGTTTGTGGTATGATGGTCCAAGCACGGTGAGAGCTGTTTCGTGGAAACATAACCAGCACCGCGGACCAGCGAACTATCAACTCGACTTTTGACTCGTGACGAAAAGAAGAAGAAGCTCAAGAAAAATAATGAAATTTAGCAATGTGTTTTGAGAAAACACGATCTTGTTTGACAAATTTATGGTTTGACGTCTATAAATTTTATTAAATATTTGGTGAATAACCGGCCAAACTGAGCCCACCAAACAATCCCGCCATGGGTTCGCCGATTTGGGTCCGGTGGTTGCCTCTTGTGATTCTTTGATGACTTGGTTACGTTCTGCCCTTGGGCCCGTGGTGAAGCCAGTTGGTCGTCTGCTAGCTAGCTAGCTAGACCAGTTGACATACACGTAGCTCACAATAGGGCTGCTGATGGGAGAGATTGAGAATCACCACAACCAACAATAGTACCAGGTAGGATAGCTTGGCCAACTGTTCCAACTTCTTGAAACCGACGGCCAACAGGATGCACACATTGCTGCCTGCACGCAACTGGTGTACGGTATCGATTATAGATTCGAAGGAACTTGTGCATGTACGGTACACTGTACTATTATGTTCTTAGAGTTGACAGAAAAGAAACCAAACACAAAACATTTGGGAGACCAGCACGCCAGCAACTGCCCAACATGGCAAGCTAGAAATAGTATTGAAGCACAGTGCTTTCAAGAGACACACGCTTTTTCTTGGTTTTGCTGCCCATGATACAGTCAAATTTGACCAATGATTGATACAGAGCTTCATCGAATCGAACAAACTTGATAGGTGCAACATGCCATGTATAGTCAGTGTCAATTAGGTAGGCCAGCATGGTCCAATCATCCTTATCTCTCTCATCCAAAGAAGCCCAATCTTGCTCCTTTCCGTACTCCTCTCCATATTGTTGTCTTAGTCTTTTGGCCATGGTTACGTGCTTAGCTTCAATTTCAGGGCCGAGATTGTTCTTGCCAAATTCGTTGTAGGAATACCGTACATAATCACGGGCAACGGAAAGCTTATTGTCGAAATCCAGATCTGTATCTGAGGCGAAACGGACGCTGCTTTCAATATAATCTTCATCGTCCACCAGTCGATAGACACCAACATACATCCTTCCGCCAGCCGCCAGCTTTCCATGCCAAAGGCGTTTACTGGGTTTATTTGCACACTCCACAAAAACATGAAATTCCTCTTGCTCTGGATTCTGGTTTACGCCAGCTGTCAAGACAAAGCCCCTATCTCCAGGAAATCTTGGCCCAAATGGGTTCCACGCTTCGTTTCCAGCCACGTAGAACTCACCTGGTTTGATAAATGGGTTGACCTCCCAGTCAACAATTGCGTCCTTAGTGTTCACATTGGGTGGATTCTTGACCTGTGGAAAAGGTTGCATGCCACTTCCTCCAAGAATCTTTGTAATGCACTGTGCATAACATCCACGGCGGAAAACATAACGACCTTTTTGAGTGTCTGGGTCTGTATTGGCAAGCTTCCATTTATGAAAGCAAAGCTCTCGTTTTTGTAACTCCTCTGGTGACAGACTTGATGTACATTTCTCTGCCTTGACCCTTGCATCCTGCCTTACATCAGTCAAAACTTCCTGGCGAACCACTTGTGCCTCCGAAAGTTGCACATCTGGGACGCTGTCATCTTGGTGTTTTACAGAGGCAGTGTTATCTTCTGTTCCAGTGTTGGAACCAGAGCTGTCGAGCACAGATGCTTCATCGTTAGTGGTGGTTTGTCTGTTCCTGGGGGCATCTCTGTCTTCTTTTTCACTATCAAGAAGACCTGAGGCGCCAACAACCTGGCCAGTTGTTGGCGCCTGGCCAGTTTTGCCATCACGAGCATCCTCATTGATTGGCTCGCCAGAGGTAACAGCAACAGGACTTGTGATCTCTGCTGTGTGGCCATGTTGATTCTCTGCAGTTTTTGCAACAGAAGCTGCTTCACTGTCGTTATGATCATCTTGGAGTTGCTCCTCAGTTTTTGCAGCCACAACAGACTGTTGATTCACTTCAGTTTTGATCGATTCAGTATCTTGGTTCAGATTTTGTTGATTGCCTTCGTGCTTGACTGGGGCCATGATATGCCTGCCACTTGGCTGCTCATCAGGCGCTAAAGATTCTTCTTGTTTGACAGCAGCCAGAGTGGAGGTACATGTAGTTTCTTGAGGCGTGGGCATGGCAGGCACAGCTTCATCATCAATGTCATCAATCTCGATCACTTCACGCTGCTTGGCTTCTGGCATGAGCTTAGTCTTCTTGTTGCTGGATGTGCCCTCACCAAGAATCTTGACAGTATCTTTCTTCCTCAGCTCAAGGTTTTCTAGTTCCTCAGTGTCTCCATCATCGTACCGAATGTGATTGATAATTTTGTGCTCCTGTTTCTCCTCATGCCCTTCAATGACTCCAGGATACCACACACAATCACCAATTTTCTGTAGGCAGAGAGAAGATACAATTCTGAGAGGTCCTGCAACAGAACATTCTTGCATCCGAGCAGTGCTGGTGGAAACTTACTCGCTCAATTCTGGTGCCGCAACGGTACTTGATCTTGTGAGCTGAGCGGCGACTCTTGCAGAGCCTACAAACATGGACTAGTCCAGACATGGTGGAGATCAATAGATTACTGCAGAAGGATTTGAAGTAAGTTGTTGCTTTCTGGGGGTTTCAGAACAAAGATCTGGCGGCAGAAAAGATCTGAAAACAACGGCTTTTGGATCTTCGATAAGCCCGTTAGGCTGTTTTTGTCACCAAAATTTGGAGCAGGTATCCGTACCGGTATCCACCGTACCACTGGTACCGGTGCCTTCACACGTCGGGTGTCAGTACGTCAGTTCGAAACCTTGAAGCCGACATCCACAAACACCCTTGCCTTGACGACAGTGCTGGACTCGACTTTGTCCGCTTCTACCACAATCAGCATTCAGCTTTAGGGGGTTCCTACTTTTTTGCATCAGTTGGTCCTTGAAGTTTGCAGTTACTGAAAGAAGAAAAGAAGTCATGACGGTGCTTACAACGGCTCTGCTTCTGATGGTGACATCCAGCCTGTGTGTTGATGCATGGGTATCTCCAACACTTGGTTTTCTTTCAAGACAACAACCAACTATCCATTCACAGCTCCAAGACATGGCCGTGACGTTGGACGGAGAACAGATTCGAGGACCCATTACCCCCTTGGGGAATTTTGTTCTTGTCAAGGTCAAAGATACCCTGCAGGCGACCGCTGGAGGGGTCCTGCTACCAGACCAATCCAAGGAACGTCCTACAGAGGGGTTGGTCATGGAGGCGGGACCTGGGAAAATCCACCCGCACACGGGTATTCGTATCACCAACCCTGTCACAGCGGGAGTATCGGTGCTCTATGGAAAGTTTGATGGCAAACCAATCGAATACAAGGGTGAAGAATGTCAAATGATCCGGGACGACGATGTCATGTTGTATTATACCGGCGTCACCATGAGCTTGGAAAATGTGACACCCTGTCGGGATTATGTATTGATTGAGGTGCCACCTAAACAAGAACAATTGACTTCTTCAGGAGTTGTAATTGCTGATATGGTTACCAAAGAAGATGAGGTCTGTGAGGGCTTTGTGATCAAGGTGGGAGAAGGACGATTGAATTCCAGTGGAGAATTCTCCCCAAGCCCAGTGGCAATTGGAGAGAAGGTCAAGTTCAAGGATTATGCAGGAAATGATGTTCGTATTGAAGGCAAGGACTATGTTCTGGTGCGAATGGTGGAAATTCTATGTACAGCCTTCAATGATGTAACGGAGGAGCACAGTCCCTAGCTAGAAACGAAGGTGCTTGCTCTGGTATTAAAAGGTGGACATTCCAGTGTCAAAATTGTTATTTCCGGGTGGCTCTGTTCGCCAAAGCATACGCCTTTTGCGCCAGCGTTGAACCCTACCGGTGTCTTCTGTCTCTCAACTCCATGGTGCTTCACTATTTCTTTGGCTACACGGCCAGAAGAAAGGAAGACCTGAAAGTAGCTGGGCCCAACCCGCATTTTCGTGTGTACAAACTCTATCAAATGATACGGAGAGCTATCGTTTCAAATCCAGTGGAATTGTAACTCTCTTGATGAGTGGACTCTTGTCTTTTTCGACACCTCTGCTTCCAAGTAGATCTTTGGGTATCCTGTAGGTTAAAACAATAGCCGACGCTTTTCCGTCTCTGCCCATTTTCACCATCATGTGCGGCCAATTCGATGTTATTGTTCCCCAAGGATCGTTGAAAAGTCTCCACCCAAACCAGGTGTTGGGAGGGAGCTTTTCATACAGATAGTAGTACTCTGCGATTCTGTCCTCCACCTCGAGGCCAAAGTCGTTGCAGGCAGTTTCGGGGTACTGGCTTAGAGGAATTCTTGGAGCCTGTTGTAGATCCACCGTAAAGCTTGTTGGTATCGCGTGGTAGCCGTACAAAAAGCTGGAGGATCCATCCACATCGCAAGGCTGCACATCGGGATGGGCGTGGACCCAATGTTCCAAGGCATACCTGTCCGTGCCCAAACAATGCGACGACTCTGCTGAGCTGTGTCCAGCAAAGTAACCCCCCATGGTATCAATAAACGTAGAAGGGTCAGCTAGCTGTGCAATGTAGTCACACCGGGCAGTCCACATGTTACCCCCAGTATGAGGATGAGGAAGTGGAGAAAACCTTGCGGAACAAACATTGCACTTATCCTTTGGCATTTGTGCACATTCGGGTGTCAACACAGCCTTGGTCAAATACCGGCGAAGTAGGTTGTTGGCTGGATCGGGTGTGAAACTTCCCTTGGAATGCAGGTAGGCAACCACTTGGTCTGGATGAGTGGAATTGCTTCTGCAAAATGACCACAAATCATGGAGTGACCGAGACTCATCTCCCTTCTCAAAGTGTTGAATCTCTATCCCAGCAGCGGCAGCAGGGGTTTTCGAAAAGTGGTCCTGCAATTCGAGGAGTGTGGTTTTGACAGGCACCCCTATCGACTTGATGTAGATTGCTCCAAATATCTTGCTCGACACAAAGGGTGCCAGCTGCTCTCGAACAAACGTAGTAACACGTGATACATCGGACTCGTCTTGGATGAATAGATTGTAGAACACAGTTACGGGAGGCCCAGCAGTCAGATTTGGAACTACGGGTTTCCGTGTTTCGCCAGTTTTGTTATAGTATGTCGTAGAACGATAGGCAAGGATCCCCAAGAAGAAAGTGACGAAAGTATGCTTGATGAAAGAGCAACGAAACATTCGTCGTCTCTTTCTTTTGGATTGTTCTGTCGCCTGTGACTTTCTCGCAGGCGAAGGCAAGTTTCTCGGTGACAAGCCAAAAGCCATGGCAACGTTCAACCCAAAAGCTCTAAGGAAAGGTACCTGACAAAGAACCCACTGCTATGCTGGTCCTGTACCCGCGGCTATCGGCTTGTCCTGGTGCTTCCGACTGTGTCGAGAGCGACGAAAATATCAAAATTGTGAGCAGATCGCCAAAAGCCACTTCTCAGTAACGCTCACAATTCCAAAAATTGCACAATATTATTGCTATTCCGTGGCACCAATCTTATTATTATTATTATTGCGCTGTGGCACAAGACAGCATAAGCTAGTTAGGTTTGCTAGCCTTGGAACGCAAAGTTGCCACATATCATTGGAAAGTGCTACCGTACGATACGCTAGCCTAGTAGCTAGCTAGCTCGATACCGGTAGGTGAATTGATCTTGTAAAATCTATTCCTGCTACCTCATACCGTTTACCTGCAACTACACACTGTACGGTACGCACGCTAGCTAAAATCCCCAGACACTCTTCTTTTTCAGTTTCTCCTTGAGCTGTGCCGCCATATCTGCATAATCCTGCGCACCGTCTTGCAAATCACTAGCCTTGTCTCCTAGTTCTTCAATCATTTCTCCTCGTTTGTGCATGGCGTTCAGGTTTTGTGCCATTTGGGATTGTGCCGTGGCGGCCTTTTCTTGTGCCGCTTTTGCGGCGGATGCCTCGGCTTCTCTCTTTTCTTCTCGCGCCCGTTCCGTGTCGGCCACCTTTCCAAAGAGTTCTCCTCTCATTTCTTCTTCTGCCTTTTGCGAGTGTGTGCCTCCAAATTCGGTCAAGACGGATACAATGGCGTGGTGTAGTTGATCGCGTTCGGCTGTGTGTATAGAAAAAGCATGGTCAGATGGGTGAATTAATATGGAACACAAAACCCAACCACACACTCTCTTTTGTGCCTGCCTGCATATTGTGCTTACCATAATACATGGGAGTTTTTCCTTCTCCATCTTCGACATTGGGATTGGCTCCGGCTTGCAACAAGTGTTGAATGACGTCCAAATGTCCCGCCCGTGTAGCGTAATGCAAGGGCGCATAGTGATTGTACGAATCGAGTTGATCCAATCCTTGTTCGGCACTGTCTTTGGTGGCAAATTCCAATCCGACATCTTCCCAAACACCCGTCACGGCTTCGGTGAACCAATGTGTCTGACAGAGTCGATATTGCCATCCTCGTTCTGTGTGCTGTGCCGCTGACAAAAACTGAGCATGTGCTTGTATAGCGGCTGTTTGGAGGACTTTGGTCCACGTGGCGACATCTTGCGACGGCAAAACTTCAAAAGTGGTGGTCCCGTCGTGACAGGTCAATTTCAAAGTTTGATGAACAGTGGTTTGAATTTGTCGAACATTGGTCCAGAGGGCACTGCCGAGCGGTGTCAGTATTTCGGATTTTTGTCGGCCAAACAATCCCGCCGAGACGGTTTCCGGTTTGGCAATTAAAAATCCGCGCGTAAATAGCAACAGTTGACATCCATGATGCGTCGTCGTTTCGCCGTCATCGTCGACATCTTTATACAAGACGGTGCCTTGTTTGAGGAGTAGCGAAATGGGTAGATTTTGAGTTTGTTGCGTGGCTTTTCCCACGACCAATCGATTCCATTGGCATTGTGGATTGTGAGGATCTTCATCTTTGGTAGCATCGTCTCCATTGCCACCACCGCCAAAAATGCTTTCCAAGGGATTCTTTCCACCCGATTTCAACAAGCCCGACTTGACGCCGAGCAGAGTGGCAATTTGTTCGAGTTCTGCTCGTTCCTGTGGATTGGGTTTGTAATGACGACTGTAAATTTCGGGACGATTGGCCCAATCTCCCAGATTCGACTTGGAAGAAGGAGGTTTGGGTGATGCCGTCCTGGGGGGAGTCGTCGCCCGGGGTGGTGTTGCTGCTTCCGCTATTGGTATTGGGTCAATGGCGTCGTCGTCGTCGTCCTGTGCCTCTTCCAAGGAATCGGTGGATTCCAAAAAGTTGGTATCCAAATCCAAGGCTGCGAGTTCTTGATCCAGGTCCAATTCGTCTTCTCCCATGGTTTCTTCTTCTATTCTTTTCTATACTAGTAGTATACCTCTTCTTTGTCTCCTGGTTCTAGCTAGCTAGTGCTGGCTAGATTCAATAAATTATTATGACTCGACTGTCGCTCTTTGATGGTTTTCTGTGGTCTTCTTTCTACAGTGCCGTATCTTTCTGTCCCTTCCGAATGAAAGGGCCCGAAATCAGGATTTTAAGAATCCAATTAAATTGATCAATTCCAAACCAAAATATAAAACCGAAACCAAAATATAAAACCGAAACCAAAATATAAAATCGAAACCAAATCACTATGGTAAATAACTAGTGAAATCAAGCCGAAACCTAAATATAAAATCGAAACCTAAATATAAAACCGAAACCAAAATATAAAATCGAAACACAAGTATAAATAGGAATTTGGTGTAAATCGCCATTTCGGGCCCTTTCAATGGCCGAATGAATGATCACAACGGTGTTTGTTCCTGCTGGTCTAAAACAAATTTAACAACGGTTAGTTTGTGCCAAACTGGCGGGCCCTGTGCGCACAATTTCAAACGACCCACAAAAAGGAGGTGCTCCAACTGCATTCTTTCCAAGAGTGCTGTTGACTTACTTTGTCCGTATCAGTAGATAGTCTATTAGCGGAGTTGTCTACCGTACGGTGGTCATCAGTGTGAGAGTGTCCATCAAACGCTTGGTTGCGTCGTCGAATAAGGACTTCCCCTCGCTCTTTTCCTGTTACAGTACCACCAAAGAGCTTTTAGTTCCCGTCATACACCGGCAGCAGCAGCCCCAACCATCCGTCAAACAAGGCACCACTACTCTACTCATCATACAACAACAATACTACCGTACTGTATCTATACACTCCACTACGAACAATGAGCAACAAAACCACACCGACGGTATCCTTGATGAAGGAGTTGATTGGAGGATGCATGTGTCAAGTGGGAGCAGGTCCCCAAGCGTCCAACGACAATAGTCGATCCTCGCAATTCGTCAGCATTCACGGCATTGAATTCATTGGTCTGGGAGCCGTCATTGACGAACTCACTGCCAAGGAACGCGTCTACGATACGCTCGAACAGCTCACCACTCGTACCGAACGACTCATCTCCATTGGATACTTGAGTGTCGAAGATGCTTCGCCGACAAGTAAGACGGCCAAGATTGCCGTCGAGACAGTGCCTTTGGATGTATGGGAAAAGACGTACCCCAACGATCAAAGCATGGCCAAACACGTCAAGAAAAAGATTGCCAATATTACGGTAAGTAATGTGATTATGATTGAGGAGAGGACACACTAACATAGCAACAGATTGGAAGAGTGCTGACTGTGGATTGTTGGGTTCTCATTCATCTATCTCTATTGTCCTATGCATTATGGTATGTATGTATTGTATATCACAGTCCAAAAAGTTTGACGCATCCATTACCGAGTTCCACAATGATCTCAAATCGCAACGCGCCAATCCGCAACGAGGGACCAATGGACTCGTCGCGGGCATTACGGCACACAATCTAGCCGTCCTTCATGTCTTGGCGGGAAACGATCAGGAAATCATTCCACTCTTTCAAGAAGCCATTGATCGCAAACGAGATGCTTTCGGGCATGATCATCCACAAGTCGCCATTTCACTCGATGAAATTGGCATTCAATACTTTGCCGCCGAACGATTCCCGGCATCCCTACAAGCCTTTCAGGAAGCACGACAAATTCGGGCTCCTACCGCACACAACAATCCCTCCAAAATGGCCATGGTACTCAATAACATTGCCTGTTGCCATTTCCAAATGGGACAGCATACACAAGCCTTGACGACGCTCGAAGAAGCACGCAATATTCTAAAGTCGTCTGCTGCCAATGCCACGGATCTGGATTTGCTCCATGTCGCCATTACCAATTGCAACTATGCCTATCTCTTGTTGCAGGCCAAGAAATACGAGGAAGCGAGAGTCATCTTTGAAGAAGAGTTGTTGGTAAGTACGACTGCACAGGTAGTTGCATATGTATTGACGAAGTATCATTCACTGACTCACTCCTTATCATCTTCTGTTTTGTTCATCCAGATTCAGCAATCGGTATTAGGCGACAATCATCGAGCAATACGAGACACACTCAGCAATATCGAGTTCACCAATGCCTTTCACTCATAGAATACAATGACATGGAAGTCTTGGGATTTGGCAAAACTATGACTGTAGTGCAAACGTTTTCATGCTGCTTTGGATGTGAGGAGCCCAGATGGATTGATTGGATTGAATCCTTCCTTCTATTCATCGTCTACATAGACCTGGCGGTCCAGTCTAACTGTTCTTAAACTTGTTCAACCTATATTTGAAAAAACCTTGGCTGTTGGCTTGCTATTGTTGCTTTAGGGTATCTATCTATCTAGTCGGCCTGCTTACCGTATGCCACCTCAAAAGGGCAGCTTGAGACCGGCGTTCTTCCATCTTGTAGAGGAGCCATTCGATTCTCGAATAAGGACGGCCAAATCCATAAAAATAGAATTGTCGCAAAACTCTTCATTGTTCAAGGGATCCAAAAAGATCTTGGCCAGATTGAGGAAACCAGTGTACGACAGTGTCACTAGCCCCACGGCAAAGACAGAGTAGACGCCCAGATCTGACGAGAAAGGAGGTTAATAGTGTGAGAAAACGAAAACGGCATTCGCTCGCACCTCTGCCTTTGTCCTGCACTTGCCTGCATAAAGAGCAAAGGGAGCCACCAACACGAACGTGTCCACAAGGATCTGCACCAAGTGAGTGTATGCCAGTGGCATGCGTCCGGCCAACTTGTCCGTCATATCACCATGGGACCCACGCAGCCTCGACGCTTGGCTAATGAACTGCGTCCGAATAGCATTATTATCTTGTACCACCCCAGCTGCGATGGCTCGGTTGACGCGAATCAACATCCATTCCAGTGGAGCATTGTGCAGCTGATCTTTGGGCAAGTCCAAACTCTGCAGTACTTTGAGTTGCTCCGGAGTCATTAACCCGCGGCTTTCCAACCGTTCCAAACCTTCCGGAGTGTTCAACATGGCGAATCGATCGGCGACACCGGCCCACATCAAGATGTGGTACAATCGAGCGTACTGTCCAATATCGTCCATGAGTTGCACAGCCTCGGCGCACGGTGTGCCATCGTCGTTGCGGTCTATTTCAATGTTGGTGGCCAGAACGAGTTGAAAGTCATTCAAGCGGCCCTGAATTTGACGTGCCAGCAAGTAAGTATCCATCCAGAATTGATAGGCTTGGTTCAGGAAAAACGTAAGGACAAACGTCGTAAGGTTCCGTTGATAGCTCCAAATCTCTTTGATCAAAGCGAGGCGTTGGACAAAGGGAAGATTCTTGTCGGGGACAATCACATGAGTTTGCAAATTGTCGAAAAACTTCCCTATCAAGGGAACCGTGGATTCCCCAGTAACTTGTTCGGCATAGATAACAAAGACCACACAGAGCAGCATATTGAGAAGTGTCGTCCTGAGACTGATATTGAGAATGGTCCCCTGGAACTGACTCCATAACCAGAGCCGTTCTGGTTTGTAAGGAGGGATGATTTCTCCACCATACAAAGCCTGCGTCCCACTCACTTGATTGATAACAGCATCAATCTCTTCCATTGTGGCGAGTGATTGAGCTGGTTTGTTAAGGATCGTCAAGTAGGTTGCTGCAGGGACCCGCCATAGCGACACGGTCTCGGACTGTGCCGTGACGGTGGCACTTCGTGTTTCGTTGTAGAGCACCCCAAGGTCACCAAAAAATGATTTCGGTCCAACCACTCCATACGGCTCGGGGACCATGACACCGTCCACCGTGACAATGCATTCCCCGTCTGCCACCAGATAGACGTAATCATTGTAGCAAGAGTCACCTTGGTAGACAATCACTTGGTCTTTTGTCACCTGAAAATCTTCACAGGCATCAATGAATGCCGAAAGAGAAGGATCTGGTAGGTTTTTAAAGAGCACGTTTCCGGAAAGTGCTTCTCTGATGAAACTTTTTTCTTCAGTTGTCTTGATGGAATTTCTGTTCTCTTCATCACTGGAATCTCCCTTTTCTTGTCCTTCATCGTCTAGTAGGCGAGCGCGGAGACATGGTCGGAGATGAGGCTCGGGTTGCTTGGCTTTCTCACGGTTGCTCAAACCATTAGATGATGGTATCCAACGCTCGGATGGTAATGGACGAAGCAAAAATGCTGTGGTTTGTTGCAGCAGGAGCAAAGCTAATAGTCTCAGAGGATGTCTAAAGCTCATGGTTCTTGCCAAATTTTGGAAAAGAGGCTGGAAAAGGAAAAGGTGAGGTCTCTTGTCATTGTTGAGTACCGCTCGCGACTGCGCCTGTGGAAATGGCGCGAACATCAGCCAGGCGAACCTTTCCTTCGGTTGTTTCCATGACGTCACCCAGCTCTCCTGTCACCCATCTCCCTTTCATCAAGCAACAAACGAGCCGAGACAGAGTCTCTTGGCAGCTAAGCAAACAACGAATGCGATGATGCCAATAGTAAACTCTATCCTCTTTGTGCTAGGATTAGTGCTGACGACTAGTAGTGTTTCAAATCGTTGTTTTGTGAGTGGCTTTGGAGGTTCCACGGCAAGATCCAGACAACGGTTAGATCCAAGGAGAGGCTCTTGCTTTCAACGGCATGTTTTATCAAGCGACTATCTTGAAAACGACTTGTTGGCCATCGCTTCCAATAGCGAAGATGAGGATTCCAAACCACGGCTGTGCGTGGTGAAACCCGACGGTACAGTCTATCCTCTGTGTCAAAGAGAAGACGATGTTGAGACGGACATGTTCGTAGACCCACGAGAATATTCCAACGAATTCTGGGGAGAAGTTACAGATGAACAAGTGACTGGTAGCTATGGCGAAGGTTGGTATGGACAGCGACCCGTACCTAGCTTGGGTGGTGGCCCAGGGTATGGTGCCGAAGCCGATGAAATTTGGTCGATTGATGAAGAATTGATTGAGACCATCCGGAACGACGGCGTCGACTTGCCAATTTTGGATATGGGAATTGCACATGGAGAGAAGGCTCGGGCAGGAGCATTTTGAACTTCCGTTTCATGACAGATGGATGGAGAGTCAAAATGATGGTTGGAGAGTCAATTGATGGTTGGTTGATGAACAGTCAAATTCAAATAGATTCGATTCGATTCGAATGATTCTCCCCGACGGATCCAACTCCCGAACCATACTTCTCAACAGTGGCGGCCTTGCTTTGCTGCGTTCTTGCAGAACTACAACTTTTGATTTACATTAAAATTTGGTGGCGCCTTACAACAATAAGCTAATCCCGCGTTGAAAGCCTCAGGGAAAGTATACTGAGCAATAACTCGTTGTGCTATTACTTAAAGGTCCAAAAGGCGCAGGCGCCGATTCGGTGGCGGGTGGCGAGAGATTGAATGATTGAATCTCAATCAACCAACAAATCGAATGAATTGGTTCGAGGTCGTGATTTGATTCTATTCCTTTTCTGGTCCCTGCCTTTTGCAGCTTTCGGTGCCCTTTACGCGTGACTTCGGCTACTTGCGATTTTGCCATGCTATGCCTGACCGAGAATGCAAGGACTCTTGCCGTAAAAAGAGGTATCCTTGAAGCACACCAGCAAGGTTTCCTAGACTAGAGAATCGCGAATATTGTCTCATGTACGATCACAGTGATGCACTCTATGGGCTGTACAATTGAGAAGTCCATCAGTACCAAAGAGCCAAGATGAAAGCCACAATGGAGACGAAAACTCCACTCCAAGGCATTGCTGCAGATCCTCCGCCAGAACCCAGGATACGCTCTGCGGTCTCTTTTCCAGACAGAGCTGCCCCATGAGCATAACCATTGTCATACTTTGCGTAACTGGCAGGAATGGCTTCTCCAGCAAAGTAGAGCACGCCATTGATGGGTTTGCGAAGCCGGTCCATCTGGCGCCATGTATTATCATAGTGACTGTAAGTACCACGGATAAAGGGTTCTCGATCCCAGCTTTGTACCACGCCATCAATCAAGTACTGACTAGCCTTGCCATCAAACATCTCATCCAACATCGCAACAACATGGTTCAGAAGAGTTTCATCATCCCATTGAGCGGATTCCTCAGCCCATTCTCCTGACACAAAAACACCCAGGACATGCTCAGTTGTGGTATTTTCACCATAAACTTCATTGTAGAAGTAAAGATTAATTGGATCAAGTGCAGACTCAAATATATCTGGATAAAAGCCCTGTTCAAACTTGAGGAAGATCTTGTATCCACCAGGAAACGGAATGCTGTCAATCGCATTGGTGTACTTGTTGGGAAGCTCTGGAATGAATTCAATGTCACCATCTTGCAGGATTTGGATCGGAGCTGTTACAATAATTTGAGATCCTTCAAAGGAAGTACCATCCTTGCAAGTGGCAGTGATGGCCTTGGCGGGATCCTCTCCATCAGTGGTGCCTGAGTAATCAATGGTCACAATGGGACAATCAAAGACAATAGATTCTTTCACAGCTGGCACACTAATGGTGTCATTGAAGAAGTCAAACCAGGTATAGTTTTGAAAGAGATAGTCTGGGATTTTTGCATAATCAATGGAATGGTCAGGTGCAAACCCTTCTGTCGGACCATACCACACCATATGCTCTGCTACGTGATGAATAGTATCAATGGAATCCATAATTCTGTCATTCTGAGAAATATCTTCCAATACTGTTGGTTGGACATGGATCCACTCGCCTCCCAGGTCAATTGGGAAAGAGGCAAAGCCTTCTAGTTTCTTCAGGCGTCCGCCAATGCGGTTACTGGCTTCCAAGATGCGAAAATCAGTAACATTCTGAAGCAACAACGTATATGCAGCCGTCAATCCTGCAGCTCCAGCTCCCACAATTAAAATTGTCATGGTTTTTGATTTGTTGTCTTTTGTCTCCTTTGTTTTGTGTGCCTTTCATTTGTGGGAAGTGGACAGTGGGAAGGAGCGATCAAAAGAAAAGTGGCATGTGTGTACCATTTGGAGAGTTCCAAGGCCGAGTGCCAAGAGAATGCACGTGTGTACCATTTGGAGAGTTGCTTTGGTTCAAACTCCTTCACGAAGAATCGAATGAGAATCGAATCAAATCAAATCAAATCGAATCAAATCGAATGATCCCCACGCAACGGCTGATCGGGACGAAGCAATAATATTATTATTGGTGTTATAATCCGCAGCCACGCGCGACCTGCGACAACCAAAAAGCTTTGTCCAGGAGACTTCGAAACCAAAACCTCCACGTTACAGTTTTGCAAGGAAGCGATCTCGAACAGCTGCATCGAGCTTTCGTTCATGGGCCCAATTCTGTTCTCCAAACAACAGCTTATCAATGGCACAGTGTTTGGCAAAGCCAAAAAAGTTGAGGCTTCAGGTGCAGTACGACACATACCGGTATACGTGGCTAGCTCTCAGCAAGGAAAAGGTGTCACCTGATGAAACACACCGCTGGTGCCCACTTCGTAGAAGGAATGTGAAAGTTCGAGTACTGTACATTTCAAGCACAAATCATCTTTGGTCTGCAGGTCAGGATGCCCTCCACAAGGTCACTCGTCCAGGGTTACGCATCCTTCATGGTTGTCAGTGCTGCTTTCAGCTTGCCGGGGGACGGTACGACTCCTCGATGTGAGCTCGTCTACGGCAAACACTGCAATCCTGCAGAAACTGTTCTTTTGGGGTACAACGCACTGTGGAAGCTTCATGTCGGTGTTATACTTGTTGTGCTAGTTGCACGGTCCAGCAAAATCACAATCGTTCTCAAACAGTTCGTCACGTACTCCGTTCTGCTAGAGCTCACGGGAGTTTTTCTGCTGGGAACCCACGTTCTGAATGGCGCCATGGACAACATGGTCCACATGGTAACATGCATTGCCCATTTTGGATTCCTTGTGGCCCTTCTCCTCGCAGAAGACGAAGACTCTTTGGCCGCCACATCTCTGGATCTCAATGGGATTGGTTGGAATGCCAAGGGCTATCTGCTTGCCGTCGCAGCATACTTTGTACTGTGGCTCTTTGTCAACACTCAACAGCCGTGTACCGATGTCATTTTGGATCAGACTGATTTTTCTCTTCTCGCTCAATTCCACTGGAATTGGTGGTCAGTGGGTGCCCTCGAGACTGTACTTTTCCTTTGGTATACAGCAGCCTACGAATCGGAACTTCAGCAAATCAACGTTGCGCTGGCACTAGCAGCCCTGCAGCCGGTGGCTCTTGCGATGGTGTACATGCTCAAACCAATAACCACGACATCTATCTTTTTCATGACGACAACTTCATTCAGTCTCATCCTAATCTTTGGGATTCTTTCCGCCTTGCAACCCCTGCAAGTAGCGGGCTCAAGCGTAAATGAGAAGATTGAGTAGCAAGCTCAACGAAAGATGTCGTCTGTTCTTTTCAAGCCTAACTAAGTAATCGGTTGACAGTCGATAGAAATGCATGTGTTACTTGTTTATTGAAACATACGTCTGACCTCAGATTAGCGCTTGTGGCGTGGGACGAGAAGAAGTCTCTGGCTGGCCAGCTAGCCGTCTTCCTCGTCATTCTTGTTTGCTGCAATCTACCTCCTCGAACTCAGCTGACTGGCGGTGAGTAAAGGGGTGAGTAAAGGGGGGCAGCCGGGCCAACTGCGCAGTCTGACCTGCTAGCATGGCTTGCCTTTTTCAGCCCAGCTCGTTCCTTCTATGACACTTCCTGTTGCCGGTTTTCCTCGTCCTGTCTTTCAGAACTTGGTTGCGTATCGCCATGATAGCCACCATTCTAATCCAGACAGATAAAGGGAACACTGGTATTCAACAGGCTATTCCATGTGTACCCGTCTGACAAGACTTCTCCCAACCGCTCGTTTCCTTCTTCGTCAATGGTGTTGTTTGCCAAAAAGGATGGCATTACTTCACGGTGTGGAATGGATCCTCCTCCTTCTCGTTGTTCCGTCCAATCGTCCCGGGATGCTGCGGCATCGTCATCCGGGTCATCGAGAAAGAAGTCAAGTTCGGTGGCGTCATGGAGTTCTTGCAAAAGAGGATGGGCTTCTACCACTTCGGACAATCCCATTCGTGTCAAGTAGAATTGTAGTTCGGCGGTGCAAACGTCTTCGGGACGATCCAATAGCAATCGTACGGGTCGAAAGGGTGGCTCTCGAGTGGGAACGCTGTCGAGAAGCTGTCGTTCGCTCTTGGTGGTAATGGTCATTCCCGACGACTGGGGCGAGGAGGAAATGAGAGTGTAGGGATGCAAACACGCCGAAGCAAAGGTTCCGACAATGCATTCACTTCGACTGAAGAGACCCTCTTGGCGGGAGCACAGTCGAAAGCAGCGAAACAGATTCTCCGGCGGGGTAGTGTCGTCCTCATCGGTATCCAAGCCCTTTTCGCCACGTTCCTTGAGCTCAAGGAACCGGTCCCAGTCCACTTCGTACGCAGTGCACGAGTTCTTGGGAACTTGTTCGTCCAGTCGAATGTAGATGGTGACATTTCGTTCGGGCAAACTCTGAATCCGGTCACACAGTGTTGTGGTCATGGCCAGCGGAGCCTGCGAGAGCTTGGTGTTTCTCTTGAGATTCTCCCAGTACTCGTCCGGTTCCACTCCATCTTGATGACAGGCTTTCGGATCGTCGTCATTGCGGCTCTCATCTTCCTTGTTGTTGGCTGCTCCCTCCACGTCCTGGAAGAACCACGATGTTCCATTTCGTTGTCCCTTTTTGATGTACTCTCTCACGATGGGACTCCGCTTGAAGAGTCCGCAGTCCATGTAGACACCGAGCATATCCACAACAGCTGTATCAATGGCCAGATCAACATTCTCTTCTTCGATATCCTTGTCAATGAGGGATGTGAAATGGTCCGTGGTAATGAGCGGCCCCACTTTGGATACCGTGCTGTCTGCAGTAGTATTTCGCACGCTCCTGGCTCTGCTTCGACTGCTGGTAGCAGTACTCGTCGAGGGAATCCTCCATACTCTGTTCAGGTTACGACTATCGTAGGGATGCTTGCGGCGGTTGTTGTCCATGGTACAGTATCGTTTGGTTCAAATGATTCTTGGTTGACGGATGGCTGATGAATGGAGTATGGTTTTCTTTTCAACCAAATAATGAAGATTGCTTGGAGCACCTTTCTTCGGGTGCAAAACATTATGAGTTGAGGTATGAAACTGAAGAAATGGTTATATGTTACAATCGGAAGTCTATCAAATCGCAGATTGCAGCGTTCTTTCCAACCCAAGGTGCGCTGCACACAGGACGGTGCTCGATGTTTGCCAGAAACTCGAATGGAAACGGTTTTCGAGAGCAGCCAAGAGCCGCCCAACGCGCATTAAATCTTTCAGTTCCCCATGGAGGTCGCGCCTCTTTGACACCCAAGATCCAAGCAAGATTCTCCAAACCAAAACAACGACGAAGCTGCTCAGATCCTTTCATTTATTTCTTCAAAGACAACACTCAAGAACCCTTCCTTGTCCAAACAGTCCTCTTTCTCACTCTATTAGCACTCTCCTAGCACTCTACTACTATAGCAGCTATCAACATGCCCTCCAGAGCTTATCAACCAGCAGCCCCCGATTCGGTCGGGATGGCCGATGCTCTGGATCACGATGAAGTCTTTGATCATACGCCTGCGCCTCAAGCCGCGTCCTCGGCAGTTCCCGCTCCTGTCAATGCCGGCCCCATGATTCGTGATCAAGTGGCATTGAAACCATTCTCTCCTTCGTTTGGGGCTCCCAAACAGATCAAACCCAAGGCGCCTTTTATGTCGTATCCAACCACCACTTCGGTAGGTGGAATGGGATTGCCGACGGACCCGAAACAGGTCCAGGAACAAAAGGCCAAACTGCACAATATGGGCGTCACGTACCAACCCAACGTAGCCGCTCCCAAGCACCCTGAACCCAAACAAACCACCATTGGCGATGCACCACCCGCCATGAGTACCATGCTCAACAATATTCCCGCCTTTGCACAAGAAGTCTATGGCGATGCGGCACCCAATCGACAATTACCAGAACCCTTAATGAATCATCCTCGAAATCAGCAGCAACAAAGCGCAGCTCCACCACCCATTCAAAAAGTGGCAGCGCCACCACCGCCCATGGGGAGAGTGGCAGCGGCTCCACCACCAGCGCCTGTAGCAGCTCGTGCTCCTGTAGTAGCACCCGCCCCAGCTCCTCCTGTGGTTCATAGACAAGCAGCACCCGCTCAACCAGCTTCCAAACCAGCCCCAGCCCCACAACAACAACAAACCGAGGACACTTCGGCCGCCATTCCCAAAAATGCCAAAAAGGTAGTCACGACGACCACCACCACTACCAAAATTGTAGATGGCAAAGAGGTGACCGAAACACATGTGCATCACTCGGTGGTGGTCAAGAAAAAGGGATTTGGAATGCCAAAATTCTTGAAAAATTTGGGAGGAGCCAAAGAAAAAAAGACCACCACCACGACCACCACCACCACAGAGGAGTAAGGAAATGCAACAGGAAGGACGGACACGAAAATATATAGTAGGACCACCGAGTAAGCAGCACGTGAATTTTAAAAGTGGTCAACTAGAGGTGGGGTATCTAAATAATAATTTGTAGTTGTAAGGAACAAAAATCCAAATTATTGTCAACCACTGCTGTGTGAGGTGCCGGTACGGTAGTTGGTGTCCTGCTTTCGTAAAAAAGTAATTGCTGGGTCAGGCAAGTTTACAAACAGGGCCAATTTAACTTGACGATTGGAAGGCTCTCAATGATGAATTCACATGCTCCAAGATACTGAAAGCGGCCTTTGGCGAATATGCATACACATCCCATGAGATCGCTGTCCTTGGACACACTCAGGTTACTAGAATGGTGAAGACTGTATTGCTCACGGTGCAACCAAATGTTCTCATGAGGCGACACCGCTTCTGCTTTCAAGATTCATGCAAGAAGCCAGCAGAGCTAAGATCTTGAAGCAACCGAGACACCCATCACCACCGCCCTCAACTTGAGAATCACACCCGCTGTCCCCGTCGGAACTGTCATGGATCCATCGCAGCAACATGGTGCCACTAAAATGGGTCCAAGAAGAGGTGTTGATGATCACCATGCTCCAATTCACCACAGTTCAGCTAAAGATATGCCATCCGAGAATGATCTGGCGTTGAAATACCCAGACCATGGTTCTTTCCATCATCTTGCCACGGCATCCAGCAGTAGTACCAATGCAAACTCCCCGTGGCTGGGTCTTGCCATTGCTGGGACCACCATTGTGGGAACTCTGGTTTTGACGGCTCCCTTTGTCCTGCAGTATATCCGATCGCCACTCCCCTACATGGCAACTCCAAAGGACAAGGTGAAGAGAGCATTGGACTATGTGGCCAATCGAAGACCACGACTGACGCCAACGAGAAAACGTCATTTTGTGGACATGGGAAGTGGAGATGGAGAAGCCGTTTACCAAGCCTTGCAACAAAAGAAACAAGAAACGATGCTGTATGACTCTGCCACGGGTATTGAACTCAATTCTACCTTGTGGGGATTGGCACATGCTCGTCGTATCTTGTTTTGGACACGTGCAGAACGGATAAGATCCTCGTTCCTCTTGCAAGATATGTTTGCCTTTCATTTACAACATGCCGACACGGTCATGATCTTTGGTGTCAAGCCACTCATGGAACCCATCAGTCAAAAGCTTGCGGCAGAACTTCAGGATGGAACACTAGTTCTAGCCTATCGATTTCCAATCCCACTGGCAGCCAATGAAGATTCGGAAGAAAAAGACCATGTTGGCCACTTGGAAAAGAGCACGTCAACCACTACCACTACTTCAATAGACGAAAAATCCAGACAAGCTAGGTTGCTCACGGCAGACTTGGTCTATGAAGAGGAAGAGATGAGGGTCTACGAGGTGAAGACGGCCACGGAAGATTCTTCCGACTTCCCCCATCCCAAAGAGTCCGTGGAACAAAGATGACAAAATTGTGCTGCTGCGAGTTTGGTTCGATGCTATGCAAAAGCTGGACACCCATTTCAAGCAGACAATCAGTACCCCTCTGACGATAAGTTTGGCTCTTAAATGTACCACGCTTTGTATTATATTGTGGAGATTACAGTTAGTTTCATGCATAATAGACTTTGTCATAGTAGCTGTGGACAGACACATTTATCATAGCTTTTTGATGGTCCACAAAGCCACGGCAAAGTCTGCAAAGTACCCGCCTACCACCCAATCTCCTGTATACCAATGTGTGACTGGCAATGCCGTCAAACCCACAAGAGTAGATACGATGGCGAGCGGCAGATTGTTGGCCATCCACTGCATGGGTGGCCACTTGCTCACAGGTCTCTCAAGCAGCATCATCATGGCATTCCACACAAAAAAGGCCGTCAATTTGAGAGGTGTGGGACTGAAACAATCCTTGCAAATTCCAGTCTCGGGATCCTTTTCGTGTCCATGATGATAAAATATCGCCGCCCACACGTAATCATGAATCAGCCCGGAACAGATAAAGGACCACATTACTGCCAAGGGCGTACTGACATATTTGCGGGCGGGCAAAAAGGCGCCACCCTTGAGAATGTTGTGAATCATGAGATTCCATTTGCGTCCCCAGAAATCAGTGGGGCTTTTGGATGTCCATAAAGGGTTCTTGAAGGTTGGTTTGGTCAAGTATCCTTTGAGGTTCTCACCAAAGTTCGTGAATTCAAAACCCACCAATAAATTGAGGTAGAGGTGAAGTACGAGAAGGTAGGCATTGGCAATATGATCTGGTCGTAGCAGTTCCCAAAACTTGGTCACGTGGAAATCATCCAAAACCACTGGATCCGATTTGAATGGTTTAAAATCAACGTGCATTTGGAAGGAAAGTGACAGGGACAGCCAATGATAGTAATAGACAACCCGTAGAAAGTTGCTAATGAATTGTTGTGTGTTGACTTTGACTCTGGCATTAGTTTTGGGATCCCATACATGATGAATTGTAGCTGTGTAGTAGGTCACATAATTGGCCAAGGAATATTCCACCACAGGAGGCGATGTATCGTACATGGCTTCAATAGAACGAAAGACCACGACCATGGGCAAAGGGGTCACACACATTTTGAGAATTTTGTTTTGAATATCCCACGCTTCCAGCATTTCAAAGGGTATCCACAACGACAATGGAATCATGACACCCCATCCCAACAGGTATGCGCCAACAGAACCTCGATTGGGTATAATCAACTTGTATATAATAACCGCAGCAATGACTTGGAACACTTGAGATAGTGTCACCAGCTGAATATATCCCAAAACCAAAAAGCGAGATAAGTTGGGTTAGATTGACGAGATGCCCGATACACGTTTAATGAGATGAAAAGAAATCTGGGGTACCTACCAAAATGAGCTGTTTCCACATTTCCCACCGTGGAGAATAGAGAGCAAAGGTACCCTCCAAACCTGGAATTCCAAAAGTGGAAAATGGTTCTCTGGCATCTTCCACCAGCTTGTCCTTGAACAGGTTTTTAATCGCTTCCATTGTATGTAGCTAGTTTGAAGTGGCCGATTTGTTTTTTGTGCAGAGCATCATTGTGCTGTGGTGGTGGCGGTTGCAGCGTCGTGGGGCAACGTTCCGTTGCATGTGGCTTTCACGCTGGATCCAGGAGACCGGAATAGCGCGAATGGTCGAATCTTGCTTGGAGCCGGAGTGCTGTAAATCATTCAATCCGCTGTTTTGGAAAAACGAGAAAAGTATAGAAATAATTGCTCAAACCAAATTTTCCTCTTTGCCAGTTGCATGCTATCGTACCGGTACCGGTAGAGCTAACTACTATCAACCTCTTTCTCACCTCTCCAAAAGTCAGAAACAAGCAGTTAGACCATCCAGCAGGAAGGCACTTTTATACTCTGCTACTCCCAAGTTGATCTCAGCTCATATACTTCCATGGGCACCATGAACAATTGCTTCCACCCTCCGTCACGGAATGGAAAAGTAGCTCTTTATTTCACACGATCTTGTTGTGGAGCAAGTTGGGAAACCGGTAGCTAGAGAAATAGAAAGCTTTTTATGTGATTTTCTTGGACCGTTGGCTTGCCAGCTACCGTAAAGTTGTGCAAATAGCATACCTGAAGCAGGTAGACCGCCAGCAGTCACAAGCAAAACAAATTCTTAGCATAGTCGAGCCAGAATCCAGTCCAAGCAATGAAGGTACGTACTAGCACCGTAATGGTACCTTCCGAAGTTGCAGGCTGCAGAACCTCTGTTCGTGATGGCAAGCTTTTCGATTTTTGCTACAGTAAGCGAATTTTCCTCTTCAAAAACACCCAAAAAACAGCATAGTCTGTTGCTTCATGAACCAAATAGACGCACATCAGGCGCCTTGATCCTGGTGTATCTTTGACTCATCCGACTCAAACCAAATCTTTCGCTGAAACACAAGAACAATCCCGTAACAACGATGACTGAGCCCAAGAGCAATCGACATTGCAGCAGCCAGCAGCCATCACTCGCTCTCTCGACGACGCCCAACAGCCAACGCTCATAGAGAAAAAGATAGCAAGCCACAAGCACTACGCACTACTACTACTACAAGCCAGCTAGCACTACTACTACAACTGCATAATAGCAACATGTCAACCAACCCGAGCAACTTACCCAACCCTGGGGCCGCGGCATTCAATCCTTCCCAGACGGGTCCGGAAGATGAGAAAATGCTGGAGGAAATCGAAGCGGAGCTCATGGCCCAGCAGCAAGTGGGCCGTCTCGAGGGATCGTCCTCTAACTTTCTGAGTGCCTACACCGATTTGCCCCCACATGCCGACGAATTCTGGTTTCCCGAATGTCGAAACTGTCATTGCTGCAATGGGTACAAACACGGATGTACCTGTTGCGCCAAGCAGGGCATGCGCCAGTGCCAATGTACTACCGGTCACATGCCCCCTCCACCACAGCTGCATCAGCCACCACCGCCCACTGGATGGATGCCAGCTGCTCCCGGTCCCACTGGAGGAGGTGGTGGAGGAGGTGGCAGAGGAGGTTATCATGGTGGCCATGGTGGTGGTGGAAGAGGAGGCGGAGGAAGAGGACGTGGAAGAGGACCTCCTCCCCCCTGTCGCTTCTTTAATACCCCAAACGGATGCCGGTTTGGTGACAATTGCCGCTTCTCGCATGGCTACTAGCGTAGCCTGCATTGCCGGTGGAAGCACCATTACCCGAGGAGGAATAAAGATGTCATGAATTTTCAAATGCGGGGTGTCCAAATAAATGAAAAAGCTTTTTGGATATCCTTGTTTCTTTTGGGGCCTTCTTGCTGCGTTTTTGCTTGTTGGGGCTGCATGATTTTTTGCGGAAGCTACCAGACTGTGTTTCTCTTATCCAATGGTGAGAAATGGAGTTTGTAGCAACGCTGGATGCGTCCAGTTAGTTAACGTAAGCTTTAATTAACTCGTAAAGGGGTATATTAATACATTTTGCATGCCTCGTTTTGCTTTGAAATTGCCAGGGTATCTTGGGAGTAGTCATGGGTTGATTTTCAAAGCAGAATTGTGCGGTTGGCACAAACTAAAAGGTGCCCAGCCTGTTTTGTTTGGTATTCGCAGTTTTGTAGCGATGCCAAACGAGCTCCCGTCGTTTCGATCACTATTACCTCGGGTCCATCCGGTGGTACCAAGGAGTCGCTGCTTTCTCCTCAAATCACAACCGATATCAACCTAACTAAATGATTATAAAGTACGATTCGTAACGGGATAAAAGTATCATGTAGATAACTTCCCTACTCTAAAACCCCTTTGATTACGTGTCCAATTGGACGAAGCGACTTCCCTCCTCCCTCGTTGAAGAACCAAGTTTGGGGCAGCCAGCTCTCTGCAAGCCATCGTTCGATGTCATTGGCTAGCTAACAGTGCTGGCACCGGAAGGAACGCATATTTCTGTGGCTGAACACAAGCTCCTTTCGCTACGTACTAGTATCTTTTGTAGCTACCCAGGCAGCGCACCGTATACTGTCTGCCTCCATGGGCAATGACAACGAAGTCGGCCAAAGTCCTGTTCCCACGATTTCGCGCAAACTGTTTTAGCACAAAAGTGATTCAAAGCACCGTACGAGAACCACCCTTTATTATAACGTTCCATTCGTCCAGGTACGTTTTGAAGTCTACGTCCACCTCTGGGTACGTTTTGAAGTCTACGTCCACCTCTGGGTTATCAGGTCTTCAAGGATTATTATTAATACCTAGCTAGCTAGTAGCACGGCCAGGCCGTGCAATAATCGAACCAAAGTGGTCGAGGTTACACAACATCGTACGGACTAGTCAGTCTATTTTTGCGCCCCCGACATTGCGTTCTCCGATTGCCCCACAACTGCACTACCTATTGGGCGGTCGAGGGAGCGGAGTCCGTGTTTTTCGTGCCGTTGTGGCTGCCGGAGCTGTTCCATTGCTTGGTCGCTGCAGTGCTATGGGTTGAGAGGCTGGATCGGCACCCCCACCAAACTTGGAGTGTTGAAAGGCTTCCCTTGTGGGTTGAGGTGGAGGTCTCGGAAGATTTCTGTTCTGTTGTTGCTGTGCTGTGTTAGGGGGTCTCCTTCGCCTCTGGACTACCTTCTTGGTGGTGGAAACAGCAGTCCTGAGCATGGCATCCAAGATACCTACAACTGTAAAAGTACCTCCCACAATGGCCATCACACTGGTGACAAAATCATACCAATGCCTCTTGCTGGCATGGTAAGTGACTGCAATGGGGCTCAAATCCAAAATGAATTTGGCTTCTGGTACTTGATCCAGGTTGTAGTGCACAAGTTGACTGTTTTGGAGAACTTGATAGTTGTATAGATTGGTAGAAACCAGCTTGATGTAATGATGGTGTGCCTCGTGCATCTTGTGTGTCACATAGGCATTCCCATTCATGGGGTGTCCCAGATTGGACATACTGGAGTCTTTTGGTGGCGGGACCATGATGGTTCCATCTTGTGCCCTCTGGCTTTCATCCAGACCATTTCCAAGAGTTTTGGGTGGTTTCACTCCTGGTGGGCGTTGGGTTGTAAAAAAGAGATAGTGAATTTCATGAGACACATTGGCCAAAGTTGGTTCCAGGGAGTGAGTTGGGCTCCTGGCTTGAATGTAGAAATTTCCAGGAACTTTGTTGAGGTAGAGTGTTCCAGCAATCTGACATCCTGGATGCTCTGATGGTTTCCAAATGTTATCTCGTTTGGCTTCTACTTCCATGGCCCGGGCTTTTTCCTCTGGTGTGACATTATGCGCATCCAAAGCTACTGAAGCATGATCACTGAGTGTAAGTGTACCATCGTCCCGTTTTCCCAGAACTTTTTCTTCCGCCATGACCACAAACTGGAGCAGATTCACAACTGTCCGACTTCCAAAGAAGTCTTTGTAGATTTCCCCATTCACATAAAGCCGGATTGTAGGGTAACTCATGATGTTTTGTTTGCGACACAAGGAGTGAAAATTGACACAATCCACCTTCCCCACCACAATGGGTGACCGGACGGCCTCCAGTGCCTTTTGGTACTCCTCCTCTGTATATGTGATTTCTTCCAATACATTCAGATTGACTCCTTCTTTGTCTGCCATTTCCTGTGCTTGCTTGGCCTTTTTGGCCTCTTCCTTTTTGATTTCAATTTCCTCTTTGACTCGTTCATGATGATGCCATTTGGCATCCACCATGAGTTCTGCTAGTCGTTCCCACGTGGGTGCAAACAATCGACAGTGACTACACCAATTGGCAAAATAGTCCACAAAGACAAAGGGAGAGTCTTTGAGTGCCTGCTCCAAGGTTTCCTCCGTGAGTGGGACGGCATCTTCTCCATTCTGGTGCAATTCCTCCAATGTCTTGGTGACAGTCTTGTCATGCAATTGCACTTCTCCTAGATCATGTTGTCGTAGATTTCTCTCCTGTGTGTATCGTTCTTGCACGCCTTCCGCCGATACCATCCACTTTTGAAGATTTTTGGTAACGTTTTGCTGTGCCCCCAAGACGGACACGACATCAATAGTGGCAAAGTCACATTTTAAATCCTGACAACAAGAGCGGGACAAGAAAGTTAGATCTAGTTGTGAGCGAACGAGCGAACGAACAATCTCACGAACAAACATCACTCGTTTACCGAGCCATGATCGATCGATCGATCGATGGAACGAGTAATTATTAATTGTCACGTACCATCATGGTAATGTTGAATTTGACTTGCAACTTTTGGGGAATGGCCGTGGAGGTTCCCACCGATTGGAATTTGTTTCCTCCAAATAGGCTCTTTTGTCGATGCAACTGATGAGTATCCAATGCCAATTCTTCTACCACCTGAATGGTCATGTAGTCTTTGGTTTCTAGATAAATGAGTGTCCCAATGACAACCAGCACCATGATGGAGAAGACACTGCCTTGAGCCGTTCCTTCCATCAAGTCTCCCGGCACTTTTTTGTACATGTCTAGATTGGCGACCCAACGGCGGGGTCCTGATGGTAGCGGTCCCATGATGGATAATGATAGATTGGGATGTGATGTAAAGTGTAATATCAGGAAGAGTAGCTGGATGGAGGATGATGATTCTCGATATCAGGGAAGGCTTTCTTTAATCCAAACTGGCAGTGATAGCTGATTATTGTTATCTTGACGAAGGTGTTGGAATAGAAGAAGAGTCGAGTCAACGGGTAGATCAAAGTATTGTCGGAGGCAATGATGTATCTTGGGTCCTGGTTTCTTCCAATCAACAGAGCAGTCGCTTGGAAGATACGATTCTCGTTCGGGATGTTTGATTGTCGAAGGGTAGATTGATTATTTTCCTTTTAAAAGTCCACAATTGCCGGATGACTGACTGATTGGTCAATGAGTCTTTCCGTCCAAAACACTGATAGTGGGGTCGATTGGCGGCTTTGGGTTGATCGCGGCAATGCGATGAAACGAATCCCTATCGAAAGGATTCTCAACAGTCTTCTATCTATCTACTGGCTATGATAGCTAGAACGGATATATTGCAGCCTCTGTCCCAAACAAAAACCGATGGATGCAAGTATCGACTTCTTTGGCTGGCCAAATGGTATCCTCAGGACCAGAGATAGTTGGAAAGAGATAGATAGAAGTGCCAAGTAGGTGAACTGGCTATGGCTGGATTGGTCGACGGCTACGTGTTGTTGTCGTTTGCGGTCATTGTTGGCCGTTGGCAGCAATTGCTCGTCAGAGATCTCTCAGAAGGAAGATCGAGGAACCCAACCGAAAGATCCAATGCGCAATCCTCCGCGCGAAAGATGAAGAGCTGTAGCGGCCACTTGGCCAAAATCCATTTTCAGCATTGGTCGATCTCATCTTCTCCATCGTGAAGTAGACCACCACCATTTTATCATAGCACTGCCTCTCTGCAAGCCACCGTCAATACACTACTAGCTATCAATCAACAATCAAGACAAGATGACGTCAATGGCCTACAATTCCGCCGCTGGCATGGGCGGCATGATGAAAGAAGGCACGCAGCATTTTTCCAATCAAGACGAAGGCCTCCACAGCGCGTCGGTCGTGATTCGCAACATTGAAGCCTGTCTTCAACTCTGTCAAATGCTCTGTACCAGTCTAGGTCCGCAGGGTCGTTCCAAATTGGTGGTCAATCACTTGGGTAAAATCATTGTCACGAGCGATTGCGCCGCCATTTTGAAAGAAATGGAAGTCGAACATCCGGCCGCCAAATTGCTCCAAATGGCCACGGAACACCAAAATCAAGCCTGTGGCGATGGCACCAATTTGGTACTCACGTTTGCCGGGGAACTCTTGTGGAATACACTCGAACTCATTCATAAAATGGGATGGCAACATGCCAGTGAAATTGTGGAAGGATTCCATCTCGCTGGTAAACGAGTCCAGAATGAATTGTTGCCCAACTTGTGCTGTGGTACCATTACCGATGTCACGGACGAAACACAGTTGTTGCGTATTTTAAAACCCGTTCTCATGTCCAAAAATATGGGATCCCAAGAGACTCTGGCACCCCTCGTCGCACAGGCGTGTCTCAAAGTCATGACCAAATCCGCTACGGGCAGAAACAAAGTCAGCCCCGATGCCGTGCGAACGGTCAAAATCATGGGATCGTCCGTTCAAAAGAGCGAACTCATTGAAGGATACGTCGCGCAACGTGGACTGGAAACCGTCACCACATCCGCCACGGACTGTAAGATTGCCGTCTTTGCGGCCGGGGTGGAAGCATCCAGTACCGAAGCCAAGGGCACTGTCTTGATGAAGACGGCTGAAGATTTGAAATCGTACAACAAGACGGAAGAATCCAAAATGGAAGAAATCATTCAAGGAATTGCCGAAACCGGTGTTAAATTGATTGTCAGTGGAGGTACTGTCAGTGACATGGCCTTGCATTTTATGGATCGATACCAACTCCTCTGTCTCAAGGTAGGATCCAAGTGGGAACTACGACGACTCTGTCAGGCCACTGGCGCCACTCCCTTGGTACGACTCGGGGCTCCCATGGCCGAAGAAATGGGGCATGCCGAATCTGTCAATGTCAAGGAAGTCGGAGAAAAGACCGTCACGGTCATCAAATCCAGTGCGGACACCAAATTGGCCACCATTTTGTTGCGTGCCAGTACCAGTTCCGTTCTCGCCGATTTGGAACGGGCCGTGGAAGATGGAGTCCGCGCCGTGGAAATGGTCTGCAAGGATGGACGTCTCGTTCATGGTGGAGGAGCTGTGGAAATGGCCATGGCAGTGGAATTGACGCGACAAGCCGATAAACATCCCGGGTTGGAACAATATGCCATTCGCGCATTTGCCAAGGCGTTGGAAATTGTGCCACGAACGTTGGCGGTCAATGCCGGATGGGACAATAAGGTCGTTGCCAATTTGCAAGCGGCCCATGCGGCGCATAATGCCGCGGATGGTATTTGTGATCAAGGGATTGACATTGAAACGGAGCAAATCACATCCATGAACGACAATGAGGTGGTGGATTTGTTGGGAACCAAATCGTCGGCGTTGAAGCTGGCCGTGGATGCAGCGCTCACCGTTTTGAAGATTGATCAGATCATTATGAGCAAACCTTCGGGTGGACCCAAAATGTAATGAGTCAGTGCAAGCATGCATGGTCGTAACCCTCCAAGACTAGCTAGCGTTTGGTAATCTAGCTTGCTAGCTAGTGAATGAGTGAGTGAGACAACCCATTGACCATACCGGTACGAACTTCACACGTCGAGCTAGAGGTACTACTAGTAGTAGCATCGCTCACACACACCACTCAGAGAAAATGCCGACGAGATACCGGTTGTTGGAAGTTCAAGATACACAAAGACGCGATTCAGGTCTACTTTAATCACACAGCCAACTAACTTTTAAAATAGGTTTAGTGAGACGACCATGATAGTACGTCTGTCCCACGCATCAAGATAGCATCGCTCACACGCGGACCACAACTAGTTAAAACTGCTGACAAGATGTAGGGAGTTCAAGATACGAAGTCGGGATACCGGTATCATTCACAAAGTTTGTCTACTTGATCACACAAACAGCTCAATTGGTTGAGCGAGACAATCTATGACAATACGCACATCAAACATCTAAAGGGTGGCATCGCTCACACACACCACTCCGAGAATCTGCTGACAAGAAAGTACGGTAGGAAGTTCAAGATACAAAGTCGCGGTTCAAAAGTTTGTCTACTTTAATCACACAACCAACTTAAATAGGTTTGCCACCAGTTGGTTTGCGAAGATGCTTTATTAACTTGATTGGTGGTTAACAAAACGATCGATCCGCTGGATCGGAATCGTCGTAGGCCTGCGTTGTTCGAGCTCGTCTCGGTTGATCAGGTGTTAAAAGGAAGTCTGAAGACGTCCGCAGGCCATCGGAGCATGGCATTTGTATGAACTCTGGTGTTCCCGTTGGAATGTTCTCTTGGTTAGTGGTTTTGGGTCCCCGTACCCCAGTAGTTGTTTGACAGTATGTGTTGTGTTGTACAGGGCCCTGTATTTTAAAATGTAGAAGCAGAAATGAAGGCATGGCAGCAAGAAATCTCGGTTGTATGTGTACATGGTTAAACCGATGTATGATTTCCGTTGCCAATGCATAAATGGATAGAAGGACAGTCGTTGTCATGGATATGGTCTTGGAATAATAAGTAGAGGTAGTTCACAGTGTTTCAAAGTAAGCAATAGATATTTTCAGGTCAAAATTGAAACAGAATGGAGCATAGCGGTAGGTCGTAGTTGGTAACTTGAGTTGTGATAGAGAGGAAGTGGACGGATCTTCAATCGTGGAGATGTGGAAGTGAAGTTCCTTGGCCTCGCGTGAGAAGTCGGCATGGTGTTGCCAAGTAAGTGTGAGGATACGGTAGATCGGATGGGCTCTTTGAAGTGTGTGCCATCCATGATATGAGTTTATGGAGCTGGCCTGTGTTGAGCGGGGTTAGGCCAAGCGAGGAGCGAACACTGCCGCAATGGAATCATCCGAGCCGAAACGGGCTCTCTTCCCGGGCGGCCTAAAAACCCGTACATCACAAGTATCAAAGACACAATCGACAATCTTGCTGCACTTGTCTGGCGAGAGCGATGAAAGGTCGCCCTCTAGTAGATCCGCCAGGTCCAGGTCACTCGGATGCTGCGTGGTAGCAGATACGTATGTTAGGTCCGGGGTGATGATGGGAGGACGGTCATCTTCCACAATGTTCGGGCGTTTCCTGCTCGGAGCTTCGAGTTGACGGCCGGCCTTCACGGGGGGCGGTGGGGCAACCATTGCTGCCACTTGAGAAGCCCCCATGCGAGGCAATGGAATGGCGAAAGCATCGTTGGTCATATCCACAATAAGAGATGCCGTGTCATTCGCACCTTCCTTCATGCTGCTGAGCAGGTCTTTCATGTCTAGGTCTAGTTGGACAACTCGAAGGGATGAAGCCTTGGAAAAGATTCCTGTACAGATCGAGGACAGAGAAGGACCTTTTGTGAGAAACAGAATCATTGGTGCAATGGTCTAGCTAGCTAGGCAGTCAGTCAACGAAACCGTCCTTGGACTTACCAGTGATGCTTCCCGACGTCTGGATCTTCAGATCAAGGCGCTTGGATCCTCCATCCAATGTTGGAATGAATACACTGATGGAACCTTGCATACTAAGGGGCATGGTCACTTGAAGGTCCTCTTCTCCATCACCCTGTGTTTCCGCCAGGCCGGGGTGAGCAGTGCACAAGATTTCGACATCACCCGAGGATACCGTCTGGCCCAGGCCAATCAAGGTCTCCAACTTCTGCTCCACGCCCAACACGCCTTCCTCCACCTCGTCAACAGTATCCGAGCAAGCTGCAACAGAAAGACCATGACGAGCTAAAAATGTAGCATATGCCCTGAGCCTGGACTGGACTAGCGTCGAAAAGGATAACACCAAGTTCTGTTGCATTTGCTGCGGTACATGCTCGATGCTTCCCGCAATGAAAGATTCCTCATCTTCGTCTTCCTCGCACACCCGATCCTGGTCATTGGCGACAAGGATGGGTCTAGACAGGAGCCGAGCCACGTGAGCCTCGACTTCGCCCTTGCTATGATGAAAGAGCGCTTCTGAAGAAGAGCTGGATTCGCTCTGGTCATTGTCATCTTTCTTCTGAAGCGAAAGAGAAGGGAAAGAAGAGAAGTCACAAGCAGTGCTTAGATCTTCTCCTTTCGCGTCTACATCAGCAGCATTCTCCCATGGGATCTTTGCCCACATTCGGTCTCTGGCTCTGTTCACATCATCCTGACTGCTACCGGTACTCTTTACGCTCATCAACTCTGCCAAGGAATGCAGCACCTTAATGGGAGTGGAGGCAGCTACCCTCGCTAACCCGCTGCCAATGGAGCTTTGTTTGGCCAAGCCCGCCATTGTTCTTTACTACAGTCTGTATAATTACGGAAGTAGCACCGCAGTGCAGCACGAGTTAGTTTTTCGCCTTTGGAAGTGTCAAATGGGACGAAAAGTTTCGAGGCATGGAGCCTCGAGGCTGCTTCCTTTCCTCTTCTTTTATTGGCAGATGTATCCTTTCATGCTTTCAATTCAACTAGATTTATCGGCCCGACCGTGGGTGTGATTGGTACAAATTTACGAGCCAATGATTTGACACAAAAGATACCCGAACTCTGGCAAAGCGAAAGACACATGACAGACATCGGCTCACCTGCGTCCATTGGCGTCCAAGTAGGATTCTGACCCAACGACTTCAACAAGCAGATGTCAATTGTGCAAATGGCAAAAAGGGGTGCAATGACCTATGAAGATTGATTCCGTCTTATGCCACAGTGCGTGATGCTATGGCATTCTAGCTACCTTATTAGTACTGGCTCCACAACATTGATTGCTTTGACATGAGGAGAGATGAGAAGCAACTATGCCACTACCTGGTGGTACCTTTCGCAGTGAACATTTGCCAATTCAATCTGAGCATTTTCTTTCTCTCTTGTGCAAGGAACTAGCTAGATGCACTGCCAAGTATGACCTACTGGACGCGAATTCCTTAGCGATACCCCAGTGAGATATCCTCATTCTCATAAGAGACTCTCTAGAAAACCAAATATCTATCTACCACTTGTATTGGCATCATAGTCGTATCTACTGTATTATTATGTCAAAATACCAACCTATACTACAGTCTGTAGCTAGCTGGATGGCATTAATCTTCTGGCTCTGCTACATGTACTTTAGAAGTACCTGTACATGTATGCATTTCCCATGAGCTGGAAGAATGGGGCGAATGGGCATTTGGCACCGGGACCAGGGACCTCCGGGTTCGGAAATTTTTGCACCCTCGAAAGGTTTTGAATTTGTAGCTGACATTTGAATACCGGATGTCAAATGAAAGGCTAGCTAGGCACCACGTACTATAATCCGACTGTACCTGGGCGACATTCTCGAGATTTTGTGACGATCTGTGAGCAGATGCCAACGCCTGCTGGTATTTAGACGTGCGAACCCGCAAGCCGCCAGCGGCGAAAATGATAGCTCAAATAAATAAATGATCCAGAATCGAGAAACGAAGAACGAAGTGTTGAAAGGTTGATGGTCAGAGTTCGAGAAGCTTTAGAGACAAACTTCCAACAGGGTGCGCTGCACTAAAAGAATTCTGTCTGTGGCAGAGGTGGGAACATGTTTGTGTGCCTTCTTCTTCAAAGCCTTGCCTTTCAAGCATCGCATACCTACGGAGACTTTATCGGTACCCAGGGCGCGATACTCCGAAGTAGAGGGCGAAAACGCTAGCTAGCTAGCTACAGTAGCTTTAGTAGGTCTAGCTACATGTAAAGCAGACCGAGTCGAGTCGAGTCGAGTCGAGTCTGCTTTCGGACTGCAGTAGATCTTTCTTCCGCAAAGGGGCCACGGATGCACAGCACAACAATGTGCATCATCTGCATGGAACAATGGCGCAAATTCTGATCCAAATATCACTGGTAAAACTCTGTCTGAGTAGATAGCAGCAAGGCACCAGGTACCAAGAAGATTCACCAATCAGTTTGGTTGTCCTGACGACACGCACCCATATCAGGATGGCGATGGTGCCATGCTAGCTAACAACGCTTCTTGATCCTCAACGGCACAACCACGACTTGCTTCTTGCTTGCTTAACGGTGGGGATCTTTGCTGCTGACTGGCTACCTGCTGGCTATCGGAGTGGTCGAGTGACAGTCAACTATCATGGTAGACGTCTATCTGCCAAGCTCAGATTCAATCTGCACCAGTCGCTACCACCCAGTACGTACTGTGTGACTGGGCTCAGAGCACCTTCACGTAATCTTTGTAAGGAAAACAAGTTGTACATCATGTAGGAAACCAGCCACTTGTAATCCCAAAACCCGTAGGGAGTGAGCTCCTGGAAGGAAGGATTCAAGCAGCCGGTTCAAAACTCACATTGAACCGCAGCCACCTCCGTGCCCTCCGCCTGGATACTCTACAACATGCGTCGATCCCATGCACCGTGAGCTGCTGCCTCTGAGCTTTGCTGGCCGCAGCTTTCAAACTACTAGCTACTCTAGTAGCTAGTACCGTACTAGTACGATGTAATCCCACGGGCGTGAGCTGGAACGCTGGAACTTCGTTGGTGCACCATGTTTGCCTCAGCTTCAACCCGCGCGGACGCATCTCGTACGTACAATGGTAGAAATCGACGCAACCATATCCACAAGCAGCACCTTCGACCCACGGACCTGTCATTTGATGAGTCACTGAATGATTTTCATTCATCATCACTCCAATGACAATGACGTTTGGGCAAGGAAAGCGAGGACTTTAAATAATCTTCAGTACAGTACCTGGTACATGTACCAGGTACCAGACCACTGCATGGTAAGGAAAGAAGATCAAAAGAGTCCCCAACTTTGGGGAAGTGAGGATAAAGTTGTTTCACTCTACTAGACTTATAATTAGTCTAGCTAGCGACTCGACTCGACTCGCTCTACATATATCTCGCAAGCACGAAAACTCAAGGTGAACACATGTATGATAAGGCATTTTCCCCCGTAGAAAGAGTACCGTAATACAGGGTCTGTGAGGCCTTCGTCATTCTAGAAATATCAATGGCACTTTCCAAAATTCCGCTTCTCTTCCAGTGATTGGGTCATCGGAATTTGTGTCGTGGCGGTATCCAATCAGAAACGTGGAGGGTGCTTTGAATCATCATCAGCGGTGATGAGACTTACTTGAGGCCTGCGAAAGCACTCTTCCTGATTGCATCACGGTGCATCAGGCCAACCCCTTCTTTTGTTGAAGCACAGAGAGCAGATTTGATTGACGAAGTAGTGTTCCGTCATAGTTTGCTGGGTAGCGAGAACGAACCAACCATGGCGGCTGCGGAGCCCTTGCCGTCCCCGGAAGAAGTGCTAGTTGCGCTCTCGGCCATGCTGGGAATGCACTCCCTTAAGGAAGAGGACATTAGTCAGTTGCAACAGAACTGCGCCCTGGATTGGTCATCCATTCCATGGGAACCATGCTGTGCCACCAACGGAGGCTGCAAGCATGATGATGATAGCGAGCAGCAAGACGAAGACCACGATGTCGATTTCTCCTCGTTTCCTTCCTTGTCGATGGTGCGTGAGCAGTTTGACGCGACCGTGGGAAACCGTCAAGACGTAGAAGCGCATGTGTCGAACTTGTTGTCTCGTCCCATTCTGGTGAGCAATGCCACCAGTAGTTGTGAAACCCTGCTGGAAGGGGCGGACGACGTGACGAACGAATTGGGAGAGTTTATTGTCTCCAAAGTGTCGGAGGTTCCCACGCTGATGCTGCAGAATTTCTTCAACTCGTTCACCACACTCATGAATTCGAGGCTTCGCGCGTACGCCTCATTCTTGGCGAGACATGGACTGTCATTGCTCGAAAACTCGCCCACGGGTGCTGCAGCGGCTGCTGATAAGGTCGACGAAGGCATTGTGGGAGTCGAACAGAAACTAGAAACAATGCTGGAGATTGGAAGGAGGGTGTCGACCAATTCGGTCGCCACATCCTTCCGGGCCAACAAGGAACAAGCCAAGAGTATTGTGGACGAAACCGGAACTCTTCAGCTTTCCATGCCTCTGGTTATGGACGCTTCCATTGACATTTCGCTCCCCAGGCCTTCTGGTGGTCACCATGAGCTTGTCACGGTCTCGTTCCGGGCCAATGGCAACATTACGGGTAAGTGCGCACTGGTATGGTGTTCAGTGTCTTTTACGCATCGGATGCGTCTATAACGATTTCGTCATTATTTCTATGAATAGGTGTCTTTGCCAAGTCTACAAAAGGAACGACCCAGCTCAGGGCTGTGCAAGTCGATTTGGACATGAAGGAACTCTTGCGCTCCATGATTGCAGAGGCGTCCAGTGTCATTTCGAGCATTGTGGACATGACCATTGCCATTTACTCGAACTCATTGCTCGCCGGTTTTGACGAGCTGAAGGACCTCAAGGACGCACCCCGTTCGCCCGTGCCGGAAGATTCTTCGCGAAAGCGAAAGGCTGCAGTAGTGGAGCCCGACCCTTCGCCAGTGGTCCAGATGCCCACGTGGGAAGCCATGGATGAAAGCAGCTCGAGTCTTTCCCCGGAGAACCTGGTGGATTACATCCTTCATGAAACCGACGACAGTGTGCTGAGCCCTCCTAGTCAAAAGAAGAAGGCCAAGGTGGTATCGCACAAGCTGCCTGCCGTCCCGGAAGTGACACAGTGAACAAGCGCATGACGTTTTAAGCAAAAGAGGAACCCAGCACGGAAGGATGCGGGTGCCTAAACGAACCGATCGGTAAAGCGATTCGACATCAAGCAAGCACGTCGAACTGCAGTCAAGAAGGGGGTATGATTTCGACATCAAGAAAGCACGTCGATCAACAGCCAAGGGGGTACGATTTCATGCTTGTAGTAACAACAACCGCATGAAGAGAGGGGCCATGATATACAAGAGCGGCACCTCAGTAAAAAGATGATGAAGCAGTCAACAATCTACTCGTCCACGGCCGAATCAATTGCGTGAATCAATAAAAAAAGCAGCCAGACAACACTGAACTACAACGCTGGAAGATTAAAACACGCATGCAAACTCAAAAAAGTGAGGGTATGTCTACCAGCACCATGGAGGAAACCTTTCCAAATCCGGCTAAGTACTTGTCAAGAAATTTCAAAACTAGAGCCACCATGATAGCATACCATACAGTGACAACCAAACATAAACCAATCTTAAGAGTTCTTTATAGCACCATTTCTGTGCAAGTGGTCGCCTGAACTTCAACCATCCTTGCATTTCGTCTTGAAACATAGAGCCAGCCAGCCAGCCAGCTAAAAAGGAGCATCACAATCGAATGATCAGCGAGCGAGAAGCAAGAAAAAGCCACTGGGTAGTCGATTTGACTGAGGGAGAAAAAACACAGGCTTGAGGATCTGAATACATGTACTCTAGTATTTGCTTCCAAGAGGCTTCCCCGCTCACGTTGCGGGCCAGTGCTCCCGATGCTCTCTAGCTAGCTAGACTAGGAGCTGGCCATGGAGTGGCCATACCGTCCATGGAGTGGCCATCGCCATGTCAGCTGCTCTCCGAGTGATAATTCTTGTATCTTCACCTTCAAGCTGTCTCCTCCCGGTCTCAGATCGGTGACGTCGTCATCCAATGTCGTCATTTTTCCAAACTTCAAGCCTCTTTTCACATTCTGCTGGAAATGCTTGTGTTGGCTGCAGCCGTGCGAAATAAAGTACTAGTAAGTCAGCAACAATGCGAGTGTCATCATCAGAAGCAGCCAACCATGGCGAAGAAAACAGCCATTGTAATAGGAGCCGGTCCTTCTGGCCTGGCAACTGCGTTGGGTTTAGCTAAGCGCAATAATTATCATGTTCATCTGGTCGAAAAGCACTCGAGCTTTCCTTCTGTGGGCGCTAATTTTGGCATTTCTGCCAATGGAATAAAGGCACTTCGAGAGATCTGCAGTGACACCGCGAAAGACCTCGAAGAGATTGGCATTACCACTCCTTATGGCTCTTTGCTATTTCTCTGGTACGATTTTAGGGATGCCCTCCTCAAAGCAGTCCGACAATTGGAAGACCAAATCACACTGCATCTCGGAGAATCCATTGCCGAGCTTGACGATAACGACGACACTGTGACGGCCAAGTTCGAATCTGGTTTGCAACTGCAAGGCAATCTCTTGATTGGGGCCGATGGTGTGCATTCGACTGTCCGTTCTTTGCTCGACATGCCTCCGTGCACACCGACAGGTCAAACTATTTTTCGAGGAAACATTTGTGTGAAGGAAAAATCAAATCCCTTGCATTACTTACTCGAGAAGGGCATGGCGCCAATACCCAATCGTGTGTACAAGGACGGAATATTTGTCTTGGCACTGAGCTTTCATTCCAAACTTCCAGGTCGCATAGGCTGGGTCGTATCGACACGGTTGCCAGTCGATGAAACGACGACTCCCTTGACACTCCTGGAAGGACGCGTCGAAGATGCAGAAGAATGGACCATGCTACAGCAAGTCTTTACGCAATCGGACCCTTCTCACTTGAAGCCACAATCCCAAACCAAGGTGCTAGATTTTTCCGCCTCCATCGAACAATGCGGTTGGTCGCAAAAGGGCTTGTATCCTCACACATCCCTGGTTGGTGATGCGGCTCATGCCATGCGACCCACAGACGGATTGGGGTGTAGTATGGCACTAGAGGATGTGGTTGTTCTTTGTCGACATTTGTTAGAGAGTGAGGACATTGCAAAATCATTGTCTGATTTTGAAGAAGAACGGATTCCTCGTGTCTTGAAGGTGCATGCCAATCAAGGCGAGCGCTACCAAGCCAGGATAGAACGCAAGGAGGTGCCCCCTTGGACGACCGAATTCAAGGAGTGGCTCTTGAATGGGGTGTAAAAAGAACAATACCACTGTCCGACATTACAATACAAGTTCCCCTGAATCGACGCTACTCAGAGTAAACTGCTATTTTCGTAACGTAGCCAGCCCAAGTCAGCCTGTAGCTCCCGACCAAAGCAATCTAGAAAGTCCAGCCTTGTCAAAGAAATGCCACGGAACCAGTGGGTGAATGTCAAATCATCCGTTTCTTCATTCCTCCTTCAATGCGGCGTTTGACGCCCACTGTTAACTAACACTATACTGTGATGGCAGTTCTACATGTAGCTAGTATGAGGGGGGCGAAGTTGGACCTGCAGTGCATCCTGGTGTGGGGCCTGCAGTGGGCCTTGGTTTTGGTCCAAGAGTGGTTCCAGGAGAATTGGTCCAGAGTGTGCTTTGGAGTGGGGCCCAGATTGGGGCCTGGAGTGGGTCTTGGTGTTGGTTCCAAGTGTGCAACCAGGAGAAGAGGCTGGAGCGCTTGGGCTCTGAGAAAGCGTACGGTCGACCGCATTGTTTCCCTCGCAAACAGCGAGCCAGGGTTGCTGGAGTAGGAGGAAGCAATTCGACTGATGAGGCAGGCAATCCCAAAAGGCAATGTGCCGAAAAAGCTGGCTGGCTTGATCTGCAACCACCAGAGATAGTACCACCACCCAGCCAGGACCAGGCTATGGTGCCCTCTGTACAGAGTACCAAGGCAAGCAGTCGTTCAATACATTGCATGTAGCTCAGAACCGAAGAAGAAACCATTGGCTTCCTCTGGCTGCCTGTAAAAGCAGAAAACATGCATTCCCGGAGATTGAATAGCTAGTCTAGAGTTTCATTGAACCATGAAATTAATCCATGGGTCGCCCCTGCTGGCCAGCTTACTACTAGCGAATCAAGTCAGGCAGAATAGTGCCAAAGCCAGTGAAAACCCTTGCTTCCTTTTCACTGTCTGGAAGTGGGCAACTGGGTCCATTGTGTGTCATTGCCAATTGTACTCCACAGATGCATGTAGCTGACCATCGAGCTTCATTGCAATGGCGACTGGTCATAGTTCTGGTCCGAGCTAGGGAGGTAGCTGTACTTTTTAGTAGCAGAGACAGCCAGCTACCAGGAGCGTTCCTCAATCGTGCATGTCCTTTAAATCCGACCCTAAAATTAGGGTCGGTTTGGGGAAACTCGACCCTAAATCCGACTGATTTAGGGTCGGTTTCGAAACCCGACCCTAAATCGAAACCTAAATTAGGGATGTTTTTTCAGAAACCCTCCCTATTTTTCAGAAACCGTCCCTATTTTTAGGGTCGGTTTTCAAACCCGACCCTAATATTGGTGTGTTTTCAATGTATTTACCACTCAGTCCCGCTTGCATTTAGGCCGGTCTCTACCGGAGGGACTAAAGTAGGGACTAAAGGAATCCTTTAGGTGGTTGTTTAGTTCAAGATTTAGTCATTATCCTTTAGTAATGGTGGTGTCTACCAGCAGATGACTAAATCTCGGACTAAACAATTTAGTCGAGTTTTTAGTCAAAACGTGGTGTCTACCATGGGACTAAACAAACACCAGCGACTAAATCCGGGTGCTGGACTTAAAGGACTCAAAAAAGATTTAACCAACGTGATCACTTGGTGGGCTACCAATATTCTATCAGAATGGTGGATTTAAAGGACTCAAACAAAGACTTAACAGAAGTGATTACTTTTTTGAGATAACAAGACTCCCTCAAAACACACCATCGCCACGCACCTCTCCTCTATCATTCATTTGATCGTTTATTTGCACCTCTACTATCATTCAATCGTTCGATCGTTTGCACCTCTACTACTAGTATCATTCATTCGATCGTTTGCACCTCTACCGTACTATTAATACTAGTATCATTCAATCGTTCGCAGCTCTACTAGTACTATCGGCCAATACTCCTCTTCGATCGTACTATCGGCCGATACTCCTCTTCGATCGTTCGATCATGATTTGCACCTCTACTATCGGCCGATACTCCTCTTCGATCTCTACTATCGGTTGGACCTCTACTATCGGCCGATACCGTACTCCTCTTCGATCGTTCGATCGCACCTCTACTCTATCAGCTCTGTCGCGATGCTCTGATAGTGAGGCTGTGCAATGAGGCTGATGCTGTTCTTTCTTAAAGAGTTCTTAAACAAGCTTTAGTCCTTACGCTTGCTCACGGACTAACCAGCCTCTGGTTAGTCGGTGAACTAACATTTCGACTAAAGCCTTTAGTCTGTATGACCTTTAGTCCCTATGGTAGACACCACCCCCAGAGACTAAACTATCGACTAAACTATGAAATATGGCTTAGTCGCTACTTTAGTCGCTCCGGTAGAGACCGGCCTTAGGGACGTTTTTCAAACCCGACCCTAAATCGAAACCCGTCCCTAAATTAGGGACGTTTTTTCAGAAACCGTCCCTATTTTTTAGAAACCGTCCCTATTTTTAGGGTCGGTTTTCAAACCCGACCCTAAAGGGAAACTGTCCCTAAATCCGTCCCAAAAAATAGGGTCGGTTTTCGTTAAGCCATGCACGATTGAGGAACGCTCCAGCGGTGCATGTATTTGGCAGGTATTTGGCCCGCCCACTATCCACAACCAAATCCGGCATCCTGTGTCCATCGTCCATCCGTCTTCTTGACCATTGACTAACCACGTACCGGTACAGCTTGACCATTCAGCTGCTCGGCTACTAGCTACTCATAGCTAGTGGCTCTCTCAGTCAGCAATCTCCAGGACCGTCCGACGTTTTTCACTCAGGCTTTAAAACTTGACACGACTGACTACAGTACAATTAAGGGCTTGTTTTCTAAGGGCTTGTTGAAGGGCTTGTTGAAGCTTTAAGGGTTTGTTTTAAGAGCTTGTTTATTTAAGGGCTTGTTTGCTCCTGATAAGGGCTTGTTCTATGGGGTTTTACATGAAGGCTTAAGGGTTTGTTTTGAGAACTTAAGGGCTTGTTGTTAAGGGTTTGTTTTTTAAGGGTTTGTTTAAGGGCTTGTTGAAGATTTAAGGGCTTGTTTAAGGGCTTGTTTCCAGTTATGGCAATTTGAAGTTTTTTAAAATTCTGAGTGAAAAACGTTGGACGGTCCAGACTTCAAAGGGGCTGGGAGATAGATGAGAAGAAGATCGCATGGCTTTTTGCGGTCACTCTCTAGCTAGCTAGCTATGCATAGGACATTCGGTCTCCTAGCACCTGGTATGGTACACTCCAAACCTGAAGGTAACAAACTCCAAATATGAAAGCGAGTACTCAGATTCTAGAAAAAAGATAAGAATCTTTTTGTACTGAAATATCACAGACTTCTAATAAGAAAACCTCCCAGTATTGAGACCTCAAAGCACAAGAAACTGTACTATTCTGACACCATGAAAATGCTCCTAACTTGGGCCTAAATCTGCAAAATTTTCTGCCTCACGGCAGAGACAGTGATCACCATTATTTGTGCCCCACCCAAACCAATGAAGATTCCTGAGCAAGTTGAACCCAAAGGGTCAGGTGCACTGGGTGTATCCAAGAACTAACCTGTTTGATCTAGAAGCTTAGTAAGAAGGTCTTCTATTGAAATTGGCTTGTTGTGTTAGAAATAATATGAGTAGCAAAATAGAGCAGATGGGTAAGAAAGCTCCAGTACTGACTCCCAGTTAGAGCTTTCTTATTATTGAGTTTGGAGTGTACAGACTGTATCCTGAGTGGTCCAGTAGAGTCTTAGAGTTCCTGTCTTGTACCGTAACCGAAAGAGCTCCAAAGCTCCAAAGTACCATTTTTTATGTTGAAGAAGTTGTTCCAAAAGGACATAAAGGCGGGGCTTCAACGGTAATAGCGGTACAACTGGTACTAGTAACGGCTGTAAGCATCAAAAACTCCCGTCCCTTCCTTTCCTTCGTTTCCAGTTTGTTAACATTCAATCGCCACTTCAGATTCTTTGGAATTTAATGAAATAAATGACGAGCTAATGAGGTCACCAAGGCCAATGAAAAAGAAGCATTGGGTGTAACAAAAGATGCATCATCGACGCCCCTGTACAGTATCGCAGAGGCATTCAACGTGTGCTTTGTTTGGACAAGGATCCTATTAATGGAAACGCTCTAGTAGAGATATCTTACACTAGCTAGACTACCTACGAATTCCAAGAACAGATAGATTCAGGAACAACGCTAACGTGGCCAACCACTGCGGTAGCTGGCAGGTGGCTTTCTAAGGCTTTTCGAGTGCTCCAAGTACTATACTAGTTTACGTCTGAGTACTGAAGCTGTACTGATTACTATGTACCGTGATTATTAGTGGTACAGTAAGCTGTAAGGCCAAACACCTGGGGCATTTTTAAATCCCCCCAGCGAAGCCTAGTTTCTAATTGCTCCTCCTAGGTCTTTTTACTTCTCAAGCAAGTGCTGAAGAATTACTCGGAATGAGAGAATTCCCCAAGCTCCTTGAAGAATATTTTCTATGACTTATCAGTCTTGTACAATGATTCCTAACGAGCCCTGTACCTGGTATTACTTTTTGAGTGGAAAAGAATCAGCTAGTTCTGGGAGTAAGGGCATTACTCCGAGGAATTAGGAAGCAATAAGACCCCAAGCAAGAAAAGAACTCGAGGTTGGCCTCGCTTGCTCCTCTTTCTTCGCCTCTGATTGTTGTTTGACCTGCTCTTCGGTCCAAGGGCAAAGCAAACCCAATCAAAAACCCAAAACCATCTCTGCCACAACTTGGAACTTGCAAATCAGCGAAGTTCAAACGCTTTCCTCCTTTTTGCTTCACTTGACTTTATACAGTACCACCATGGCGTCCACCGCACCTACACCATCTACAAGCTCCAATGCCGAATGTTTCTACCGGAGTTCGGCAGATGCCGCCGCCGCTGCCCGCGAACTTCAATCATTGACAAGCACGCCCTCGTTGGTGGAGCTACAAACGTCTTTGATTCAGAGATACGTTGCTACTCGTCCAAACGAACAGAACGCTGCGTTCCAAGCGGCAGGGGGAGGTCGAATGAACCTGCACGATGTGATTCAGTTTGCTCTGGGTGTTGTGGCAGAAGATGACTTTGACTCCTGAACGGTCTCAGTGTCTCTTTCGAAATCTTCTATCTGTTGCCCAACGAGCCCAGGGAGGAACGAGATATGAAGGACAACACGAAAGTATTGTTTCGCAGCAAGCCTCACCCAACACGGATCCTGCGCTTCGAACAACTTTTCTTTAGAGTGAGCACTGCAATGACCCTACCTAAACAGACCTATCACATGTAATATTTAACTTCTCATTTACTGGAAACACAGTCCAACCAAAGCAGCTACTAGAAACCGTAGTACACGTAGTATCGCACATCCATTGGCTCACCCTCGCCCTATCTCTTGCGATGCATGGGTGGGGTATCAGGATAGGAGCAAGAGCCAAACAAAGGACAAGACGAGTGTTTTTGAGTTATCGACAGTTTGGTCACGCAGTCAAGCAGCTTCCCTTCTGGCGCTAAACAGCTATTTCCGGGACTATTTCGGCTTCTGTTCTGTTTGCTATCCCGTCGGTTTCGGATTCCAACCAGATGAATCCTTCTGGATTGCTTGTATTGCCCTTATCGACGGGCTCCATCTCCTCCCACAACCCACAACGCCACATCATACTCGGAGTACAATAATAAGAATCAAGACCACAGTGCTAATACACCGGTACCCAGCGCCACTACTAGCTACCTCTCCAGCCCAGAAGGCTACTACATGGCTGTACAAGCTAGTACCGGTATGCATAGAACGCTAGGCGAGGAGTGTTCGCTCAATGGGGAACCATGTATGCCTACAACCCTTCCCTTGGTTGCTCCACTGCACCGGGATGTTTGGAAGACTTCACCTCAGCCAGGCTGAAAAGCAATTGCTTTGACTTTCAAGCCATTTTCTGGCTTGACTCTACTTTAATATTGCTGTCTCGACATTGCCGCACCAAACCAACAGTCTATCAACTGTGGGCTCACTAGCTAGCCAGCCACTGTACTAGCTACTCAATAAGCTGGATAGAGCGAGGATTCCAGAATCCAGAATTGGCCGAATTGCCCCCCTATCGCCCCGTGTTATTGCTTTCATGATCAATAGGCAGTTTGGATGCTGACTCCAGCTTGCAGCCAAGCAAGGGTTAGCCGGATCGTTTCAGAAGGTACCAGTACAGGGAACCAAACAACAGAAGATTGAAATTAAGCATGCTGAAACTTGCAAAGAGGTCGAAGGTTGAAAGTATTGAAGTACAGTCATCTTCAGAGCCCCTTATCGACGGGCTCCAATCTCCTCCAACAACGCCACATCAGACTTGAAGTACAATAAAAGAATCAAGTCCACAATGCCCCTGCACCGATACCCACTACACGACCCTATTAGTCAGCTAGAAAGCTACTATGCATAGAAGGAATACACCTGTATGCTGGTGTTTACATAGCCGGTAAGTGGAGGAGTGTTCAATGGCGAAGCTGCATACATGGGCTCCGGTCTGGTTGAAACCTACTGGTTGCTTGCTAGCTAATAGTCGGCCGGGGTTGCTCCAGAATTGGCCGTATTGCCCTTATCGCACTGTGTTATTGCTTTCATCAATAGACAGTTTGGATGCTGTCTCCAACCTCCAGCCAAGCAAGGGTTCAGCCAACCGTTTCAGAAGGTTCCAGTACAAGTAACAACAAAAACAATGCTGAAACTTCCAAAGAATTCAATGGCGTGGCTGTAATTACAAGAGTATGATAGTGAAGTACAGTTGTTCCCATCATGCATTCAGAGAGAGAGTTCGAGAGAGAGAGGAGCACTGGCTAAATCCAATCGGCCCTGGAGAAACTTTCAGCACCAGCAAACTACATCCAGCCAGGGAGTAGCTAGTGCTCATCATCAACCAGCATCATGGATAATGACCGGACCTGTGTTGTCATGAAACCATCTTCAACGAAAAGTCAAGGCCACTGGATAATGACCGGACCTGTGTTGTCATGAAACCATCTTCAACGAAAAGTCAAGGCCAATGCTAGCTAATTGTTAGCTAGCTAGGTATGTTAGTACTAGCTAGTAGGTGTAGGTGTACCGGTAGCAATGAACCCAAACGCTCGCTCGTCATTGCTGTAGGCAGTAGTACATGTAGTGCAGGGGACGAGCGCGGTGTGTCGTCACTTCGCCCCCCCCCACTCCCTTTGGGGGGGGGGGGGTACCACACTCCACTAACTGCGATAAGTTTTGGCTAGTTGGCGGAAACCATCACCATGCTACTAGTAGCATGCAATTGATTCTTTCATGCATCAACACAACTTGAGAACATAATTGCTGGTAGTCAAGATCTGTTGGTCTGTTGGACCCTTTCTGTTTCACAACGCCTCAGACCAAGCGAATTTCAAAATGTTTCTTTTGCATTTGGATCAATTTCGCTCAGCAAAAAGAGGAACTCAGTGCTGCAAACCTCTTCGATACTATGAATACGTAGCATAGAAGCAACACTGTTCAATTGCCACGGTAGCATGAGATCTGGCATTAAGACGGGGGCCTTTTTTGGCACCAGAGAAAAATCAGCTCCCTCCCCAGAAAGGGACTTGTCGCAAGATCTTCAATCGCTCTATTGTTTATTTTGACTGTTGTCAATTTTATGAGTTGTTGAATTCCCTGAAGGCTTTTTGCAACGCCATGGCATGGAACAAATTTCTGGAGAAATAGATTGAACTTCCACATTCCAATAGAAAAATAATGCCCAAATTGCAATTCTCTCTAACCAAGTTGTTTGAGCTGACTCTCAACTCTCTGCCTCATTGGTTTCAACAAACCAATATGAGTGTCCACCGTCTTACTCATACAAGCCAGCATCGTATCTTCGACCTTGCCCATCTTCTTTGCATCATTTTCAATTCCAGGGTACATTAAATCCTTGGCTTTATCTTGACATTCCATCATGGAGCGACTCAGCCTGTTTTGGAATTGGCCGACTTCAGCGTTGAGTAGTTGACCAGCCTGCTGATTGGGCATCTGGCACTGGTTCGCACAATTTTGGAGCACATCACTGGGTCCCGTCGTTCCAGCCTTGTCGAAGCATTTCAGTGTGCATTCGACACCCTTGCGACCAATTTTGCGGATAGTCTTGTTTTCAATTTCTGCAATCTCAGCACGAGCTGCTGCCTCCATCTTGGCGTTCAGAGCCTGCGCCTTGGCTTGCAATGCTGGACTGGCCATGGTGCGTTGTTGTTAGTTTGCAATTGATATTGATTTATTTGAGAGTGGGTTGGTTTTTATGTTGGTCGGTTGGTCGGAGGTGGGTGTTGATGAGGTACTGTTGTGTTTCTTGCATTTGCGACCAGGCAAGGAGGAGTTCGCGATCTTTGCACAGATTTGGGTGGAGGGGAGAACAGGTACGGTATCAATTCGATTGTAAAAATCGATCATTGGATTGAATCGAATCGAATCAATCGAAATATTCGGCCACTGCGATACCGAATCAAATCAAATCCTGGAAGTGAAGAGAGGAATGCACACATTTGGAACTGTGGGAGGCCAGCCCTATTCCCTATTGTATCAGGATAGCCCATCTGCGACTCTGGTTGAACGAGACATCTTAGTCAGCTGCAGATCACATTTAAACATGGTCAGCAAAATTGTTCTTAAACAATCTACGGTATCGGTACAGCTGTACTATTGATTCACAAAATTTCGTTCACCGTTTGCGTATGGATGATTTGTCGCTCTCAGGCTGCCCCACAAACTGCTACACCTGCACCACCACCAATGGCCAAGAGACTGGAGGATAATTCATATTCAAAAAAGACGATACCATTGAAGGTAACCCCAGCGGCAACTCCAGCACCAACTAGAAATCCCAAATCCAAGTCAGCCATCAAGTACCCACATGCCAGAAGGTCTTCTGGCGATCCAGTCACAGGCGTCCATCCAAAGGCACCTATAATTCCAGTGAAAAGGCCTGCACCCGGCTCAACTCCAACACAATAGCGATTAAATTCGCGTGCTCCATCCCCATCACGTCCATCGAAGCCGCTTGCAGCACTGTAAGTCGACCAGGCAAAGTCAGGAAGGATGAGGCCTCCTTCGAGGGTGTAACCAGTCCATGATAGTGATGTTTGCTTGCTATCAGAAGTTGTTGAGGTAGCATTGGCATCACCAAAGAAGCATTTTCGGCCAATGGAAGAAACGCCATTTAGAAATTCTGGGTTGTTTTCCAGGGCATTGAAGAAAGCCTCCTTTCTGCCAGAGGGTCGAATTCCCATTGGAATTCCACCACCTCCAAGCCACTGAAACAAGCCATTCGAATTGTCAACTCCAGCAGCTGCTGAAACTCTTTGAAAGTAGGTTTCTCTGTCGAAGCTGTTTTGAAAGTTTAGTAATTCCTCTTTCAAGCAATTGATGGGCACACATCTCTTTCGGGTGACCCATCTCACGCAGGTCAAACCCTCTTCCTGGCATGGTTTATCATCATTACAAGCTTCAAATAGACCGCCGCTGCCTTCTTCGAGTTCCCTTTGTTCTGCTCTTGCATCGTTGGCCAGGAAATCATCTACCTCTTTGTCATCCAAAGTGCGCCTATCAAACGCCTTTGTGGCATCGGTACCAACGGTGGCGAAGATGACCAAGAGGATAGAAACGCCAAAGAAATGAAAGAACATTATCGGATCAAAGTCTTCGGTCCCTTTTCAGCGGAGCTAAATCGTATGAGAACTGGGTCTTCGATGTACTGTACAGTCAGTCCAGTAACCCGCAACATGAAGCTTACTCTCTCAGAGTTTCAGTGAAGATCCAATCAAACGGCTCTTGAAAGCGTTGCACAGACGTTCGAACTTCTGCTGGCATGGATACTATTGGTTGCCGCTCCTACAGTACAACGCTGCTTTGCTTTGGAGGTGCGCCAAATCGCTTTCTCTTTCTGGAAGGAAAGCAAGGCAACAGAATTAACTCTGCTGGCTTGAAACTACCACTCTGTTGTGGGCTGTCTCGAGACTTGGGTACCATGCCACACCAGTAGGTAGCAGCAGGGCTGTTGTTGCTTTGTGCGAGATATTCAGCTCCATGATGCGCATGCATCAAAATCCACAGATGCAATCACTACAATGTAGTAGCTAGCTAGTCTTGCGCGTAGCAGCCACTGCGAGCACTCGAAGTGCGTGAGATGCCTTCATTCCTGACAAAGAAGAAAGACATGTTGGACGAGGTTGGAGGAGAAGCAGCAGCTGCAGAAGCTCAAACAGAAACTTCAACAATTTCCTTCAAGCTCCAACTCCACTGATACTTGTATGTCATCAGATTCTGTTGTATGACAAGCTTGTGAAAAACTCGCAGCGTGTATGGTTTGGGACGAAGTGGTACAGCTGTGCGTGGTACAATGACATTGTGGCGTCGGTCCCCGAACTGGAGTGACAGTGTCGGGGTGGGTGTAGACCAAAAAGTTGTCGACGTGGTGGTCGTCATTCTGTGTCTGATTAGAACTGTTGGGTCTACGTGAAAACCTGGTACAAGTCCTCGTGACAGGAAGTTCGCCAATTCTCGTCACTTCGTGTCTTTTAGTCAACCTTAATTGTTTGGTGCACTATTCACGTCGTTAAAGTGTCAGATTAAGAAGTTGTAGACCATCTGCTTGACCTTCTGCTGCAATCTTGTGACGTATCTTAAGCTATCTTAGTGCATTGCTTCCCTCAACTTGGAATGGCATCGAGAAAAAGAAGGCTTGATGCCGTCGCGTATCGCCGTAGCGCTCTCTCGCTGGCTGTCTATTGCTCCAAGGCCATCGTTCGTTAATACACAACCAAGAACCCTGGAAGCCCATCAGTTCGCACCTTCCATCTCCCAACCAACTCGATCGTACACCAAACGAACCAAGCTTGCAGGCCTTGGTTTGGTAACTTCAATTTTGATTTCAACCACAAGCAATATTTTTTCTCTCATTCCTGAAAACGTGGTGGCGTTCATCCGGGCTAGGATGTTGGACGAATCGCCCCAGATGCCCCTGAGCCTCTGGCTGCGGAGCGTTGGTCTGGAAAACCCTTTTGATGAGCAATCAAGCAATGGGTCTGAACACAGCGGTTCCCGTCATTCTAGCAGTCGGGGAGGCAACAGCAGAGCTGGAAGTCGTGCTGGTGAAAATGGCTCCACTGGAGGTTCAGATGGTGGCAGTACTCGTCGAAGCAGATTAGGTGGAGGTGACGAGATAGATCACTACCTGAATGACGTCCTGGTCCCTCCTGAAGATGACGAGGAACGAAAAGAGACTGTCTATACAGGATCTACAGTTCTTGCCTTGACCCTGGCTGGCACTTGCGTGGTAGAGGCACCTTATGCTTTCCAGAAGTGTGGGATCTTCTGGGGGACACTGCTCTTTGGGATACTGGCGTTCTCCACAGAACGTGCTTTTCACATGCTTTGTATCTGTGCTCGCAAGACAGGCAGCAATTCCTACGGAACTGTAGCAAGATCTTCCTGTGGGGGTTTTCGAGCTCATTGGATGACAAGCGCATTGGAAATAGGAGTTCTCTTGTTTCTGATGGTTCACTTTTTTTCTTCTTTCAACCGTGTTATCAAGCTCTGGCTGAACAGCTTTCAAAGCCTGATCGTTCTACCAGAACAGTGGGGATTGCCAGCATTTCTCGTCTTGATGGCTCCTCTTCTCATTCCTAAGAAGCTGCATACCTTGCCATATGCATGGACAATCGGACTCCTGAACGTTGCTGTGTTTACTCTGGCTGTCGGTGTCTTGGCCGTCTTCAACTTTTATCGAAATGGGGACCAGCAAGCACAAGCACAGAACCAGGAGTCAAACGATCACGAGGATGGCGGGAGGACCGTATGGGATATTGTTGAAGGCTTTCAGTCTCTTTTGATAACATTCTTTGCATCGTTCAATGTTCTACGAATCCAAGCGTCTCTCTTTGATCCAACACGTGAAAGGATGGCCACGGTTGTCCATCAAGGCGTTACTTGGGGTGCCTCGGCCACGTACATTGTTGGCATTGTTGGGCACTTGTGTGCTCTGGCCCATTCACCACGGCAGGATGCTGACTTTCTGGAGTCCATTGAATATCTACCAAACACAGGAGACGATTCTCTCCTCTTCGTCTACCGGGTGTGCCATACTTGCGGTGCTCTTGCTTTCATGTTCACCTTCCCCCTGGTGCTTACCCCATGTCGATACAGCATTCTGGAACTTTTTGAATCATGCTATACAGAACGGCAATGTCTAGAGGTCAGCGATTGTCAGGAAGACTGTGAAACTTGTACGACTAGGGCTTCAACAGCTGCAACTGGTAATCAACACGACGCTTTTGTGCTGATCCGCAATGGAACCGTGGTGAACTCCGAAGCGACAAACCTACTGCCAAGCATCGAAGAGAATCCTACCTACGATTTATTGGCAAGCCCTTTGGCCCTGGGACTCTGCACAGTGGGGATTATGATTTGGGCTTACCTCGGTGCAGTCGTCGTCCCCTTCATCGATGCCTTCTATACTTGGGTTGGCCCTTTCATGGTTTACATCTTTGCCTTTGTCCTACCTGCTCTATACTTTTTGGGGCTCAAACGACCACGACAAGGCATTTCTGTGGAAAAGAAGAACTTCAGACTTTATGCAAGGATGCTGATATTTCTGTGCATTACTGGCGTTGTCTTTGCCATTGTTGACATTGTGAAAAACCTCCCTACAGCTTGATTCGATTCAGCTGATAACACCAGGGAATGTTGTGTGCGCACCCTCAATCTTTTCTCAAGATCAAACAATCAGCACAACAATCAATGAATCGAATCATCAATCAATCATCATCCATTCACCACGATCTTCTTGTTTCGCGGTGACGAGACACATACATGTCTCCTTGGAGATGAGCAGCCCTTTTCTAAAAAGTGAACACAGTTTCTGTCATGCTCCCGACAAACGATGCTGCAATCGTGTTGCTTATGCATCCCCACTCTCTCTCTCTCTCTCTGCAGACTTCGGCGCAATACTCATCATCAGTGCTAGCATTGACTAGCTAGAGACGTTAAAACAAAATAAGAGCTACATGAACTAACAAAGATGTGCAATCGCAGCAAAAATCTTGCCGCTTTGTAAGGACAAGCTACTGGTACGGGTGCGCTGTACAGCAATCACGGTACGGCGGCTTCAATCCAGCCAAAGCAGCAGCACTACAATCACAAAGCACAGAGGTCTTACTTGCAAATCTATCCTTCCAAAACACACATATTGTTATGAACGAACTGTTGCACTTGTTGATTGATTGACAGCTACAAAAAGCTCTTTTCTTCTCTTTGTTGTAGTTAGTTAGTCGCGACCTTCTGCTTGTGCCCAGAACTTCTCCAAAGTTTGGGCATAGCCCGTGGGATCCACGAGCCAAGGAACATGACCGGTCGCAAGATTGGAAATGTGCTTTTCGGGACCAATGTAGTTTGTGATTTCGGCTTGTTGCGCTGGAGTGATAAAGGGATCCGCCGTTCCCGTCACCACGCACAGATTGCCGTGGACATGATGACTGAGCCGGACCAAGTCTTGTAGCTTCCAGCCCTTTTCGCTGTCCAAGTCGTGTGCACAATCATAGAGTTGTCGCATGACGGAAAAGAAGGAGATGGTGTTGTGACGAATCGAGTGGGCCTTCCAGACGTAGACTAGATAGACCATGGAGATTCCAGAGAGGGGGACGTGCAAACCAAAGCATAGAATCAACAGCGGAACAAAGGGAAGCCATGCCGGAAAGAAGGACGCCAGCACTCCCATCCATGGTTGGATGCATCCCGCCATCCAAGGTACGTTCATTCCTTGAAAGCCAGCAGGAACACCGACCAAACTAATGCTGGCAATGGATTGTTGATGTTCTTGTTGTTGTGGTTGTTGTTCCGATTCTTGTGGTTCTTGTTGTTGTTGTTCTTGCTGTTGTTCCAGTTGATTCAAAGCATACCAAACAACAGTGGCTCCACCCATGGAGTTTCCGACCAGATGGACCTTGTCCAGTTGCAAGGCATTCAGAACTTCCGAAACGAATGCACTGGAGAATCGAGCCAAATCCACCGTGGAATAATCCAATGGATCCGACAACCCATTGCCCGGGCGTTCCACCAGATACATGGTACGACCTGGCTGGATGACATGTGGCACGAGCGATATCCAATCCCCGGGAGTTCCTCCTCCTCCATGAATCATCACGAGTGGAATACTACTACTACTAGACTGTTTGTTGTGTGGCGATGACAACTCGACGCGCAAGACGCGAGCCCATGAAATCCCTGCCAGATCCGGATGATTCTCGCGCAATGACACAATGAGTTCCGTGGTGATGCCCTGGACTCCATGTTTCTTGAGCAATGCGTGTTCGGCAAACCGCAATCGTTCGGCAGCTGTGCCACTGATCATGGTATCCTTCTGACGATGATGATGATGAGCTGACATTCTCATGGTCGCTCGTTTGGTTCCTGTTATTGTGGCCATTTTGTCTTGTTTGTCAGCAGCTTACTACTCTTGATGGATGGATGGACTGGTGTGATTCTTACGATACACTTGGCTGGATTGGTGCGATGAGGCAGGATTGCAGGAGCCTTCTTGGAAACCGAGTTGGATAATCGGATGTGTATGATAGCTGGTGGGTCTCGGCTGTTGTATGGCTGATTTGATAAAAGCTTTTGATGATGGGCTGCGAACTGCGAAAGCGAGAAAGAAGTGATGACGACGAGGTTCGTTTTGGCAACAGTAAGTGCTTCAAGAAAATAGTATTTTGGGTCTCTACCGTCTGGCCTCCTTCCAAATCATCTTAATAGATACTTTTACCGTACAATAATGTACAGTAATGTTGTAATCCGCTGCATCCACACTTGCTCTCTTCATCTCAGGAGTCCCAAAAGCCAAATTATGGACCCTCTGCAGTCCCAACGAATTTTAGTACCGACCGATAAGTACCAAAAAAGGCCGTGTACCGGTTCTGTTGAAGCACGGATTAAAATCTAACCCTAATGTTAGCGTTAGAGAAAGATCTTGATGAGGTTCTCACACCAGATCTTTCTTGCTTTGGTTGGCTTCGTTGTGCCGTCGCCTCTTATTTTTATGTCATTCAACAATGGGAGGAAGCAATGGTGCTTTCTTGTAAAGCTGCCGGTAACAGGGGTATCAATGTAGCTATCAATATCAGTTTGCCAGTTCACTTATTCCACCTTGCCGTCATTTCAGGTTGTTTGTGGAGCAAGGCGGCAGCTTTCTTGCTCCCACCAACCCAACGAGTTTTCTCCTCTCCTCGGGATGTGCTCTTTGCAGAAAAGGACAAGGACATCATGTCTGCAGCAAACAATAGTCCCATCGGGTTGATTTTGTTGGACCGTGACGGGGTGATCAACGAGGACGTGGGGGCACCTGGAGTGATTGATCCACAACAATTGGAACTGACACATAAGGCAGGCACTGCCATTGGCAATTTGAAGCGAGCCGGATATCCCGTGGTACTGATTACCAATCAAAGTTGCGTGGGGAAACAATTGATTACCGAACAAGAGCTCTACCAAGGGATTCTCCCACGTCTCCAACAACTGCTGCTAGCACAAGATCCAGACGCCACTTGGGATCATGTCTTTTGTTGTACAACCACTCCTGATGTACCGGATGAACGACGCAAACCATCTCCGGGAATGATACTGGAAGCCTGTCGGCAATACAAGGTGGATCCATCTCAGACGGTCTTTGTGGGCGATACCCTGACGGATCTGCAAGCCGCCACGCGAGCTGGAGTTCCTGTCAAAATCTTGGTTTCCACGGGGTATGGCAGTGGTATTGTGCAACAGTATTATTATGGCGGCGGTAGCAATCCACCAAACCAAGAGCATGACGAGAATGATCCAGTTCAGCAAACACCACGAGTGATGGAATGCAGCCAACAAGAACAAGAACAAAATCAAGCCTTGGATAGCCCACCCGACAACGATAGAAAAGTAGCACTGCAATCAGTGATGCCTTTTCTCTATGTGAAAAACCTGTTTGAAGCGTCCCAATGGATATTGGAACAACAATCCACTGCGGCCACTTCAATAACAACTGTGCAAGGCACTCGCGACTAGATGGATGGAGATTTCGAGATCAAACACAGTTTGTGAATCTGGAGGCATGGTTGTAGTCACAACCTGCATCCAAGTCCCTGCGATGCTAGTTTCATATGTCCCGGCCATAACGTGGCATTGCACTGAACGAGGTATGGTACAGTCCACTCACTCGTTCTTGCAGTGCAGTGGCGGCAGAATGAGATTGGTCGATGCATTGGAGTCGAGTCGAGTCGAGTCGAGTCAAAACCTCTTGTGCACCCTTTGAAGCGATCCAGTGGGTGATTGCATACAACATGCGTGAAACAAATTCGACGGATACCTTTCTGGTAACCTCCATCGACTCGCGACAACAGCACTACTGTAGCGGTTCGACCCGTCATGATGGGCAATCGCTCATCATCGCACAGAGCTTGCCTTCTTTGGATTGTTTGTACAGGGTAGGTCCCGGTAATGTTGTTTACTATAAGTAAGTAAGTGATCTACAGCACTCGTTTTCGCAGTCGTCGTCGTCGTATTCATCATCGTCACCGCCGCAGAACTTTTCTTGGTCCGCCTTGAATGCCTTGGTCCCGGCACTACTGGTTACGGCCATGTACATTGCCTCTGCCAGACCTTCCTTGCAGATTGTTTTGGTAGTCTCTCCATTCAACTTCCTCTCACACTCGGAACGCCAAATTCGACGTGCTTCGTCATCGCAACTCTTCTGCGTTTCTCCTTTGCAGTTGCCATAGCTATAGACATGTGTTGTGGAAGCAAGTTTGTGGTGAGGCATTGCTTGGGCTGATTTATTTGACAACAAAACCTACGTACCAATAGTCATGGTTCGAACATCCAACTCCCATTCCGGTCTTTTCTTCGGCAAGTCTGTTCAAAGTCGCAGGAAAGAATGCAGGTCCACAGCCATTGGCATCACCCACATCGCCACGTTTGATCCTGTCCGGAGCAACCACAATTGTGCCCAAATCAACCAGAGCCTCCTGTTTCCGGTCCCATTGGGTGTCTGTAAACATCTACAACATGAGACACCATTGTCAGATACCATTGCTGCTAGCCACTGCATCCTGGAATGCTGCTGGCTTTGATTATCCAGAAAACCTTACGTACAGAAATGATGGGAGTGGCGGCTCCCGCGGGTGACGAGACCTTGCAAATTATATCTGGATTTCGGGATTCCTCGAAGAATCCACTGTCCCACTTTCCTTTCTTGTAAAAACTGAGGTGCTTGATTGTATAGTCTAACTTGGCCACTCCATCCATGTCTGTTGTCACTGTGCTCGTCATGGGTGTACGCTCGGAACCATCCTGATCGTAACACTTCACGTTGGCTCCCTGCAATGGCGTTGTATCACCAAACTCGCCCAAGAGCACCGTGAGCTGGATGGTGCCTGCATTTTCTGCCGAGGAGACACAAGGCATCCATGTCATCATGGCAAGAGTACTACCATCAAGCAACTTCATTGCCTCGGCAGTCTAGCGGTATCTGGCTGAGCCCTCACCCCCTTTTTCGTGTTTCCTGTTTCCTATTTCGTGTTTTGGGGTGAAGCCAAAGATAGGCACAAGCCAACAAAACTGGAAAATTGAAGCTTCTACAAATTTAGGGGTAGGAATAAATCATGATTATTCAAGGTTAGCGCACTCAACACAATAAACCAGCAGAAGCTCCAAAAGTTACAGTTCCATAAGGGAATGACAGCTGTAAAATTATGGTTAGTGGGCGGCAACACACGAAGAAGTCGGGTGTTGTCGCCAGGGCTAGCTTAAATAAAAAGAAGGTTATAATGAGGGAATGATACCAGGCAGCAACACACGACGGAGTCGGGTGTTGTCGCCAGGGCTACCTTGAAAGAAGGGTGCAATCTCAAACATGATCCTCCTTCTTCTATTTGTCTTTCTGCCGAGGTATCGCAGCTCCCGCTGACTTATTTGGCGTTGCAGCGACCTCGACTCATGGGCAAGAGCTGGTTTACATCGGCAGCAAGGTAACGAAACAGGACTGTTTCCGTGAAACTGATCGTTAGTTTCACGGAAATGGGCTATTTTGGTAACACTTTATTGCTATTTCCTATTTCCTTTTCCTTTTCCCTATTAGGGTGAAGCCAAAGTATAAGGATAGAGATAGGCATGAGCCAACAAATCTGAAAATTGATGGTTCAAAAAAAGTTAGGGGTGGGTAGGAATAAATCATTGTTATTAAGGTTAGTGCACTCGCCACAAAATCCTAATAAGCCAGCAGGAGCTCTAAAGACTAGAGTTACAAATGGAAGGACACTGTAAATTATGGGTTAGCCGGCTGCAACACATGATGAAGTGGGGTGTTGTCACCAAGGCTAGATTAATAAAACAGAAAGGTTACAATGAGAGAATGACAGTGGGCGGCAACACGCGACGAAGTCGGGTGTTGTCGCCAGGGCTAGCTTGAAGGAAGGGTGCAATCTCAAACATGATCCTCCCTCCTTCTTCAATCTGTCTTTCTGCCAAGGTGTGGCAGCTCCCGCTGACTTATGTCCGTCTATCTTTTAAAAATCTTCATCTTTGCTAACTATCTTTGGATCCTACTGCATCCCTTAATAGCCAGATGCTTTAGAAGGAAGGTGTCCACAGGCAAGATGACATGGGAAGGATTACTAGAGTGTGTGAAGTGGCCAGGGTCGCGGAAGAGTGAAGAGAAGATTGTGAAGAAATCGTCCGGGCTTGGCGCTTTGGCATTGGATAAAATAAGCAGCCTTGCTGTCTTTCGAAGGTTCTACTTCTCGGAGACCAACACCGACCAAACACAAACCAACAATTGACCATGGGCGACTGCCGTATCCGAATCTTTGTGTCTGGTCTTTGCTCCTCGGAAAGCAACGACAGCAACAACAACAAGCCATGGCAACTCGTGTTGAACAAGCTGTTTTCGTCCGACACAACGATTGGGGAAGTCTTGAGTGCTGACGAGTTGTCGCTCTTGTTTGCTGACCAAACCGACAATGCGTTGTGGGATTGTACGATGCATCCACCCAAAGACATTACCGAGTGGATCTTGAAGGACGACAGCAACAAGAACAAGACCCTCTATGATGCGGGATGGTTTCCATCGGGCACTTTGCGAGTGGCGCGACGCATCGATGGCGTTCCCTTGGCGTCGACGCTTCAAACTGACGATGTTCAATACAACAATACCCAACAGGCGACAACCTCTGCCATGCCCGTGCAACTCGCAGGGACATTGGCATCTACCACTGGTACGACAGTGGCATCCTCGCTGCTGCCATCCCAAGTATTGGAATCCGTGACACGTCGCTTTGACGACGATGAGACCATGACGACGTCACAATCGACTACTACTGCTTTGAGCAAACAACAAAGAGCACTCCAAGAAAAGGAACGAGCCAAACGGCTGGATGAACGAATCCAAAAACTAAACGACAAGAACAAACCGGTATCCGATCAAGTGCGAAAAATGCTCATCAAGAGTCGTGCCACGGGGAGCAAGTCACTGAAACAACAGGATCGCATCTATTTTGACATTTGCACAATCAGCATCGGGCAAGAGGACCAGTGTTTTCGATACTACTCCATCCAAGATACCATTGGGAAAGGAATCATATCTACATTCACTTGTTCTTCATCCAACAAAGAGGATGATGTCCAAGCCGAATTGTTGATTCGACGCAAGGAGGAGGAAGGTGCCATCTATAGACGGCTCCCCAATTTGATGCGCGTCTACGAGGCTATAGAACGGGGCTTTTTGGAAAAGGAACAAGTCAACAAGGTTGTTGTACGATGGTACGATACGTCTTCTGAAGAGCCAACAAGTAGTATCGAAGACGAAGAACAAACCACAGCCACAACCAATCCAATGGATGCGACAACGACGAGTGACGTGGAAATGACAGAAGTATCTGATCCACCGCCAACTACTACTCCTGAGACTATTTCTTCAGCATCGTCGTCCAACAATCCACAAATGATACAAGATGCGGATTTGGCAGCATTGCTGACACAATTGGATCAAGAAGAGGAAGAAAAGAAGAAGAGCAAAAAGAAGAGCACCAGCAAAACATCCGCCAAAGTAAAACAAATGCTCATCAAGAGCAAGGCCAAGGGAGATGCCAAACGGGTAAAAATGCCAGATCGGTTCTTTTTTGACTTGGTGACAGTTTCAACAACAACTGTAGCCAAAGCCACCAGCCAGTTTTGCTTTTTGGGCCAAAAGGATCCACTGGGACGGATTCTACGGGATTGTGTCAAACCGGCGCTGGGTAACGATGCGAATGTGGAACTGCTAGTACCGACCGACGACATGGCTACTTCCAGCAGTTTTGTTCCATTGAGCAACTGGAGTACCATGACGTTTCAAGAAGCACAAAATGCCAATTTGCTACAGCCGTTTGGTCGGATTGTCCTTCGAACAAAACAGTCATAAAGAGTCAATTTCTCCTCGTTGCAAAAGCTATCGTCTTGCACACTTGCTAACAGACCGATCATACTTGCTCAAGTAGAATGACACAACACATGGAACCCCACAGCATCTGCCCACGACTCATTTCACTGTTACCTGACTTACGAAATTTCTCGGAGGAATGATTCAATCGATTGATTCTGAACGAAAAGAGTGCAGCTGTGCAGCTGCCTAGCCTACTACCGTAGCTTCTATGCCTTACAACTGAGAATGTTTTGGAAACAATAGACTTTCTCCAACAACACCTCACCAGTGAAAGAAATACAATGAAAGCAATCATCAGAAGACAACCATCATTATTGAGTCTGAAAGTTTCCACATTGAGGTACAAATTGGATTGGTTCCAGGAGACTTTTGGGTGGAACAGGCAGGAGCTTCTGAAGGTTGTGTCAAAACAACCAGCTCTTTTGGGCCTTTCAACCCATGACAATCTTGAGCCAACACTGGATTGGTTTCAAGAAACCCTCAACATGACGCATGCAAAACTCTCCAAAGTGTTGAAGACAAGCCCACAATTCCTCCAGTTGAACACGTGCACTTTAGTTCACAGGACAGAATGGCTACAAGAGCGGTTAGAACTGGAGACAACGGAGGAGATCTCCAGGATAATTTTAAATTTCCAGCTTTTCTTGTATTTGAACAATGACAACATGGAAAATAGGATCAAGTGGCTACAAGCAAGCCTGGATTTCACCGAGAGTGAAGTTGCCCATCATTTTCGGAGAGCACCAGTCTTATTTTCACTGAGTATTGAACAGAATCTGGAGCCAACACTCAACTGGCTAGTGAATCGGCTTGGCTTTGCAATGGCTAAAAAAGGTGGTTTCACGCCTTCCCCCTGTTTTGGGCCTTAACATCCAAGACTCACTTGAGCCAAAGCTAGAGTACCTCCAAACAAAGTTCCAACTCAACGCAGAAGACCTCCTGCTGACCATGATTGGGAAGAACCCACCTCTGATTAGTTTGAGCTGCAGCAACATTGACAATACGCTACAGTTCTGTTCCAAAAGTTATGGAGAAGACAAGGCGCTCCAGCATGTTATTGGGAATCCAGCATTTTTGGGTGCTTGTCTGAAGAAAAGACTCTTGCCACGGTGGGAGCAAGCTGTTGAGTTGGGGTTTGAAGCAGAGGTTCCAATATCTGTGCTTGCAGCGCACACACCAAGAAAGTGGGCTGATTTTGTGGAATCAAAGGCTGCAAACTAATAAACTTGCGGCTGCAAACTGACAAAGGATTGGATATGAAATGACTGGGAAGAAATGAGCCTGTCACACTTGGCTACCAGTAGATTGGATCATCATAACTAACTACTAGAAACATGTTTTGGCAACACAGCTCCTATGGATGATCTTATTGGCAAAGTTGCAGATAGGGCAATCGGCAAAGCCGAAGATCTTGTGTGGATCAAGCAAGCACACCACTCCTTCAACTGCACCACGACCTACAAAACGAAAAGTGTGAATGTCTGGAGACCAGAGTCGCGATTTCTATCAGTAGCAACTATTACACGCTCCATAGGTAGGTAACATGAATTCTATTCATTGCGTCAAAGGACTGACTCTTCGGAATTGAATCTATTGTGAGTACATGTAAGGGGTATCTCTCCGTTGTCATTTGAGATATCTCGGGATTCTTTCATTGAATCATGTTCACCGTTTCTTTTCCAGCTCTCGCTCGTAGACATAGACACCTCGAACTTTCCAATAGGCTTCTGCCATCACATCGGCTGGATCACTTTCGATAAAGGCATTGCAGGACTGCACGGGGTTGTATTCCTCTCCTTGCTGGAACTTCTGGGCTTCGGCGGGACAATCCCTTCCAAAACGATTTCCAGCCACGGTTCCACAAAAGGCCGTGTTGAAGACAATGCGCATATCGCGAAAGTGGTCAGCAGAACATCCCGTGGTGGGACCAATGGCAAAGTAAGCATAGGGCAACCCCCACTCTTGAGGATCCGGGACAATTTGTTGAGACGAGTCCTTGACATGAGCCGTTTCAATGGCACCTTCCAAATTGCTGGGTAGATCCTTGTTGCGTGGGAATACCCAGGAACGAATGTATCGGTGTTCTGGATCCCATTCGAGAACGTACACTCCACCACCCGCTTCATTCAACGGGACACCAATGGTGCCATCTTCGCTGGTGACAGTCACGCATCCCTGGTTGGACCATTGATGTGCCGCCAAGTTCCAGCAGTTATCGGCGGGCACGCTGGTGGCAAAATCCATGTCACCTGTGTAGGTATCAGGGATCCCAGCTGTGGCGTGGCAACAGGAATTGAAATCCAATCAAGTGTTAGTTAGCCATAGCGGTAGAAATTTTTACTCACAAATGAACCGAACGAAGCAATCTGACTTACTGGCTCGATCCCAAACTCCCGTTCGATTGTATTCCGCCACATGGGCGTACATGCTGCACTTGCTGGATGTATGCAGTGCCGTCTTGGCCTTGGTCTGATTGTTGATTCCTTCGACGATATCGACTTCGCCGTAATCAGGCCAGTGTTCTTCATTGGTGAGCCAAAAGGCAGGCCAGACCCCACAGCCGGCCGGCATGTGATGGACATCCAAAATGAACAGCCCTCGATTGAACAGAGTGCGTCCTTCCAGACGAACTGATTCCCGAGGTCCCTTTTTGGTGGGAGCCGAGGACATGTAGACAAAGGGAACTTGATCCTGCTGTCCAGTCGTCTCTTCGTAGTAAAGCTCCTCGGTAACATTGGCAATTCCCGATTGGAAGGCACGCTTATCACCGACATAGACATTGTATCCTGCAGATCCTTCCGAATCTTCTCCATCGAAAAAGTCATAATAATCAAAGAATTCTTCGCCTTCATGGCATTCTGACAGCTTGTAGGGACCCGAGTACCTCTTGTTGTTGTTGTCAGCAGGCGCAATGGAATCATCATCTTGCTGCGGTTGTTCATCTTTCAGTGCCTCTTTCTTGGACTTTTGAATACGCGCTGGACCACCACCCGATTTGGCGTGGAACTCCTTCGCGTAAAGACCGCCAAACAAGAGGGCGACCGCCAAAAGAACCCATTGCTGGTAGGGACGCTTGCTGGAAGATGATTTCTCGCCTTCGTCATTGTCAGAAAAGCTCATGTGATGATCAGGGTTCGTCAACGGCGTACTCTCATGGTGGTGGTGGTGGAAGTCCTTCATATCTTCGGAACGGGGTGGCATGATGAAATCTCAAAACTACTTTCCTTTGGAAGGGAGATTGGTGGGAAACGAAAATGCAAAAGCTGCTCAAAAAGAGAAACTTGGTGCGTGGCTGGTTTGTCCTTCAGAGACAAAAAGCAACTTATATGGGTGCAAGATCCTCGTCGCAATGTTTTCCTCGCCAACTGCTGGCTATAAAGTGATGTCTGCAAATATGACCGCAGTTGTCGGAGTTGTTGCATCTCGTTGTCGTCGTCGATGATGGTGGGTGTCGTCAACGCATTGCGGTGGTGCGAAGACAAAACGAATGAGAAAGCTTTGGCCACGTCACCCAAAATACGGATAAAGCCCTATTGCTTTCAATTAGAAAGAGTTAGTTACTTGAACTTTCAAAGACTTAGTGGTCTCACTGAATCTTGTGTCATACCGGGTTGTACGGTACTGTACGAGGTGCCACGTGAGGTGGAACTGGCTCTTGGGACTTTATGGGGGGGTTAGGCTGCAGCGCGGGGGAGGGAAAAAGAAGAGGAGAGGGAGAGGGTTATCCGTTGGATTCCAGATTCCCACTTTTGAGTCTTCGAACGACATGAAGAGATACTAGTACTACTAGCGTAGTACTAGTACGAGCTTGCTACATACATACAATAAAGAGGGGAAATGGCAATGACCTGGTGATTGACCCCTCCTCCGTTAAATCTTCTACGTCCGAAGAACATTGTATATGTCAGCAAATACATCACAGGAATTCAAATGATCCGGGATCAACCGCTACTTTTGCTCTTTTCCCATCCTTTGCTCGGACCAAACCCTCCCACTCCAACTTGACTGTCAGCGGCCGAGAAAAGAAAACCTTCCCAAGCTGGTGTGATTTCAATGAGGATGGCTTTCTGCTCTGAACCGGAGACGGTCGGATTGAGTGAGGCTTGATACGGATCGGTCGACGCATGTCGCACTTGCAGAGAGGGATCCAACGCTTCGGTCGTGGTGAACGAAGGAACTCCTCCTCCTCCAATATTCATTATTTTGAGGAACTCCTCCTAGAAGAACACTAGCTAAAATATTCATTATTTCGATACCTTTACTCTATCGTTACTCTAACAAGATGGTGTTGTCTCCTCCTTTACAGCGGATACTCCTCTATTCCACCACCATGAGAGGCTCTCCACCACTTCCACGGAGCAAAAACACGACAGATCGATTCGGTCGATCGACAACAACAACACGCCACCTTCAATAATAACAAATGACAACGCTACTACTACTCTACCGATACCACTACCGACCGACTACCACTACTGCTGCGCTATTTTGCCTTGAAGTCAGTGCCTACTTCGGTAGGGGCAAGGCTCTTGGCAACAACAACAACAACAACAACTAAAACAACAACTTGCTGGGCTATTTTGTGGTGAGAACTGGTCCCACAAGAAATTCACGGCAATGAGTGCTCCACATATTATCGGCCGATGGTTGCCTTGCCATACCCATCAAGTTTTATTTGGCAATTTTCATCATGTGGCGGCCTTCCAGATCTTCTGCTCAACCAGTTGATATAAGGTAAGCAGCATCCTTGTACCTGTGGTGGCTTGTGGAAAGGAGGATTGGAATTGCAATTTGTTGTTGGTTGGATTGAACTTGGCTCATTTGATCTGTTTGTTGTTGTTTGTTCGCTGAATCATTAATGCTGCATGTTTGCTGTTTGCCAAGGAGCCACATTGTACATTGGTGAAGGAGTTAAAATCAACTGGCAAAACATGGCTGGCACATTTGGTTTCGGTGCAATCGGTGTGAGTTCATCAATTGTACTTGATTTGTGTTTGTTGTTGTTGCTGCTGCTGCTGCATGGATTGCACCATGGCTGTGAGTTCATGGATTTTTCCATGGAGCATTTTGATCTCTTTGGTTAGCTCATTGATGCTTTGGTCTCGTGAATCTGTGAAATACATATCTGTCACTGCCATTGGCTCTGTCACTGCCATTGCCTGGATGGGGTTGTTGTTGATATTATTCAGATCTTCCCCAAGTTGTAATTGATGAATAGTTTCTGCAGCCACCAGCTCTGGAATCTCAGAGTCAAATTCATCCTCCATGGTGCAAAGTCTTCTCTTGCTCTCTTGGATCTGTTGTTGTTGTTGTTGGCAGCCAGTTGGTAGGCTCTCTTCTGTTGCGAGTTCCTCTGTTGACTTTGGCAGCCCATTCCTCCATTGTGAGTGGTAGCTGCTGTTGGTGGCTCCATGGTCCTCTTTTGCTGCTGCTGCTACTGGCTTTTTGGCTGAGTTAATGACTGTCGAGTGGCTCTCCGGTGGTTGTTGTCATTGTCAATGGAATCCGAGTTTCCTTGTTGTCGAAAACAGAAAATGGCGACTAGGTAGCACAGTTTCCCTGTAATCTTTATAAACGGTACGTTAAGTATATTTGAATTTGGCCGACTCATTTGCTGATGTCATAGGTTGATTAGCCAATCAGATCACTGCCTTCTACCGCTTTCACCCTTAGTAGGAGTTTATGGGGGGGTTAGGCAGCAGCGCGGGGGAGGGAAAAGAAAAAAGAAAGGGAGAGGGTTATCAGTTGGATTCCCAATTCCGCCGTTGAGAGCGTGCAGGGCATGTTCAAGTCATCGTGCGACACTGGTGTCAAGACTAAAGAGAGGGGAAACGGCAGTGACCATGGTCTTCGCCCCCTGACTTCTAACTCTCATGTGTCCGAAGAACAATGTAAGTGTCAGCAAATGCATCACAACGGCATGAGGAACTATTTGGTCTCACACTATCTCGCAATTCAAATCAGATGCAACGGATAACGGATAGTCTGGCTCCCCAATCCTTCGCTCGCAGCAAACCCTCCCATAAATTCAAATCGATCGCTGTTACCAGTACTCTGTTACCAATCCTCGAAGGTGAGTGTTGTCGGTGTTCTTGTTATTGTTGTTGTTGTTGTTGTTGTTGTTGTTGTTGTTGTTGTTGTTGTTATCCACAATGGTGACAATGGCATGCTAACTATCCTATCCGCCGTTCTTCTATCTGTCGTTGTTCTTTCCCCGCCCACCCATCGAAGCAAGACCGGTATCCTCCGAACGTCGTCCTCAACCGATCGAACGTTATCCATCTGCCAACGAAGATTCGAAACCATGAGGATTGCAACTACTTCTTCGGCCTTCACCAAGTGGCTGCAAAGTGTCAACAGATACCCATTCAATGAGCTGAGGGCAACAAGGCATGGATTTACCTGCAAGTATGTCATTTGTGGGTACAACAGCGACGAGGAGGACAACTTCTGTTTGCCCACAACCAGCATGGAAGTGACGGTTCTTGAGGAGTTGATATTGCAAGGAGCAGGCAAGCCTCTTCGTTCCTCCTGATATGACAGGCATCATGGACTACATGTTTGAATGGGGACGCCAGGATAGTACACAATGGTACACGTGCTGTTGTTCGTACCCTTTATGAAATGTGGAGGGTCCAACATACCTGTGAAAGGAAGGACAATCTTATTGAGTGCATTATTGGTTAGCAAAGGAAGGATCATGAGAGTATGAGTTGTTCTCCCTCGAAGGACAGAGTTTGATGGATGCTTGGCATGGTTATTGCATCCAGTGGTACTAACCCAAATTTTCCTTCAATGAGTATTGTATGATGAATGATGAGTTTGTGATGTTGTGCATGGAAGACCTTCAGTATAATGGAGGCCTGAGACCCCAATTGGCTATGTTTATTGATGCCTTCTTTTT